TCTTCTTTTCTCTAGTACTAGAGAATGGTGGATGTCCCTTTGGGACTCTGAAAGTGGGGAGCAACTGTTAGCATTATTTCATGCTGAAAGTATCCTGTTAGCAGCCTTTTAACAAGTTTTTGGGAGCATTTGGAGAAAATGAAACCCCATTTGCTCTTTGATAGCTCTATGGATGACTTCTATTTATCACAAATTCATGCAACTTTGTGCCCATCTCCTGCTCCCAGTCCTGGGTTCCTAGAAATCTTTTGTAATGTAAAAGACAGACAAAGGAAGGAATAATTCCGCTATATCTGAATCATGCTGAAGCTTTCACATCTCTTAATCATACTGGAAAAAAACAAGACTCTTCTGTTCAACCCAAGTAAGCCCACTGAGCACTTTAGGTCTGCTGGACTGCCAATCTTAGCAGCAGTAAAATAAATTTAGAAATAATAAATTCAGTGGTATTGTTTGGTGATATTCCTCACATTTGTTTGTTATAGGTTATTTAAACTTATTTTCCGGACATCTTAAAAATCCAAGATGATATAAACTTTAGGTCTCTCTCAGAAGTTGAAAAACTAAAAGGGAAATTAGCCAGACAGAAAACATAACCAAAGTATTTTTTATGTGTAACTGTTTTAGTATTTGAAATCTGTCAAGCACACTATAAGCTTTCTTCAGTAAAATTATTAGAGATAGATAATAAAACAACCACTTGAGGTTTCCTCTCTGCATCTTTTGTTGGTAGACCAACTAAAGATGTTTGCAAATGTACTTGCCTACAAGCAGCTATGCCCATGCTAGGCTGTTTGCTCCATTCACTCAGCTGTTTTTATGTTTGCTATTTTTGCTTGGGTCTGTGACACCTTTTCTGTCATACTTGCCTTCCTTTTATCTCCTTCCACACCTACCTTTGAACTAAACTTCACAAATTTTATTAATGTGCAGTGTATTTTCATGTTTCTTACTCATACTGCATGAAGGTATTTTGGGTCTTTTTGTTCACTGTCTTCTTTTTCAACCAAAATGCTACTTGCTTTAGGCTTTCTTGCATGTGTGTTTCACTATGAGTCTTGTATGTTGATTTCATGAAACTGCAAAACTTCAGGGACAAATCTTTAGCTACCCTGTTATTACACAGCTCTAGTTCTGTGATTCTAGTGATTCTAATGGCTTCTGTAAATGATATCACTATTGTCAGCCTCTCTTGGGGGCGCTTCCTCAGCCAGGAAGTTGTACCCTTTAACATTGAATGCAGACTGAGGGAAGAGTGTGCTTTGAGTCTAGCATTTGTTTCTGAATACCTGTATGCTTTCTTTGTATCAAAAAAACCTTCTTCCTCATGGCTAATGCTAAGCAATATGCATTCACTTACAGGAACAACTTCTATGTGCAGGCCTGTGCTTGTATTTGTCAAAGACCTTTGTCAGGCTCAGAAGAGTTACACTATTTTTGGTTCTGTGATCATGCTTGCTTTGTGGAGCAGGTTTGTCTTTTGGATGCCACATGGTCCTTACAGATGAATACAGTGGGCACTGGACTTGGTAATGAAGTTTGGAACTTGAGAGATCTTGAACTTGAGTAGGGCAGGTGCATGTAAATTCCTTATTGGAACAAATGGAGAGCAGCCATCATGGGTTAGATACTACATCCAACCAAGTAACTTCTAGGAGTAGGCACTGAGGGAAGGGTAGATATGAAGCAAATATATATGACATTTCATTCAAATTTCAGAACCTCAAGCTGTTTTAGCTCAAGAGATTTTCTGATCAGGAGGTTTGTTCTCTCTTTTTAAAAACTCAGAGTGGATTTGTCTTCTAAGTATTCATCCAGCTTCTTGAATCCTGTTCCTAGGACCCTATGCCACAGATGAACTGAGCACTGCAGGAAGGGCTGTGGGTTGATCTTAAACTCCGGAGCCAGAATATCTTTTTCCATCTGTTGCAGGTGCCCTCAGTCAGTACACTGTTATGACAGCTGCTTTTACATGGAGATTGACTGCTTTTGCACCTCAGGAAAACTCTAGCATAGCAGTAATCTGAAAATAGCAGTGTTTTTGTAAAGAAATACAGCCTGCATGCCAGCATCTGTGGTGCCTGCTACCAACCTTAAAGCAAGCTGCAGGAGCCTATACGACTTGCTAGTGAAAACTTGTACATAATGTCTCCTTGAGATTCTCTGAACATTTGCAAACAAAAGCAAGTGCAGCCTCTCAGTGGTCCTTAAAACTAGGAATTGCCACCCTCCTTGTCTCAGGTGGAAAACTGTGGAGAAGTTTATCCACCCCTAAGCTCTAGGCTGTGGCAGAATCTAGAATCCAGACACCCTACCTATCACTCTGATCTCTGAATATTTATTTTGTTGGTTCTTGCCTTTTGCCAGAGGAATTCCAGCATGTAATCTACACATCACTACAAGCCGAGGTTCTCAACTGCACTAATTGAACCAGATACTTTGTTGCAGTACGTAGGCATATGCTAATTGATGTCTGGGGAACCAGTCTCTTCTTCCTTTATTTTATTCCTGCTGAAGACAAATGAAATATTTTTATTTCCTGTTCTAAGCAGACAAGCAGATACTGTACCGTAACTGCTGTGTTGTTTTGCAAACTTGGCTTAGCTAAGCATACTAACACACATATTCCTTACACTGTGCAGTTCCTATAAATGCACAATATTAGGGGTTTGGGAACAAGAGGAAACATGCTTTTCACACTTTTGCCCTGAGAGCCAAGTTGTTCATGCTCCATTTCCCTCTGGCTGAAGCATGGTGTTTTTATGTACACCAAGTATTTGCAGTAGCTGAACAGCCTACTTTATGCAGTGAAGGACAGGCAGGAGGGCAGAGGTAGTGTCCCATGTACAAAAGAAAGGACAAGAAGGGCAAAGTATAGTTCTATTTTCCTCTCCAGTGTTGTCAGGGAAAGGCTGGTGAGGATCACTAACAGGCTGTTGCTGTTGGGTCATGTGAGTATGAAATAATGGCTAAATGAGGTCTCTGACATTAGTAAGGAGAGATGTGAGTTTTAAGCAGTCTACTCAACTGCTGTAAAAGTTGCTTGGTTTTATTCAAGGACTCCATTATCAGAATGTTTGCTAGGCAAAACAAAATCAAAGCCTACCATTTCAAGCCAAGATGAAGTGATTTAAAATGAAATCTATGCTAGATAAGGTTACAGAGTGTCCTAGTTGTTCTGTGCTCTCTGTACTGTGTTCTCTTTCCAAAGAGAGAGTTTTCTCTTTGCTGAAAAACAGTGGTATCCCTGGTAAGTATGGAGATGGGATCTATTCCTAGATTGAAAACTTGTGAAAATAGAGAACTTAGATGAAAGAATCAGATATTTCCTTTCACTTACCAGAGTATGGTAAGTGTACACTTATCAGCAATATGTAGTTGGGCCTTTAACACTTATGTAACTTATCATGCCTTAACTTATCATGAGCAACTGGCTGATTGTGAATATATTTTAAACCTATACCTCCTCTTCCCTGAAAATGTGAAAGAAATCAGATTTCCCTCTGGACCGCACAACTTTAATTTGTTTGTAGTACTGAAAAAAGATTTGTTTGAACCAGGATTTTGGAATGTATTCACTGTTTATTTAGTATGAGGGCAGTAACAGTGTGTGTCAGCCAGCTTCTGTAAAGAGACAATTTTTGGCATTTACTTTACCACAGTCAAGAATTCTTTTCTGTTCCCAAGTTTTCAATAAATACAGTCTGCCCTGAATTTAGGCATTTCATACAAGAATCAAGAGCTACCTCAGACATTGAAGTAGCAGATCTCAGGGAGATGAACATAACCTGAGACAAATATCAGTAATACCCAAGATTTGACCTTGGGTCTTTTCTTTTTTATAGAGCTAAAGATTGTGGGAAATAGAATTCTGCAGTGACAAATAGCAAAAATACAGAAAGACAGAAGTTTAACTGAATTTGACATTACTAAACAATACAGACATACAGGAAAGGGAACACTGCCAGCTTCTATGTATATTTCTGAGAAATCGTGTTCTGTTCTGGAGATGGGATTGCAAAAAGATTCACTCTGCTGAAACTAATGAAAAAGGTTTAATTCTTACCCATAGGGAAGAGCTCAGGTGTGCCAACAAATAGGTATGATCACACATGTGGATAGCAAGTAAATGTAAGATGCTTTATGATGTGAAGAAATGCAATCTATAAGGACTCTGTATGAAGACAATAGCAGCGAATGTATTCATGTGATCTGGGGATGATGTGTGGCACTTACTCATGACCAGGCCTGAAAAATGTGGCCTTTTCAGAACTATCTACTAAAAGACATTCCTGCTGCTATGGCTCATACTGAAAGGATATCTAAATAATGAGAGAAGTACCTTGGCAAGTATTAATTCTTTGCCTGACTTTAACCAACACAGCTTTTATGTTAGGAAAACTGTACCTGTTGCAAATCTGATTTAACATGTTCGAGTATCATTGTATAATAACACAGTATGGTCATAAGCAAGTTGCATACATCAGCCCACAGCAGAAGTTTATATCAGCTAGCCCTGCCAGACTTTCCCTAGTGATGTAAAGATATTCTTTACCTAGGAACAGTCACTCCAGTTTCTTTTAGTACTCTCAAGTTATGAAAAGGCCCTGGAAATAGCTTTGATATTAAAAAGATTATTTCCTTCATCTTTAGTGAAACTTTGTATCACCTTACTGAACTTTGCCTGTCTCTAAAGTTGCTTGGAGAGACTGTGTAACTATAATCTTAAGGGATAAATTATACCCACTTTCTTAAACTGTGGTGTGCTGCTAAGCATCACTCACTTGTAGTATTACATGGCAAGACCTGATGGAATTGCAAAGACTGAACTACTTCTGGAAGTCAGGATGATTCTTCCTTTTTAAAAGGTAATGGTGTTCTGAGTAACTGGGCACTCATAAATACTCTAGCAGCCTTTTTTATTTGCCTTAAAGGAATTGCATTGTTTCACAGAGGGCTGTAGGTCAAGGTGGTCACAGCAGTGGCCCAGAAGCTCTTACCTTCATAAAAAAATGATCTGCAATATAAACATTTGCAAGACTCATAGTCCATCCTGGTGTCTGTGTCAGAGCAGGGCACTGGCATACTGAGTTTTCCACTTCTCTTTTCATCTTCTGAAAATTTCCTGAGATGGAAGTTGAGAACTTTCTCAACTTTGTTGAGAAGTGAGCAGACATTGTGTTTGCTTTTATATACCAGAGTTCTAATGTCCGATCTGAAAAAGGTAACACAAAAGAGACCATTCTAAATTGTGGGAATTTCTCATGTTCTGTCTTTATTGTATTTTGATGATGTTTATTGCATTTCCCATGGGGGACTCTTATTTTTTCTGTGTTTTACGCCGCAATCGCTGATGCTGTGTGCAAGTTGAGTTATCATGTAACTGTGGGGTAGACTACACTTTGAGCTGCTGTTAACTGTTTCAAGCAGTCCATCTGACCTAATGGGAGATAGGTACAAGCATGTGTATGAGTATATAAAAATGGTTCTTTATAGAACCTATTTTGCCTGGAAACTCTCAAACTCAGCAGACCTGAGAAGCTTTTGGTGTAGGTCTGTTCCTCTCCTTCTCCACCCTGTGCTGATTGCCACTTGTCCAAATTTTTCCCATGGCAAACTTTCCTTTTGTGACAGCAGATAAACTTTGCTTCAATTTCAATACTTTGTCACACACTTTATCCTGGAGATAGGAAAAGTCTCCATCTCACGTGGTGTTGTTAGCCTTTGCCCACTAATCCTTTCTATTGTGTGCAGATTTTAACACAGACATGTGAGGAGGAAGTAGTGATTAAAAGTCTCAGTCTCTTCCTGGTGTATGATTAATTATATCATCCCAGAAGACTATAAAAATTGAAATCAAGTGGTTCTCTAGATGTTTATCAGTGTATCTGAATTACTGACTAACATTGTAAATCCGTTTAGGTCACTTGGTTCAGTGTTTTCCCTTTGAAAGTCTGTTTGAAAAATTTAGAGGGAGAAAACAGCATTAAACTCCAGTTGCTGTCTATCTGGAACTCAGAAGAATTGCTGTATAATGCTAAAGCAGAGTGCTTTAACACTAAATCACAGCTAGTAGGCTAGAAAAAACTGTATTCCTCCATTTCTCCATTTTGAAACTTTTCCTCTGTTTTTTTCCTGTTTGGTGCAGGTTTGTAATAAATCTTGTTCTGTTCCGATTATCATTTTCTTGCATCTAAATCTTAGACTTTGAAAAACAAGTTGCTTCATGGAATATGCAAAGATGGTTATAAAAGTGACTTATATCACCAGTAGATAAGGCTTCAGATCAAAACAAACTACTGCACTCCAAAACTAGATTTATAGTCTTACATATTTGGGGGAACTCATTCAAGCATGTGAACACCTTGTCAACATGATCCATTAGTAACTTGCCACACCTTTGTAGATCCAATTTACTTAGAAGATCTCTATTTTCAACTACATAGCCTGCACCTCCAATGGAACAAAGGAGTGTTTGTGGCTGTAAAGAGGGAGGGCAGGGCACAGTTTGGGAGACTTAGTGGAGCACAGCTTTGCTTAGGTTTCAGGCCAAAGAAAAGTGCTTTCAGTGCTGTATGACAAGAGTGTCTTCTGGGGAATTTGATGGGAGAAATATGAAACCTCCACCTTCACAGCCTTCCATCACAAACCACTTCACTGGTGTTTTTTTGTAACTGTATCCATATTAAATGACAGGGGCTAATGTGCCCTCGCCATTTCCAAACAGGTTAGATACCCTTCTGTCCTCTTAATATATTCAGTCCTTTTGTTCCAGACTGTGTTACCTCAGATCACCTGCCTTCATCCTGTTGGATTTCCTTGTCATGATGTTTGCTTGCCTGATTTGCTGCTGTTACTGTAAGTATGCTGTTCAGGACTTGATATTTGTCTGTTAGCAAGTCCCCATGAAAGGCCATGAAATCTAGCCCTGGATGCCTTTGGCAACCACACCACACACTTGCTTCACTTAAATGGATGGTGGGTTTAGTACTGCTGGTGGAAATAACTGTGTGGAAGTACCTGGCAGATCACCTCTATAACAGCCTGTCTGGGCTAGTTTCTGTTTTGAGGATTGCTAAGCACCCTTTCAACCATGACTCCCTTTGTGAAGCCAGCATCTTTAACAGTGTTTTAGAGAGATGGAGCAAAACTGATTTTCTCATGGCTTTAGTAATTGTTGTTGCTGCCAGCTGCCTCTTGAAGATACATAGTCCTGTGGACTTAAATTACTTTCCAACCTGACAAAATTGATGCTTTTCAGAATAGATTGGTTATATTTTTGTCCAACAGATAAACCAGTCTGGGGGAGAAAAAATATTTTGCTTTTCCATGATGGATGCTAGATGTTTCCACATGACATTTGCTAGGAAAAAGCTCTTCACCATAATAAGTGAGAATTTTCAGACTAGCTAGAGAATCAGTAGTGACTTGTCTTAAGATTATTATAGCAGAAATTTGTGTTTGCTTGCATGGGCAGGGCTCTAGTAACTCTGGCTGTGGTGCAAAGACTCTGACTCACAAACTTGTGTGGAGCAATTTAAGAAGTAAGAATCTCTGGTCCAGCAGATGATATATCTGTAACTCAGCTGCTGTGTTGTCCAGTCAAATGTGTTAGATGAAACCATCTGATTTCAGTGTTATAAACTGGGCAATGAATTGTGAATTGTACAATTTTACTTTTAAATTACAGGGGGGAAAGTAGATAATGTCTGTTCAATTCCCCACTTGCCCATTTTCCATGATTTCAGGTGCTTAGGAAGAACAGAACCAGAATGGCCTCTTAGCTTTCCCACTATGGGTAGTTTTACAGTGCAATGGTAGGCACCAAATGTATGCATAGGGTGCACATATGATCAGAGATCTCTTCTGGATCCTGTAGAAAGAATTTCATGACTCTGCATTGCATGTGAGCTCTGTCCATTGCTTTCTGCATAGCTGAAGAAAGACTTTGAAGTTGTTCTGACTAATTGATTTGGTCACTGAAAGACCTTTCTTTCTTCATTCTGGAGACAATATAGCTCAGGAAAGGAGGAATTTCCAGTCAAGGTAGCAGAAGGCTATGATTTAGCAATCCTCTGATGCACACACAAACACCTTTCAGCTCTCTAATTCTGGCTGTCTGAACATGTGAGCAGCAAACCATATGATGTGCTGGGCTTGATTTTTGTGTGCAGACAATCAGATGCTAACCAGCCAACAGAAGAGGGAGTACCAAAAGGGTAGGTACTTGCATTCTGAAAATAAAACATTGGGTTTATGCTTATCAGCATAGGTAAGTAACAATATAGTAAGTATAATATACTATAATAATATTTCTGTTGTTTTCCTCTTAATTTCACTAGTCTTATCTATAAAAACACAAAGTATTAGCCAAAGAAAAGTGAAGACCATGACGGTAGTCTAACAGCATAAACAGCACTGGAATAACAAGGCTAATCACCTATTTGTTAGTCTTACTGATTATTTTGTTACAGGTCAGTGAACAAAAAACAGTCATGAGATGTTAATCTCTCTAGCTGTTTAATCTTAACCACCCCCTCACCATTGCTCTCTCACGGGTTCAGCAGCAATATCCCCTCCTCCCCTCTTGAAATGACCTCATTTCAAAATACAGTTTCTCTCTGATTTGGCTTATAAGGGGTCAGACTGATGCTGTTTGAGTTGGGGTGAAATTTGCTCAGGTCCTGTCACTGGCTGCTGCCTATAGTTCTACTGAATTTGTTTCAGTGGAGACTCACCAGTTAATTTGTAATTTGTGAATATATTGAGCTGTGATAAGTGACAGCCCATCTAGGGCATGGGGAGCGTTGTTATGCAGCACAGCATAGACATATGAGGTAAACCATTAGAGATGTAAATATAGGGATTGGAAGATAGACTTCAGAGCTACTTGGCACTGCAGGGAGATGATTTTTCTTTAGCTGAGCCCTTTACCAAAATAAGAAAGCAGGATGGTTAAAGGGGAGAGCTGAGAGGCACAGGCCACATCATCCTGCCCAACGCTGGATCCTGTATGGGAGTGGCAAAGCACTGTGGAAAAGGGAAAGTGTATTCCCTGCCTCTGAAGCACTGCATCCGCTCACTGTCTCTGTACAAGTAGCATAGTGCCTTGAGGAGCAGTAGGGATGCACTGGGAGAATGTAAGCTTCTAACATACTGGCAGGAGGAAGCAGGATTGAAGTGGCTAATGGAAGAGGAATGGATGTCTGAGGTGCAAGATATGAAGGTGGAAAGGAAGGAATGGCTGTGAAGATTTAAAACAAAACAAAAAAAAAACCAAAAAACCCAACTAAAATACAAGTTGTAAATGTATTATAAAGCTATGGTAGAAGACATTGGTTAGCTCACCTACAACTAAGTGAAGTACATGAAGTCTAGGTCTTTGTTGTGTCTTTACTTCATTTGCTTCATTTGCTCAAACACTTTTGAGTTTGTTCCAGGCTTCCTTGGAGGGATTCCTTGTTTTGCTTCTGTAGCTCCCTGCAGGATGCAAATGTTAATAAGCACAAGCACAGCAGGCAGGACTGAATCCTTCAGGAGAGATGGGGACTGCAGAGCAGATCAGCTTCCCTCCTGCTGTGTGACATGTGATGCACGTTGAACTCAGGGCTGTGGGGGTGCTCCCTTACTCTAGTTCAGCAAATCCAGCACTGCTGCTAGAGTGTTTTCTTAGCTCTGTTGCTTAGTGGAGCAGTGGTAAACAAAAGGCCTTAGCAAATCATGGACAAATAGAAAGGCAGAACCTATTTCATGAACATTCTGGGCTAATCTGACATTACTGGGTTCTTCATGGAGTCAGGGTTTTTGTTAGCTTCTTTTAAAATAGGCTTTCTTTTCTTTTAACCTAAAAGTAATGGTAGTAAATGTTTTGGGGTTTTTTTCAGAGATATTAGGCAGAAGAATGCTTTCCATGTATACATAACTGGAGTTGACATTCCAGCTCACGAGTGACACCTCCTGCCAATGTCATGCAATCCAATTTAGAATTGACATGAGTGTTATTAGGAAACATCTCATGCTAAAGGGAGTTGAGAAGGGCAGACAAGACTGGGACATTTGGTGTTGCATTGCAAAAACTCCTTTACTGGCTCGTGTGAATTCTCCAGACCTACTTTGTCACGGTGTTGCTTTCCTCTGGTCAGTGTGTCCAGTTGATTGCAATCCTTTTTATCTCTCCTTGCTGAATGAGTGCCTTGCTTTTGATGTGCTGTTGGTGTCTGGTACTTGATGCCTCAGGGGATAGAGAGCCTCATATCATCTTGGGCTTAGAGTGCCACAGGCACTGTAAGCCATCAGGCTGGTTTACAGACCTACTGCATGAGTCCACTTGCAATACATGCTTGGAGGTAAGAGGTTCTAGCTTCAAATTCTTTAATGCTCCTGAAGCTACTCTCATTTTTGCTGCACTTGGGAAAGAAACAGGTAAGCTGTAGGTGGCTCTCATTGGCCAGTGGCATAACTGACCTTTGCAAAACTTAAAATTACTCTTAGGCCAAGCTTAAAAGCAAGCAAATAATAGACAGACATAAAGGCTTATTCTACTGGAAACATGTAATCCTGTTTACCTCTACTTGAGGAAAACACACCTTTTGAAATTGTCATGAATTCCAGGAGCCTGAGCTAGATGCCATTTTTAAGCTACAATACAAAACATCTCTATATCCCCCCCCATCCCCCCAAGAGAATAGGCACAGCCCAAGGTTTACACCATCCTTTCCATGTGCAGCTGTTGGAGCTCAGCAGGCTGTAACTTGGTGACTCTGCTGGGCCAAGTCCTGCTGCCTGGTGCTCCCCTGCCCTGGCTTTGTAGGAGTTGGGGTGAAATATGTTCACTTTACTTCTGGGCATGCTCTGCAGCTTCAGGGCCACTCAGCATGGCATATAGATGCAGGGACATCTTGAAAGGCTGAATCCAGTGGTCCTGAAAGGACAACTCATAGACTCATATGCCTGCAGAAACTATGTGCTAAGACTCTTCTGGTCAGCAGAAGCTAAGTGCTTCAGCAGTCCTGGTGGATAAATGAGCACTGTTTGTTATGTCCATCTGAACTGCCTCAAGGCTGTGACTTGTGCTCCCTAGGTATCTCTATATCTTAATAAAGCTAGCACATGATTTTCAAGGAGATTTAAACCAAGGCTTCAAAACTGATGAGGGATAGCAGGATATCTTCACCAGTTTACTTCCGTGGGGGAAAAAAATCCACAGAGACTGAATTTTCAGATGGGCTGGATTCCAGCTCTTTGAGTCTAGGACTCTTAATGAAGCATAAGCTGAGTTCCAAGAGTTACTGTTAATTTAGAACAGTAGATTTAACCTCTTAAATGAATTAAGACCTAGCAAAATAAAGTATCCTTAATTTCCCAGCTTATCAAAACATTTCCTTTCCTTTCTCATAGAGTGGGAATAATCTTTAGCGCATGATTAAAATGAAGCAGTGTTGTTGGCTGAAACAGAAATTGAAGAGCCTGATAACATTGGCTTATCTTCTTCTTTAGAAAATTTTGTAACTTTGCTACCTTGTGATCGTTAAGGAAGTGTCTCTGAGTCCACAAAGGGCAAGATCTAGGCAAGTGGACAGTAACACGAGCTGAGCAGAAATACTATTTCTGTTCTTTATCTCTGCTTGCATAACATCAGAATATAAACCAAAGCTAAAAAAGGCCCACCTCTCCTCCTCCCATGGGGAAAAAAAAACCCACCAAAACCCAAATGCAGACTCAAACACCCCACCACGGAAAACAGCATTAATAGCTCGCTGGAAACCTTCCAAGAAAACATTGCTCCTCTGCAGTGTATGGTAAGCACTCAAAACAGAGATTTCTAAAAATATCCTGGGTTGGACTCTCAAGAAAAGTATTCCTGTCCATAAAAAGCAAGGCTGTAAAAATATAGTGTAACATTCAAACATTCACAGCAAAAGGAGGGACAGTTGATCCACCCACTTAATCCAGGAGCAGAGAGGAAGATCTCTCCTTCTAAGTGACATTGTGAAATGCGCCTACATCACAACTAGTGACATTTCTAGTTCTTGATGTGGAAGAATTCAACTAAGAGAGGTTACAGCCAAGGCTATTTTGGTGCATGTAACTGTGAGCTGGAATGAGCTCTAGCACTTTCAGGACACTGGGTGTCAGTCTGTCATTAATATTACAGCTAAGCATGTCTGAGATAAAAAAAAATGTTAAGTGCACCAGAAACACTGTGAATTACATGTGAATCATCTCTTATAGTCTGACTACAATTCCACATCAAATTGAAATAGTTGCTTAGGAAACATCTATAAATTATATGCTACTAAAAGCACAATCTACATATTCCAGTACAAATGCTTTTTTATTATGGAGCTGGGCCATAGACAATACTTTCTTGAGATTTGAGTAATGAATTAAAGATTGTAATAACTCTCCTACTTTTTTAAAAGAGCAATTATATGACTAAAGAGATATTGCTAGAGAAGCTTGCTTTGAACAGACGCAAGGCCCTTGTGAAGCAGGCAGTATCTCCCCAGGCTTGCATAGCCTTTTTCCCCACTCCACATTAGTGGTAATTAGAGCATAGTTGTGGGAATGCTCTTCTGTAAACCATTATGGCAAAGGTGCAGGAGCTGGATTACATCTTAGTGTGGATATCAGTAACTGGACTGCCCTTTTCTTGCCTCTCGCTGGCACACTGTACGGTAGAGGAGGTGGTGGTGAACAGTTTGGCTTTTTGTTCTGAAAAGGTTGGAACTCATTTGCTATTACTAATGGGGTAAAAGGGCTAATTAATTCAGTTTAAAATGTAGCATATTTTTAAAAGGCACAGATATTATTGGATAGCTTCACTTTTACAGATGTGCTGAAAAAACAAATCACTCACTTTTGCAGAGCTCTGCCAGTGAGTTGCTGAGGGTCTCATGCTGTAAATCTCAAAGATCTCTTCTATAGGAATGCTGTTCTGTGAAGACAGGTTAGAAGAGAGGTTTGGCTCTCAGAAGTAGTATTCTTTCAAGTCAATGGATGAAATCAAGCTCATATCCCCTTTTCTGAAACAGCTCTCACATGAGCTCCTTATAATGTTTCATACTGCTAGTATGAATCAATTGATCTGGTCCTTAAACTTGCTTGCCATTTTGCATTTGGCTGAGACAAATTAAATAACATGTACACTAGCACAGGAACACCTACTGAAACTGCCTATGTTGTTTTCTTAGGCTGAGCAAAACTTTATGGCTTCTTGATAAAAATTAGATGTCTTTGTAATATTTGTAATGTCTGTATACTGTGTGAATGAATGTGTGAATGAACAAAGACATTCTAGGTACAGGGAGTGTTTCTATTTTGTCTGCCATAGGATAAATGCTCCTGCCATCTTTCTTGGTCTCTTACCATTAGTATTCCAGCATATGAAGATAATACCATAGCTTTTCTCTCATTTCAGTTGGGATATGTGTATTGGTTGTGAGCTGCAAAATCCCTGTATGGTGTTCTGAACAAGAAGATTATTAGCCTGGTAGTTTTAATACACACAGTAGTCCTGGGCTCAATTCACTGCTGCTTTTACTCCATCTTCACATTGGTGTAAGTCACTGCAGCAGCAGGACTTGGCTCTTTGCAATACTCACATTTTCTCTCTTGTCAGTGTAGTCTGAGTATCTGAGTCACTTAACCACATCAAAGCAACACTGAGGGCTAAGTTGTAATGGGACCTGGAAAGACAGAAGAACCTTATGTGGTTTGTTAGACTAATTGCTTGAGTGAAGACAGAAAGACCAGAGTACTGTAGGGAAACATGAGCTGTAACTACACTGGGTAGCTCATGTTGTACGAAGAGGAGGAGGTCTGAAGTATTTTAAACATACACAGGAAGACTTTGTTCTCTTATGCACCAACAGCTTTAGTTTATGAAAAATAACCTCTGGTTAGGTCACTTAACTTTATCAAATACCTTCTGCAAATGAGCTTTTCCTTGCTAAAAAATCAGCAAAATCTGTAATTATCGTGGATACACTACATCAGAATTGGCAACTCGCAGCCAATTTCTTTAGGTACTCTTTTCAGTAATGGGCTTTTATTGGCCATTATAGGGACAGGCTATATAGCTGTACCAAGCTAAATAATCTTTCAGAGTTCTCAGCAGACCTGCAGTTAAGAGGATAGAAAGTAGGAAGTCTGGTGATTACCATGCCATCTAGAAAGGTAGACTGCCTTTGTCCTCTTGGACCAAATCCCTTTTCTCATAGTCTGATGCCAACATAATCTCCCCTTAAAGCAAGGAAACAATTCTGAATTACACCTGTTTCTAAGCAAACCAGTGCATAGGAAATGTAATAGATGACTCTAAAGCTCGTTCAAGACCGACGCTAAGTTTACTATGATTCAGGGCTAGGAGTCTACTGATGGATCTCTCACAGACAGTTCCCAAGTAGGAAAGCTGTTAGTTGTTTGCATCTCTGCTAATTTTAGCTTCCCTCAAACCCAACTGTTCTCTTCTCCACAGGCTCCAAAATATGAGACTAAGTGCAAATATGAAACAATTACTTGAAGTCTGGGGCCTAAACAGAAGAATTTCACTGTACAGCCAAAAGACTGAAAGAGATGCTTCACTGGTGCTTGTCCTTGTCATTCAGGGGAGGCCTGATTCTGTGACCTTTCCTCAGACTAAGTGCTACTGATCCATGCAAGCATTCCTAGGGCAGGTGGGCACTGGACTTGTACGGAATAGATGGAATATTTCTTACATCCCCTAGGAGTTATCTGCTGGGCAATCCTGCACTGAAGAGCATGAAATGTTGCTGCATGAGCTAGGAGACCCCTTACAGACAGCAGCTGCTCTGGCTGCATTGCAAGGGAGGAGCTCTGCACCACCTTGGTTGCTCTTACTGAGGAAGTTTTGGGCAGTCAGGTCTCCCACTGCTGACTGAATGTAACAAAATGAAGAGCATGTCAAAGGAAGTTTGTTCATACTTTCCAGCAAGAGAAAACTAAGGTTTGAAAGCTGTCATCTACCTAGGTTTTACAATCCTTTGTAAGGAAAACAAGCCAATCTCAAGTGCAGTGAAAGCAATTGTGGGCAGGTACTACTTACAGGAGATTTTTGATCTGTTTCTTCAGGAGTTTTCTTTCCATATTCTAGTTGTCATTGTAATATAATTTCAATGGATCTAGGAGAGAGAAAAGTACATCCTATAAACTATCTCTGTCAGTGATTCTCTTCATAACAAGTAAAGAGAGTGGGACACTAGGAGACTGCCTACAAAAATATAGCCAAAACCATTTCCAAGGTAGGATTAAAATAAGAGCTTAGAAAAAAATTAATCAAGAAAGAAGACAATATACACAGTACTGAAAGTACTTTACTCTTTACAAGAGTTTAGTAAAGGGAAATGGACAAAATGAGCCCATTTAAGGCATCAACTTTGAGCATCAGCTTGCAGCTTGTTCGCATCCCCATCAGTGATGTATATTTCCTCATATATTGCAGTCTATTGACCCACTGCCACTTCCTAGTTTCTTAGCAGTGGCTTCCTCTCCCTACTGTGTGTCTGTTAATCAGATCTATGTGGTAGAAAGAGGGGATGGACTGGGAAGAAAACAGGGCATAAGAGATGAATTCCAGCAAAGAGAAAAGCCAGCACTTGGCCCACCAATATATTGTAACATCAAAGTGCATGTTCTACTCCTCTGTTCCATGATACACACAGCTGTTCATGAATATTGCCCCCAAATTCTCTCTCTCATAAATGTACAGAAGAAAGTATGCTCTACCTGTGTCAGTTCTTGCAACAGGCCTCAGGATCTGAGTTTGGAGCCTCTCTGACCTTGGGTATTTATGAAGAGGAATTCCCTCTTGATGTTGCTGTTCCTTTCTTGTCTCTGCCTCTCAGTTTATGTGCCAGGGAAATTAGGCTATGGCTTCTTGCAGGACAGCTGCTTTCTCCTGTTGCTTAGAAACAATGCTGCTGAGCTGAGAGAAATTAAAAAGGAAAAAAAGCAGCAAATCAAAACTGCCACAAAGAAGAGGTTAAACCTTCAGTTTGTGTTATCAGTTTCAAGCTAGATGATACTAATACACTTCCAGGCATTGAGTTTCACTGCTGAGTGGTTGGTTGGAAACCAAGCAGACTCGCTAACAAGGGAGGTAGAGACTATTCACTGGGTTTTCTGATGGATGTAATTACTTGTAAATGAAGCTACCAACTTCTACTACTACGAACAACGAAAAACTAAAATTGATACCTCCCCAGAGCCCATCTAGGGTTCCATTTGCAGTGTTTGTAGCATATAGCAAGGATCCTGGCTACTTGTTCTTTCATCAAGGTTATGTTTTTGCTTACAGTATTGGGAGAAATTTTAATAGTCAAGAAATTCCAACATGCTGTTCTAAACCCCACAATTGTCCTTCCAATGGATGCAGGACTCATCTTTCATGGGATTGCTGATGGTAGCTAATCTATCATGATGGCTAGCAAGCCACTGAGGAGAGGCTATGGGGTTTTGTAGATTAGGAAGTTTTGCAGGTTGTAGTTCTGAATGAAAGAGCCATCCCCCTCCTTGGAAATGTACTTCTGTTATTAAATAATTTCCTAATAAAAAATATGAATGGGTTTATGAGACATGATAATAATGTTGCCTCTCTTTGTGATGGTCTAAGAAAATATACAAGGAAATATATTATAATGAGACATAGATGATCTCCAGGAATAAATATACTTAGCATTTATAGAATTTGTTCTGTAGTTTCTCCTTTCATTTGCCTTTCTCTTTTACTCTATGGCAAAAGGAGCGCCAAGCTTAGCACTTCCCCACCTTTCATTCCAGCTGAGGAGCTTGTAATTAAGCTGGATTTGATTTCTGAGAGCATCCTCCATGCAGGCATCACGGCAAACATGTCAAAAATAGAGCTGCTGCTTGTTTTCTCTGAGAAAAACAGATCTAATGCCTGCCAGGCATAACTCCACCAGTTACACCCACCCAGGGCTTATATGCTGCTATGGCCAGGTGACAGGGAAAAATGACCTTCACAAAGCAAACAGAGCCATGCCAGGACTAACCCGAAGTCCTGCTAACCCAACCCCTCTCCTGTTATGTGGCAAAAGTGACACCCTAATGAAGAAAGGGACTTTCCTGCAATGAGTCTGGTCCCTAGTCCTCGGGTGAGCTCATCCCTGCCATTTCCACCAAAGCAAGAAATGCTTCTGTATAATTTCAAGGCAGGGAATTTTGCTGTGTTTGTTCTTTTCCCTGGTAAAAATAAATAACATTCACTAGTGGATGCCCACAGAAGAGATGGAGGAACTGTGCAGGCAGGTATCAAGCTTTGCCAGTGTATTTCTCTGTTCTCCAATGCAGGACCTTCTTGAGCAAAAAGTGTTGCCTTGGCAGTTAATAGCTCTTGTTTGTTTTTAACTTCTACAATTTTGTCCAATCACTTTCAGAAAAAGTGAAATTGAAATTTTGAGTAATAGCATCAGCAATATCTCCTGGCAAAGATTTACACTGTTTCAATAGAGCTGTGTAGGAAAGGGTCTCTGGTTTTAAGATGTCAACTGTTAATTCAATTTACTGACTGGTATGCTTAATAAACTTAGTAGAGAATATTTAGGCCCCCTGACTGTGGGATTTGTCACACATGGATCACAGAGTGTACCTTAGAGGATACTTATATCTTTTTCTGACAGCCAGAGAACTAGCATTTAATGGCTGACTGTTTCCCTTGAGCAAGAAATAAAATTTGCGGTAGTCTGTGTGCCTACAGAATTGTTACCCACTGCACATCTAATTTCCAGGATAAGTATGGAGGGTGTTTGGTCAATGTGCTACTTAATTAGGTTGGAATGAATAAACATATTTAATAATTATCATTATCTAATGCTCATCTGCTGATGTATTAACAAATACCTCATAAAATAGGAGTAGGGTTTAGGACTCTTGCAAAGGGCTACCTTTGTCTGTGGCAGAAAGTATGATGTTCAGGTGTTAGAAAGATAAATTACTTGTCAGTAGAACTGCCTCGCTGAGGTCTAGAGCTTGGAATGTTTCAATAATCTCAGCTCCAGAGGGATGTTAACAAAGTTGGGAGAAGGATGTATTAGTCATAGTGGAAACAAAGGATGCAGAATTTACAAGCCACAAGGACATTTGGCAGAACTCCCAAGATAAGGAAGTAACTAACAAAACCAATTCAGTAGCTGTGCTGAAATCAGCCCCAAGTACGTAGAAGGTGATTCTGGCAAGGGGAGATTGCGACCATGAAATTCACCAACTCAAAAGAAGAGAGACTGAGCATGTAGACTGTAATAGTAGATAGGATACTAATTAATCAGAGAACTATGTAGCTTGTAGCCAATGAATACCAATGCATTTGTTTACTAAAATGTATGAATTGTGATAATTTTTGGCAGTCATTATACTGGCTTAGTGCCTTTGACACCTAGCACTCTTTATTTGTGCAGAGTTGTACAAAAATCAAATACAGCTCACCTCTCTGTGGGGATCGGCCTCTTGCACACCAAGTAAAAGAACCCATTTTGGGAAAACAGCCAGCTGTTTTCAGCAGTTTTACGCCCTTGGTACCCCACTCTGTAAATTGGTTTTCAAAATATTTGGCTGCTTTTCCTGTATGTGTAATTTCGCAAAAATATTTTAACATCATCACACCAGCACATGTTATGTAAACTTGAAGGCAAATGCAAGGGCGTCTGGAAAACAATGCATTACCTCGGGCTGAAGTGTGAAGTACGAATAGAAGTAATTCCGTTTAACGGTCACAGTTAACGGTCTTTGTCACAACGGGAAGGTACAGACGCTAACTTTGGGGTGGCGTATGTCCTCCAGACGAAGCCCGGCCCTCCCCGCGGCGCTGCAGGAGCGGCCCGGCGCGGTGGGGCCGGGGCCGGCGGCGGCAGCGCCTGCCCGCGGCTCGCGTCCAGCCCGAGGGCAGCGGGGCCGCGGCGCCCCCGCGCGGCCGGGCCGGGGCGCACGGAGGCGCCGCTCTCCGCCGCCGGCCCGCGGGGCGGGGCGAGGGGCGGGCCGCCCGCCGCCCGCCGCATTCGAAAGTCGCTCGGCGGGCAGGGCTTCCTCTTCCACCTCTTCCTCTTCCCCCTCTTCCTCGTCCTGGTCCTCCTCCGCCGGGGGGCCGTGCCGGGCCGCGACGCCGCTTCTCGGGGCAAGTGCGAGCCTCGGCCGGTGCGGGCTTGCGGAAGGGAAATACGGGCGCGGACCCTGCTCGGGGTCGCTTCTTCAGCGATGGCAGCCTGGGAGGCCGCCGAAATGTCCTTCTTCAGTCTGAGCTACGCGAGAGAGCGGATGCGGGAGAAGAAAAAGGGTGCCTTGAGGACTGCGAAGCTGAATGCCTCGCTTGCATCGAAAATCAAAACGAAGATCATCAGTGAGTATATTTTGCGTTGGTGTGTGTACATGTGCTGGCTGCTATGTCAGCTCATAACTGGGCCTTTGGCCGTGGCATCGGGAGTGGGCAGCAGTCCCGCACCAGAGCCCATGTGCTGCTTCTCTGCCGGGGCTGCTGAGTGAACTCAGGGCCCTGCCGATGAGTGTCAACTGCCACTCGAGGTGCCCAGAGGTGTATGAAGTATTTGTAGTGTATATGCAATCCTCTGCGGAATCTACGCCAACTGACTTGTTTTTATGGGGGAAGTAATGCAAAGATAGAACAGGCCATAATTTAGACTACCTTTAAAAACTCGGGTATTTCCATTACTTTCATTTAATTGTTTTGAAATTGGGAAACAGGGTTCCAAATTTACTCAAGGGCAACTATAGAGGGAAACAGTTTTTTCTCCCATTTTTTGGATGGTGATGCAGACTTACCTGTTGGTGACTTGTTCAAAGCAAGGAGCATGTATTTTTAAATATTAGGAACATTTATTTTTATGTATTTATTTTTATTATATATATATTATATATAATAAAATATATAATATATATTGTATATTTTATATTATTTTTATTATATATATTATATACTTAAATATTAGGATCATTTATTTTTATATATTTCAGCACTTCAACTATGCCATTATTCATTAGGAATTGAAGCAGTAGCTTGCTGCCTGAGTGTGACCCACTGAGGATGGAGAGGGTATCTGAAGTGTTGCATGTTATATGGAAGGACACAGGATACTGCTGATTTTGCAAGGGGGCTTTTGAGTTGTAGAGATTTGAATCTAAAGAAGGCTGGTCTAGGAAGAGAGAGAATTATGATGAGGGGAGAAGTATGGGCGAGACCTTGGATGCTGATGGTGTGTGATACTGCTCTGTCTCTCACAGACAACTCCTCCACTATGAAAATCTCTCTAAAGCAGAACAATAAAGCGTTGGCTCTGGCCCTCAATGCAGAGAAAGTCAATGCACAGCGGCTCACTCAGGAGAAGACTATTTTACAGAAGGAGGTGAAGCAGTGCCACTTCCAGAACGCTGTGCTGCGGCACAGGCTCTACTTTCTGGTATGGCACTAACTGTGTGGCTGGCATGGGGCGGGGCAAGGTGTGCTGCAATTGCAGCTCAGCTGTGGGAGGATTGAGCTGTTGCTGTTGAATTCTGGATTCTCAACATATCAAAAAGGTCACCATTCATTTGCTTGTTTTTGTTACCAAGCTGTGTTCTCCCCAGAACATGCATCTGGCTAGTAGCATCCTTGTTGGAATAGATGTTTTGATGTAATGTCTTTATGGCTTCTCTCTCTTTATTACCTCAACACAGAATGATACGTTGAAAAAAATGGACAATCTTATGGCTGCAGTTAAGATGGCTGAGCTGTCTGAGGTAAACCATGGGAAACATGAGCACACCGCTCTGGGAAGGGGCCTGTCTTTTTCTGTCTTTTACTTTATGTTGCCTGCTCACTTCAGTGTTGGATGCTTCACCTGTTTTTCTTTGCTTGCTTGAGTTGTTCTGGCTACATCCTTGCCAGCTTGGTGTTAAGGATTTCCAGGGTAACTCTTTGTGTAGGAAAAACTAGTTTTAAACTGTTTTCCTCTGGATTATCTGCTATGTTGGGCAGTAGGCTTTTCTGTTCTGACAAGTTATGATTTCTTTTCAATTTCTTTTTTAAAGTATTGCCATGGCAACTTGGGATACGGAATAGGACACTTTCCCTGTGTCCTGTCTCATGGGTGGATGGGATGCTTCTGCTTCCTAGTCTCAGATTATCTGAACTAGTTTAACTTCATCCTTAGGCCGTAGAGACACAATCTAATTCTGCTGCAATTTATTCCATAATTTATTCTGTAACGTGAGAGGGTTGCTGGCAATACTTTACATACTTTCTAGAGAAACTGAGCTTCTACTGTTTCTGTGCAGGAGGCTGCATGAGGGATTTCAAGAACTTTAAATCACTCTCCTGTTTTTCTTCTTTCCAGTTCCATACAAATTCTGCATCATTGTCCAGTGGCCAGAAGAGCATCATGACTGAACATAGCTGGGTTGATGATATTGTAGATGGTCAGCTTCTGAGGTGGGCTTTGAAATGATACCACCAAGCTTGTCCTGAATGTCTGTATGCTAAACACACTATGTGTGTGCCTAGTTGCCAGTTTCATATGAGATAGCTTCTCTGAACCACCGCTGCTTGATGCTTTCCTTTATTGTCTTTTTATTGCCACTCCTTTTCTGGTTTGTCCTAATGCTGAGTCTGTGCAAAAGCCGGTCTTTTTACCTCCTTTCTTTGAGACTGTGTTCCTTTTAGGCAGTTTTCTCTTTGTAGCTGGTGAATACAGCAAGATTTGCTTGAGCGAGTGCCATAGCTGGCTACTTTGATGTGTGTTACATAAAAATGCTTAATAGTCACCTGCTTGTATGATGTAAGCTTTCTGGAAAGATGGTCAGAGCATGATCTCTTAAAGTATATTTGAAGTCCTGTTTCTTCTCTGTGTAGTCTCCCCTTTGAAGACAGGGCAGTGTTTGGAGGTGCCCACATGTGGCCTGTAGTTAAGTCTGCTGGATTCTGGCCTGTTGTATATGAGAAACATGATCCATTGCTGCTCCTCCTTCTCACTAGGGTTACACAGATACCAATGAGAGTGCCCATTTCCAAGCTGCATGATGCAGAGCAGCAAGATGGCAGCTCCACAGCAGTACAGACATCCTCAGGAGAACTTCAGAAACCTGTTTCTAATGCAGGGGAACTTCAGAGACCTGCCTCTAATGAGGCCCTGAAAATTGTGCCTGTTGCCTCCAAAGATACTTTGCCACCACAGCACAATGAGAAGCCTCAGTTCCACCAGGAAGATAATGGCAAAAAGGTGACTGAAGCAATGGCAACAGAGGGGGCTTTTCATGACTCTCACATCTTTGGAGGTAAATTTGCATCTCGTTCTGTTCTTCTGGTATGACTTTGTGTCTGTATCCAGAAAGGCATGACTGCCATAGCTCCAGTTAATTCTCAACCACAACTCCAGTAGCTCCTAATGACTGGTATTTACTACATGCTCCACTGGGGCTGTTATTGCTGGAGTTATGTCTATCCCAGAATCAAAGTCTTCAGAGGGATATGTGGTGTGTTTGCAGTAGATCAAACTCACAAATCAGGCTTTTTGAGTAATAGGGACTGAGTTTACATAAGACTTTTGGAGATGTCTGAAAGTGCAGAATCTGGCTAGGTGTGCCACTGTTTCTTGTGGATTTGCCATATAAATAATAACTCTTGTACAGAGCATAAGTGTTCCTAATATTACAGCTGGGTTGGGCATCTTGATTTGGGCTGCCCTTTTGTTCAAAGAGAAGCCAGCTAAGCAAATCTGGTACACAGTAAGCTGGGGGAGTCCCTGTCTCAAAATCATGCTTTTCCTATGCTCTGAATTTGTGTCAGCGTATGGAGCAAAGTTTGTACTGGTATGGGGCAAGATAGCATTTGCCTGCTGCATTTCTCAGCCTTAAACGTGAATTTTTTCTTTCCAACAGAGGTCTTGTGCAGCACTGAACAAAATCCCAACAATTTGCCAATGCTTGGATTGGAAAGTCATACTCTTTCATATGAGGCTGATGAGATGGCAAAACATTTATTTGATTGTCTCTCACAAGGGCGTGTTACTCAGAGGAGAAAGCGCTCCACCCTGTTTGCTACAAGCACTCCATCTTCCACTCTGGATATCGTCACACCTGTCAGTTCCACTCAGGCAGCTCGGGGTAGTACTGCACAGGACAACAGCAGCTCCAGCAAGAACAACACACAGCAACAGCTGCCACCTCCCAGCCCCCTGGCTTCTCCTGCTCAAACTGCTGTTATTTCTCCTAGCAAGTCTGTGGGTAAAGAGATCTTTTGTGAGCAGCCACAGACAAAAGAAATGGGGTGTGGTGTTGAAACGGACCCTAACTATAGCCAAGTCCCTGAGTTTGTTCCTGTAAAGGTTAAAAGCAAAGGTAAGTGTAAAACTGGAAAGAAAAAGACTGTTAAAAAAGCAAGAACAGGAAAAAAGAAAACACCTGCAGAAAGTTTGCCAAAAACAAACAATGCAGAAAGTAGTCCTGATAGATCTCAAGGTGAAGAGTGTGCTCAAAATGCAGAGAAGCTTCTTCAGCCAAAAGTTGCAACATGTTCCAGTGAGACCAAAGTCTGTGAGATGGGGCAGAAGGCATTTGAGGGGGCTTTTGACAGGAGGAGTAGAGACTGTGGACAGCACCGTTCCCACTCTTCTGATGGAGTCCAAGACTTTGGAAGTACATATGAGGTGAATCCAGCACAGCTGCAGAGTCTTGAAAATGTTGACTTAATGCAACAGGTTAAGAAGGGACCTATCTTTGAGATGCAAAGGATGGAGAGCTTGCTAAAACCCCCAGTTCATACCTTCTCAAGTCATGAAGTTCCCTCAGGTGACTCTACAGGATTCTCAAGTGTGAGCAGAAAGAGCATCAGACAGAAAGCCAACAGAAAAACTAGAGTAATTAGGCAAAGTGATGATTCTGATGAAGAGTATTTGCCAAACACTGTGATAATAACAGAGTCCAAAGCTGAAGAACAGCCTAAAAGAAGCCAAAGAAGGAGGAAGAATACTGTCAGGAATAGCAATTGTGATCAGAGAAATGAAGATGATGTTTTTAGACCCTGCATAGATGTTCAAGGAGTAGCTAATGAGAGCACAAAGGATTTGCCAGGTAATCTAAAACAGCGCAGGGAAACATATATTGTCCATCCTTTGGATCTTGCAGAAAATGTGGGCTATTTCCAGGCGGAATCTGAAGGAGGTAAAAATGTACCTCCCAAGTCTGTTCCTGGGAGCAAAGTGAGCAAAATCTCTAGAGCCAGTAAGAGCAATCAAAAGAGCAATAAAAAACAGACAGGGAGCCTTCAAGAAAAAGGGCAAGGTGAAGTTGACCACAATATGAATTCTTTGAAAAAAGAAGCGCCTTGCAAACCCAGGTCTCAGATGAAGAGGAGCAAGTCTCAACCTCCAGAGACTGATTCCCTGGCCAGAAAAAATGATGGTGCCAAGGTTCTCATTGGAAATCCCACAGAACATGCACCCAAGAAAACTGTCAAGTTTTCCTGCATTAGCCATCTGCTGTCTGAGCTGGATGATTTCCTGGAGGAGCAGCTACCTGAGATATCACTTGTAGATAGTCTAACAGACCTTTCACACAGTCCTGAATCCTCCCATGTGAGCAGTTCTGCAGTTTTGCCTGTCAGCTCCAGACTTAGAGAAGTACCGGTTTCCAAGAACTTAAGTACTGAAGGCAACAGATTGCCAGAAAAACCTCCTGTTTCATTGAAAAAATCCCTGATATTTAAAGAAAACACTTCAGAGGAAATACCTGGGGAAAGGAACCAAGTCCAGTCAAGTTCTTGGAGCCTACTGGAACCTGGTAGGTGGTAAGCTGGGGAAAATACCTGTGTCTGGAGATGAGGGCAAAAACTCCATGCAGCAAGTGCTTATATTTTCCTTTCATCTTTCAGAGTCACTGATCAGTCTCCAGTACACCATTTATGCTTCCACTTGTGCTGGCCTGTCATTTCTGTGGCTGCATTTGCATCTAGCTGATTTGCATTTCCATAAGAATTTCTGTCCACATGTCCATGTGTAGATATTGGGCCTAACAGCATGTGCTGAGTCTTGCTTTACCACTCTTGTTATCTACAGGGCATGCCTATTAGTTTAGAAAATCAAGTATTCAAGCAGTTCAAAATCTAACTTGATGCTGACCCTGGCAGTCAGTATTATTGGGACACAAAATGACAAGAAAGTGGAAAATTTTTGGTCCAGAACGGTTAGTGCTGCAAGACTTCATACCTCTAAGGTGATATCTTCACTGGAAATTAACCAGGACCCAACCTAAATTATTTTGATTATGGGGTTTTTTTTTGTTTGTTTTTTAAAAGGATTTGGAGGGTGAATCCCTGGGCCACTATACTACCATAGTTAAGCTGATCCTTTTGAGGAGTTTGCTGTTAATGATGCTCAGTAAAGAGAGTAGTTCTGTGGGGTTTTTCTTTCTGTAGCTGTTGACAAATAGGCCTGTTACAACTGGAGTGAGCTGTACTTTGTAGAGAGGGAGGAGGTTTGTTCTCCTGCCTTCCTCCTTTTGGCTGACTCCACTTGGAAAGGTGCAGTGACCACTGGTCCTGCACCTTGCTGGAAGTCAGTAGGTTTCTGGTAGGTTGTTTGTGTGCTATAAGCTTGCTGTCTTCTCCAGGCTGTAAGCTCCTGAGTATTACAGCTATCAAATAGAGTTTTTATATAATTTTTCTACTATACCAGGGCCCATGACACTATCAGTATTTAGTGATTTTTTCATTGAGGGCCCTAATTTGATTTATGAGGTGACTTTTGAGGAGCAGGTCTGGTATTCTTGTATTAAAATGGTCTCCTGAGTTCAGAGGCAATATGATTCAATTCCGGATTGTGCATGTTCAGAGAAACCTGGTAATGCAAGTCGTTTTTATTTGTCAGCTGTTATTTCTTAGGATATCTGGAAATGATTTGGAATCACTTTGATCAAACCATGTGAATGTCTCCCTTTGCAGATATCAGGCCACTACAGGACTTGAACAGTCCCAGGGTTGTGTCTCACTCCGGTTCAGAGGAAGCATCAGGGTGCTCAACCAGGCGGAAACGGAAGCCAGCCTGCTACAAAGAGCCATCAATCAGAGGGTTAGGCTTTAAACTATTCCTTCCAAAGACTGATCCCATGCTGCAGCCCCTGCGCTGTTCTCAGATAATAACTCTCCAGGGCTCAACCTTCTGTTGCTTTTTTCAAAGTTCTTACCCTTTGTGTTCTATCACCCTCCTCTTACCACTTTGTGGTTATGCCAAAATTCTGCATCAGTACACATGGGATGTTTAGGCTTCTGGTAACAACCTACCAAAGATGTTATTTTACTTGTTGAAATGAGCACATCTCTTGGCAGACTGCATCTGTGGTACTCCAGTGCTAATGAGGCAGTAGTGCAAGATAAAATACAGGCTAAAGACAGCTCAGCAAAAGCCCTATTTCATTTACATTCTGTGATGACTACAATTTTAGATACCCAAGTAATACTTTCCTCCTGAGAGCAGCCTGTATCTATATTCACTAGCAGATATACCTAAACAAATAACTTCATCTTTTCCCTAAGAAGCTGTAGATTCAGTACATCCAATGGCTATTGCACAGAGTCATGTACTCCTAAAATTACAGCTTTGCAGTTATATAATGTTACTGGGTGTGTTTTTCCCTGTAAAGTGTCCCAGTTTAAACTTTCCATGAATAGCTGGTTATATTGCACCAGAAAGTACTCTGTATTGGACAAGAAACAAACTGTACCACTTAATCATCTTATGGGGAAGAACTGCACTAAAATTAGAAACTTTAGGGACTAAAATCATACATGAATTCAAGGAATACTTGATGGTTCAATGTAATCCTTTTGGTTCTGCAGGAAACTGAGGCAGGGTGACCCATTTACAGACACCAGGTTCCTCCACTCTGCTCTCTACAAAAGCAAAGAGCCTGTCAAAGCCAAGAGAATGACCAAGATGAAAGAGAATGAAGAATTGTTTCCTGAAGGATGTCTCAGTGCCAAGGCAGTTGTTGAAAGCAGCCCGCAAGATCCTAGAAGCTCATGCATTTAGCCACAAGGCTACAGCTTTGAACGCAGAGGCCCAAGCAAAGATGAAGGTGGCTGACCAGGCAGCTGAACTATTCCAACTAAGGCAACCCAAGGACCAATTTGACAAACTGAGCCTTGTGCCATGGGTTTTTTCTGTTTTCAAATCTTTGGGACTTATGGGGTGGTTGACATAAATTGATGGATGTCTGTTTTGATGATGGGCTTATGTGCTGTATGATTAGCCCCTAGCTATCTTCTGCTTTCTTCCTGTTCTCTCCTTGTCTGCCATGTAAAGCTCCCTGCAGCAGAAGATGAGCCTTATGCCAACCAACATTAAGGAATATTTGAAACACAGGGTGCATAGGACCAGACCTAAACATGTCTTGTTTCAAACATTCTGAGTATTGCTACAAAAAAGGTGATTGGAGGAGAGGGTCCCATGAGACAGAACTGTTCAAAAACCACTCCCCTTTTCCTATCACTCCTTGCCCTTGTTAAAAAGTACCTCCTTCAGCCTTCTTGTAGCCCCTTGAGGTACTGGAAGGTGTGATAAGGTCTCCCTAGCACCTTCTGTTTTCCAGGCTGAACAACCTCAACTCTCTCAGCCTGTCTTCATAGGAGACATATTTCAGCCCTCTGATCATCTTTGTGTTCCAACACATGCATATACCTCTTAAGCTGGTAATCACAGAGGTGGACAACAGAACTCCAGCTGGGGTCAGTTGCATTTAAGGAAATAATTTACACTTCCATTGCAGCACCCACTGGCTTCAAGCACTTGCTTTTTTTAGGGTCTACTGGTGTGACTTTGAAGGTTATTGATTCTAAATGTTTGAGAGAATGGTGGGGAAAAGAAGGGATCACACCAGTAGTAAAAAGGAAGGAAATGTGCCTGTTTGGAAACAGGAAAAGTGTTTCCTCTTTGTAGTAGAGCAGGGAGAGGGCTGCTCTTTTCTTCTGCCCATACTTACTCTTTCTCCTCAGCACCTCAGCAACATCTATCAGTTCATGAGGTTAGGCTGGGTCTTGCTGTACTCTCTGTATTCAGAGGACTCCAGAAGATGGAAACTTCATTAGTAGAGGGGAAAATAGTATCATTGGCAGTCAGGTTAATGCTACTGCATAGCTTACATTTAAGCTGTACTCTTAAGTTATTAAAACCAGGAAAGAAAAAGCCTGAGATTCAAAAAATGCCTTATTTATCTGTTCAATTTTCTGGAAGTTACCAAGCTTTCTCTGGTATTCTGTAACTCTGGAAGCCAGGTAGGAGCTAGTAAATTACACTTATAACACTTGTTATAAGTGCTGTTGTATTAGAACCTGTCTGTGTTGACCCAATGTCTGAAGCCAGGCAGGAATGTAGATCTCCAAGTGTTCCCAGTAATTGTTTTCATTACCTCTATGGGTCAGAAATGGGACTTTTTACTTCTGCATTTATGTGCTTATACTAATAATAGAATAATAGATTGTATTCATTGACATGTAAGGTACAGAGACAGCTGCTAGCAGTTACAGAGCTGTGCTTCAAACACAGGGTAAGAGTAACTCCTTTAGTCTATTGGTATCTTTATCTTAATCACCATCTTTAGCAGTCAGCTGGAGGGAGAGAGTTCGTTCATGTGTAATCAGTTTCTCTTTTGCTGAATAATGATCTATCAGTTTGTATTACTCCCCAAATAAAATTTCAATGAATTCTTGTACACTACGTGATGCTTACCATGACACTACACTTGACAGCTTTGCCTAGGCTAGAACAAATTGAAACTCTATTGTAAGAAGGGAGACACTTTGTGTTTATATCATATTCCAAGAGTCTGTCCCAGCATGTACTGGACTGTGCTGAAAGCTACTGCAGTCTCTGAGGCAGTTTCCCCATATCTGCTAATCACATGAAGGAGACACAAAGAATGTTAGTCTTTTATTTTAGTCTGAATTAAAAATATTCCTTAAAAAAAACCAACACACAACCATGGATGGAATAAGTTTTCACAGTCATGATATGACTTGCTGTAAGACAACAAGGATAAGTAATAGCCCAGACAGTTGGATAAAAGTTTGCACCTTTATGAATTGTGGGGTGAGGGAAGAGGTTAACAGCTCCTATGCTTCACATCCAGTCAGAAGGAGCATAACTAAATGCATGGCCTGCATTTAGACACTGCAGCATGGCTTTGGTAGGCTCTTAGCCTATAAGGCTTGTTTCCAGCATTTACTAAGTGCTACTCAAATGCTACAGTCCTGACTGTAGCAATGGAACCAAATCCCTTGGTGTCAGGATACTGTGCTCTGGTTTGCACTACAAAATAAATTCAGGAGGGCTGTGGTAGAGCTTGCATAGCCCTCCAAATTCACTTATACTCACTGGAAAGGACTCAAGAGAGGAGGATTGTATTCATTTCTAAGGTCTGCTGGACAGTGGGTGACTGCTGACTTGACCAGAGCTGTGACACAAACTGGCCTTCAGACTGAGAAAGAGATAAACATAGATCAACGTCACAGAGGAAAACCTCAGGTCTGCTGTGAACAAAATTAGGAATCTAGACCCATATCAAGCTTTTATCAAATTCATCTGCTAAGCAAAAGTAGGGCTTAGCCTAGCAGCTCAAAGGGTTTCAGAAAACATGATTTTCTGAAAGTTTTAAAAGTGTTCACTTTTATCTAGTGTTTGCAATATTATACAACAAAGCATAATCCAGACCCACTTTGCGAGCAATGACAGAAAAGCCAGGTACATGTTTTCTCCAATATCCTAAAGTTCCCGTTAACTCATATATTTTCTTCTTTGATGGGGGCACCTGTATTTGTTCCGATTCCTTGAAAGTGTTTGGAGGAGCTACTGCATTGGCTGCATCTACCAAGTACCCAAAATTTCTTGGTCCTTGACATTTTTCAGGCTGATTTCAATTTCTGCTTCATGTAATGCTTCCCATAATTGTTGCTGCTTCTCCCATCTTGTCATGGGAATCTCCTTCAATTAGAGTATCATCTATATATTAGTATAGTTTCACATCTGGGGGAGTGAGACTGTAAAAATTCAGCAAGATGGAGCAATCATGGGTGAATGTACCTTGGAGGGAGCCTATTAAAAAACTAAAACCGATGAGAGAACAACTGCTAAGAAAGCAAGAACAGGAAAAAATAAACAATTGCAATTACAAACAATGCACCAAGTAGTCCTGATAGATCTCAAGGTGAAGAGTATGCTCAAAATGCCAGAAGCCTCTTCAGCCAAAAGTTGCAACATGTTCTAATGAGACTGAAGTCTGTGAGATGGGGCAGAAGGCATGTGAGGGGGCTTTCGACAGGAGGCTGTGGTGTGGAGAGCACCATTCCCACTCTCCTGATAGAGTCCAAAATCCTGAAGTACATATGAGGTGAATCCAGCACAGCTGCAGTCTTGAAAGTATTTACTTAATGCAACAGGTTAAGAAGGGACCTATCTTTGAGATGTAAAGGATGGAGAGCTTGCTAAAACCCCCAGTTCATACCTTCTCAAGTCATGAAGTTGCCTCAGGTGATTCCAGTCTACAGAATTCACTTTTCTTGAGGAAAGAGACCTCCAGTGCCTGTGCTTTGCAAGAGGACTCAAATGTGATCAGACAAAAAATCAAGAGAAAAAATTATTCTGATAGGAAGTGCCAGTGTGATAACACGTGATGATCAGTGTGATAATACCAGATGGCCAAAGTTGAACAACAGCCTAAAAGAAGCACAACAAAGCTTGAGACAATGCCACTTACACTTTGATGTAAGTGGGAGACATTTTGTTAGGGGAGCTTGAGTGTAACCCATGCCTTAAGCTTTGGGCATAGAGGCCAGCTTCTGCTTCAAGTTTTCAGCAAGCTTGTCCATGAACTCAAAGGTGTTCAGGTAATCAGAGCGTGTGACACTGGTGGGGCAAACAAAACAAGACATATTAGCTGTACAGACTCTCAAATAACCAAAGCAGAGGAAGACTTTTCAAGGAACTCTTATGTTTTGTCTCTAAAACCAAAATAGTTCTCTCCTGCTCATGATGCTGGGTTTTTCTGCCATAAGGCTCTGGGAAGAGGTAGCCAGGTGATATTTTACAGTTATGTACTTCTTCATTTATTAGGATCTGCCCAACATAGCTATAGTGTCATACAAAAAATATAAACCTTTGCAGTTCCTTTTTTAATTTTTTCTCCCATTCATTTGGTGCAATAGCAAGGAGAGAGAAATCTGGCCTAAGCTGCTTGGATCAGGGAGTGTCTCATGTTCATTTTACAACACTGGGTACAGCAAGTCCTGTGAGACAGACTCCTGTTCTTTACCATACTAAAAATAACATTCCAGCCAATGCTGTTCAGAACCATCATGTAAAATAGCCTTCTCTAGACATGGCTGGTTATTTAATATACTTACTTAGGCAGACCTTTGATGCAGGCAGCAAGGTCCTTTGTCATGAAACCAGATTCAATGGTCTCAATGCAAACTTCTTCCAGGGCAGCTGCAAAGTTCCCGAGGCTAGTGTTGTTGTCCAGCTTAGCTCTGTGAGCGAGGCCTCTTGTCCATGCGAAGATGGAGGCTGAGAGAGAACACTGGGTTATTCTATCCATCTAGAACTGTCATGGGGAACAATAACTGGATTTTTAAATACCAATAAAATGGAAAGCAGACTGAAAAAAGATAGAAAATCTGGTATGGGAAAGAACAGTCATCTTCATCTCGGTATCCTTCGCCTTTTGTAGAATTAAAAAAAAAAACAGAGCAGACTTTAGAAACTACACACTGCCTCCAGTAATCTCTCTATGCATGTCATTTTATCTTCTTTGTGCCCAAATCAGAAAGAATGACAGGTGGTAGGACTCTGTAGTTACAGAAAATGTGACAGAATGGTGAAGTCCTTTTCCTAACACTACATTATGCTCTGGCGTCTCTATGCAAATTTAGAGGATTCTTTCCCTCATATCCCATTCCAAGTACCCTTACACTTTGAGTGTGTACATGGCTTGGGGTGTGGTTGGTTCTTCTGGGCCATCAGAATGAGGAGTAAAATAAAAAACAACCAACCTAAACCTTAAGGCCTTGTGGCTATAAATCGTCTCCTGAAGAGTGAGTGCATAAAGGGTAGGTTAGGTCTAGCTTATTGCTTGCACTCAACTCCATGCCAGCCTGTTTTTGGCTTCAGGCTGTAGCTGTGTCTGTAGAGATAAGGAGAAGCTGACTTAAGTCAGAAGAGGATGGTGGGGGTGTATTCCCTTGCCTCCCTCAGGCCACACTGTGATGTGAGAAATGCTCATTAGGCCTTGGCCTTGACAAACCACACCTGGACTAAGCCCTTCTCAATCTTATCAGAAATCCAGGAACTAGAAGTGTCTAATGAGCACCTTTTTTTCATTAACAGCTTTGGAAAGGTATTTTTCTTGCCTGAGTAACAATCAAAGTTGAGTAATATTTTTGTTACTGAACTTTCAAAGAAAGTTACTGACTTGAATTACAGCCAGGATGGAAAATGACTATGACTAAAGCCCATTCTCTTGTGACCCCATGAACAGTAACCCAAAGTGACCCCTCAAGCTCTCAATTATAAGGATTTAATGCATACTATACCCTAGTCTCTAACAACCCTTCAAACAGCAGCCCAAAGCGACATCTTTTGGAGGTCACAGTTTCCAGAAGATACATGTGGAATCACAAAATAGTCTGAGTTGCAAGGGACACAGAAGGATCACTGAATCCAACTCCATTGAACCCTTGGTGTTATCAGCAACATGCTCTGAGACCATCTCAAGAGAAGGAGCTAATGTGTGTGTCTCAAACACTGAAGGCTGTAGAGCCAATCATGGGCTTTTGGTACTGACATGCCATGAAAAAGAACAAGACTGGGCTGGAAAAAAGGGGCCACGTGGAAACAGGAGAGCACTTTTCCATGAGAAAGAACCACAAGACAGTACAGTGCAAGCACAGGAATGAGTGGCAGGAAGTGGGCATGGAGTATAGGGTGGGATTGAGGCCAAACATCCCCAAAGTCCTCCCATTTCCAGACAGGCCTGAAAGAATGGACTGCACTTAATGACTAATGTACATAAAAAGCAGGAAATCTGTCCATAAAAAGGTCCTCTCCCCTCTCAAGCCCAGGTGGTGCACCCAGGGCCCTGGACATCTCAGCAGCTAGACCAATGCAGCTGGATCAGTACTGAAACCAGGATTGGTGATCTATTTTTCTCTCTTTTCCTTCCTTTAATTACCTCTTTTTTTTCACCCTTTCTATTTGTCTTTTCCTTTCTTACTTTCTTTAATTCATCTTTCCCTCTTTAATTCCTCTCTTCCCTTTCACCCTGCCCTTTATCCAAAACCCACTGCTGTGTGCTTATACAGTAGGTCAGGACTAACAGAGCGATTTCCATGCCATGTGTGTAATTAACTGATGTGCTTTTGGATTGTTTGCAGACCCTCTCTGCCATTTATTTTGATCAATGAGCATTTAAGAATCTTAGGTACTTCCATCCCCTTAAGAGTCGTCACCATCTCTGGAAGAAAAATGCATTATGACCTGCAAGTTTCACCACTAAGTGGTACAGTTGTCTACAGAAAGGGTGTAGATGTTCTTACTCTAAACCTGTTCTTTCATGTGTAGAGATGATAAAGGGCAGCGAAAAGCAGCTCACCAATGGGGTTAGTGGAGGTTTCCTGGCCTTTCTGGTGCATGCGGTAGTGACGAGTAACTGTCCCGTGAGCAGCTTCTGCTTCAACAGTCTTGCCATCAGGGCAGATCAGCACACTGGTCATCATCCCCAGAGAGCCATAGCCTACAACATACAAGTTTCAAAAGTTCAGTGTCTCCTCTGGACAGCTCCCTCAAATTTCCCCTTCATCTCCCTATCCTACAATCCCCCTACATCTTCCCACTGATATGAAAATTCCCTCTCAGCAGAGCTGCAGTAGTGGTTCTGCAATTAACACATCAAAATAACAGTTCATCTGAACATAAAGTCCAGCTGAAATATGAGATACAGATATACAGACATTCTGCACCATTTCAAGAAAATTAGTTTTCTCATCTAATTTGCAGGACAGATTTCTACTGAAAATGTACAGTAAGAGAACAGTAAGTGTTGGGCTGCTTGTCTTTCACACAGGGTGACAGGAAACAAAATATCTTATCTGCTCTTGTGAGAGGAACCAGCAACTTCTGATATTGGACATTCACATCAGTTCTAACCCTGTAAGTTTCAGAGACTTCCATGTTTGAATGCTGCTTTGTTTAACACACATCCTTGTTCTGTGGGAGGCAGTTTAGTGGCATTACTTCAGAAAGAGTGTGTTACATAAAGCCACACATCTCATCCTGTGGAATTCTGCATCCATATTTGTTTTGGCACCAAAGGTGTTATATAAGATTTTGATCAAGCATTGCAATTATGTAAAGTTAAACATATAAATCCTTACACCTGACAGGTAGCTTTAGGTTCTGAAAGTTTTATGACTTATCTGCAGAGCACCTGCCATCACACTCAGCAGCAGCCAGTTTAACTCAAGCTGTCAGTGACAAAGAACCAGCTGTCTAAATACCCTCCATTAGAATAGAAAGCTTACCAGTGGTCATGTGGTAGAAACTTCCCTCCTGTAAATAAATACAACTACAGAGTCTACGTCCAATAGATTTTCTTGTAAAAGCAAAATCAGAATTTTTTGACTGCCTGATACCTTCATGACTGGCAACAGGCTTGAAATACAAGTTTTGAAACCCAACACCACATCCTGGGCCATTCCATTAAGATGTGACAGAAGGACACAAGAGACTACCACTAAGCCTGCTTCAGTGTGGCACATGAAGCACCTCATACCTTGTGCAACAGAGTCAGACTGCACATCCCCATCATAGTTCTTGCAGGCCCAGACAAAACCTCCTTCAGATTTCAGGGCCTGAGCAACCATGTCATCAATGAGCCTGTGCTCATACCAGATCTTTTTGGCTTCAAACTCGGACTTGTATTCTCTAAAAAACAAAAGCCAAAACACCTTGTCATACAAACAGGGAATTGCACAGTTTGTACATAGAGAGGTGCACAGAGATAAGAGTAAAACAAAAAAAACCCTGCATTCTCTTTACTCTTTTTCCCTTGTCTGCTAGGCTATAGCAAGGCTGCTCAGAGTCATAGAGGCACCCACAGAGAATCTGTGGCTTTATTAGAAGATACAGACACCACAGGCACATTTAGCAGAGCTTTCTGCACCAAGTATTGTGCCTTGCAGGACAAGGGAGACTGTGACAGAGCTGGCATCCCCTGTGCCCTTAAAGTGTTGCTGAGTGTCTGAAAAAGCAACTCACAAGGCTGGAAAGGATGTTCCTGTTGCAGACTTACACACTGCAGTAGGAAGTACACAACTGATTACCTGTCATAGATGTCTTGGAAGATGTCTTTGAAGCGGCCATCGTATCTCTTCAGAATGGTGTTTTTGGTGCTCATGTAGAGGGGCCAGCCTTTAGACAGTGCCATTTGGAAGGAACTGTGGGCAAAATCCTTGATAGACTGGTCAAGATTGTACATTCCCATGGCTACACCACCACAACCTGTTAGTAGAGGAAGACCAAATAAGAATCAACTAGATTTAGTTTTGGTTTAAGACTTTTATTCTCCCATAGCATATTCTGGCTGGCAGGCAGACTGGTGGCTCTCCTCAGGTGTCTTAATCTTGTTCTCAGTTTAAGGTTGGTTCTTTCAGAAGAAGATTTGCTTTGCATTATCGGCTCAAAGCTCCAGCAGTTCTGTGACGCATGGATAGGAAGTTGGTTTTGTTTTACAGGCAAGTACATCTTAATAATGTGATCTAATCCCTCTAAGAAGTTTTGTTCTAATCCAGCCCAAGTACTCAAGCACACTGTGACAGAAGTGAATGTACTTGAACTCCTACTAGCCATTTAAGCAAGTCTTTTTCTATCAAAGCAGCAGGCAGCAGTTTGGAGCAGGAGGTCTCAAAGCCAGAAATGGATGTGCTCACACCTTAAATGCTTTGCACCTTCTGAATTAACTCCAACAATAAAGGACTGCTTTGCCTAGCTCAGGAAAACAAGACTCCACTTGAATTCCTGCATTTTTTTCAGCACATGTATGGCCTACCCTGCTGCTTTGATCCACCCGCTCAGGCTCACTTCTAGCAAATTGTGGGAAGAATGTGCTCATCGTGTCGGTGCTCAGGCAAGTCCTGATACATCATACAGGTGCTCAGGCAAGTCCTGATACATCATACTGAGGAACTATCAACATTCACATGACTTTGATTAAGGCAGATGTGTTAGAAGCACAAATGGACGTGTGCTGAACTTGCAGCCCAGTTCACCTAGAAGAAAGCAGCACTCAGATCATGGAAGAGGATGATTGTAGGTGAAAGTAGGGTCTAGAGCTTCATGAGAAAGCTGTGTCATTTTCAGAGCACAACTCTGTGTTTCTAGTGAAAAGTAGATACCATGTACTTAATTTTAAGCACCTCGCTACCACCATCTATCTAGTTTTTGTACAGTACCAATATTAGGGATCTTTGTTCTAGAAACACACAGAATTTTAAAATACCTTTCCTAATATCCATTTGTTCTTACATCCAGATAGTTGTTACTCTATGGACATACATGCAGAATGAAGAGAGGAAGCCAGAGGAGGTTTATCTACTTGCCAAGATAGCAATGTCATTTAAAGTTGATATTGGCAGAGAATGAAATTCCTGTTGTTACATATTGTCCCTGTACATTCCCTATGGAGTCAAGGACAGTTCAGGGTGTGATCAGCTACAGAGACTGTGTCCTCTGGAACCATGATTTCATGGTTGCTGGATGACAGCTATTAAGTTTTATTCAATCAGCTATTTTCATACATATAAAAGAAAATCCTTATTGCAAACGTGCAATCCTACTGCTTCCTAAAAATCTTTTGATTCAGTATCAAGGTTGAACATATTAGTACAGCAAAAAGACAAGCTTCCCTTAGTAATTTGGGAGATATGCTGGCACAACAGTTATCTCTGGGGAGGGCAGCTCCCTAGAGCAACAGCAGTAATCTGCCATCTTTGCACGTCCCTGCTTTCTGCTTGCTGATGCAATGCAGAGCAGCAAATCAGACTGGCAGCTGGATGGCCACACATCTCCAACACAGGCTCACCAGTCATCTGTCAAATGAAAACAGATTAGGACTGGCCATGAAGCAGTGAACTCCAGATGAAAGGCTATGCAACAAGAGATGTAGGTTCTTATGAGCAAGCATGCCAGAGAAATCAAGTATTACAAAGGAGGGTCATATGTCAATCTTGGTAGCTGTTTGCCAAACCAACTGCATGCAAACAAGGATGTTGTGATTTACATGGTTTCATTTTTTGTAGCTAAGACCAAACCACTGCACACATAGATCACTGTAAGACTTTAAATCCTGAACCCTTTGATTAATGATAGACAAGAGACATAACCTGTATGATGTTTTCCCGAATCCTGCCCCTAGAGAAAACAGCCTGAGTTCTGGCAACACATGTGTAACTGCTTCCATTAACAAAGCCCAGCAATGTCAGGACTCCTCCTGAGCCTTGCAATGTCTGCAACCAGCACAACAATAGGGAGAAGAGTGACACCAAAACCTTTGGGACTGCATCTATAAAAAGTTACAGCCTACACAGTCAGGAGCATTCTTGTGAAATCCTCTTTCCACCTGAGAGAGTAAGTGTTCTCATTTCTATTGAGCAAATAAAAAGACTGCTACATCAAGAAGGGCAAAAATCGCAAAGCAAAATAAACCCAGAAAGAACTGCACATGGATTGTTCTCAAATATATCTCCCCTTAGGACAAGCCTAGTTTACATAGTAAGTTTGCCTCTGATCAGAGAGAAAAACATATGCTGCTACCAGAGTCATCATATAAGGAGCATGACAGGTGGCCAATCCAATATGATTGTCTTCTTGATGTTCTTGTGTCTTTGATCCCAGGAAGATTTCAAGGTACTTTCAGTACTTGACAAATAAATGAAGAAGGCCCAAGCTTTCTCCCCCACTCTACCTCAAAACCGTATTTTATCATCAAACAGATCTGACTGATAATTCAAGGCTGAATTAAATCCAAAAATATCAATATATCAGTTTTAACCACTAATTAGAAAAAAATACCTACTTTCAAAATTATGGACCAGATATGTGACTGGTTTGCCTCCATCTGTGGGAGTGTAGGTCATCTCTACTTTTCCAGGCCCAGGTACCACAAAATCGGTTGCTCTGTACTGTTAAAAAAAAAAAGAATTAACATGGTAATTTATCTATCAGGAATAGAGAACCATAAAAGACAGTCCTCATTTGGGAGGGCCGTTTACAGAAAAACAGTGGTACTAAAAACCCCATAAAGTAGACTTTTTATTCAGCCATATTGCCATTGGATTATTTTCCTAGAGATTAGAAAGACAGAAGTCATGGAACCACTCAGGCTGGAAAAGACTCTTAAGATCATCAAGTCCAACAGCTAACCCAGCACTGCCAAGAACACCACTAAACTGTATCCTTGAATAGTCAAAAGTCTGCCTCTTTTAGAAGCAATCTTCCCCTTTAGGGGAAAGAGCTCACAGATTCTTGGGCCCCATCAATTGGCAGAGAATCTACTTTTGCAGATGCGCTGAAGTTTTAAAGTACAGTGTATTTAGACTGTTGTGTGGTTGGTAGGTAGAAAGGCGGGTAGAAGCCAGGCTCCTCTCCTGGCTTCAAAAAAGCCATTTATATTACAACTGCTGATCTTGTAAGTAACAGGGTTCATTCATCATACAAGATGACATTGGAAAGGCCAACCTGTAGTAAGAGTCTTTGAAGTTAAAACCATTAAGTATTTAAATGATGCCTCATCTTCCCAATTGTCCTGAACAGTACTATTTAAGGTTGCATCTCCTTGAAATTTGTTACTCTTTAGCATGTAGTTTCCCTTCTATCAAGGGAATCTGTTCCCTGAGCTGTTCTGAAGTTCGTATCTTGCTCCTAAGTCCTTTGTATGTTCTTATATTGTTCCTTTCACTTTAATCTCATACTTTTGCAGGGTTTCAATCCTTCCCCTTTAATCCACTGTCTCCTATTATTTTGACCTCAATTGTTCACAACCTTTAAGGATGTTGAATCCCATTATTTTCTAGTGTCAGGGTTCTGCAATTATTTTCCTCTTGAAAATTTATTATTTTACCTTCCTATAGTAGGTAATCTAATGATTTGCCCTCAGTTTGCAGGTCTAGCCACCTATTCAAGCACTTAGCTCTTGTAGAAGACTTTTCTTTTGCCATATTTGGTAGCTTTATAGCATATGATTGCCCATGGAGAACAGTATGACTGATTCTTATCTGCGAGGCTACCCAAAGGGCACAACCTGTGAACCGTTCCAGGCTTTCCACAGCCTTGTACTATTATCAGGAGAGTTTTGATAAACGAGGTTTCTCCCTACTTCTGTACCACAGCCTGATGTGCCCAGGTCAGACACCAACTCTGCAGGTGTGCTGTACAAGTTAAAGCAGCAGATCACAGTAAAAAAAAAAAAAAAAAAAAATTTAAACAGAACAAAACCACACCCCCATACGGAAGGCAATTTTGCCCACTTCTAGAAATCACTCATTTTTATCTATTTTTGCTGTGAGCAACATTTGACACCAGAAACTCCTGCAAAGTAAGAAGGTGGGCAGTGTAAAGGGTATTTGCTAAAGTTGTTCTTATGTAGGATAAAGTGTTCTAGAGAAGTGAAGAACAATAACCTAGCAGAGTTAAGTGTCTAAGTTCAGGCCTATATAATCCAAGTGCAGGTTTCTGAATGCTGTTTATTCAGTGACACTGCTCAAGGAAGAGAGGCATGAACCAGGCTCTCCCACACTTGCCAGGTGCAGTGCAAAGAAAGTGCTAGCACGTATGTGCTCCCAGGTGGAATACAAGGGCACAGGGATGTCTAAGTCTTGGTAGCTCTATACCAGTCAGGAATAAGCCTGTTAAGACAAAAAGAGGGGTAAACACTGAGGTGACTCACTTGATCTCCATAAGCGTGACGGCCGATGACAATGGGTTTCACCCATCCAGACACCAGCCGGGGAATGTTCTTGCAGATAATAGCCTCTCTGAAGACAGTGCCACCTAGGATGTTTCTAATTGTGCCATTGGGAGACTTCCACATCTGCTTCAACTTGAACTCCTCCACTCTCTTCTCATCAGGAGTGATGGTTGCACACTTTATGCCAACGTTGTATTTCTTTATGGCTTCAGCAGCTTCCATAGTTACTTTATCACTTGTAGCATCACGATGCTCAATGCCCAAATCATAGCTGTAGCAAACCCACACACATGGTCAGGACTTTCCAGGACATTTGTAAGTGTTCAACAGGTAAAAAACAAGACACCATATGTGCTTGTGAGTGTAGTTGCAGCATTCTGCCACAACTGAAGTTATCCCTCTTCCAGTGCAAATGCTGCTGGACTGGAAGAAAAGACTTATACAGTGACATTTTTCCTTTTAGTGGAGGCTGGTAGGAGATAAGAGAAAGGAGAGCTTCATTTTATGGCTAAGGTTTGCTTAGGGACAGTATCTCCTCTGCTTTGCCTTTTGAGCTTCCTACAACTGGCACCTGTCAGCTAAGGGTTTTAATTGTATGGAGCAGCAAAATCCTCAGATGAATATGAGCCTTTATTTCAAACCTCTTGTGCTGAAGGCTCTGGGTTCCTTCATGTACTGAGCACATGAAGCTATACTACACTTAAAAACTGCTTTGACAATGGACCCACAATCCTGCTCTGGCAGCAAAACTGCCAATATTCCTCTCAAACATGAGAGGAAGGTCATTTCCATACTCACTGTTTTAATAGCTTTTGGAGAACAATGGGTGCCCAGCATGGGACATGCCTGAAGCACCGCCAGCTGTACATGAATCCAGCCATTGTGCTGCCTCAGCCAGGGGTTTGCTTGCCCTCCTTCCGCCCTCTTTGAAAAGGGATGCTCTCCACACTGTGTGCATGTATTATGCTGCTGGGTTCCTGTCTGCCTGGTTCCCAATACCAGCAAGCAGAAAGCCTGATGTAGGTGCCACACAAATGTCAGAGGAAGAGATCAGACTTGTGAGTTTAATTATGGCAGATACCACTGAAGGCCTCTGTCCACATGGCTAGGAGCAATGTAGCTGAATACTTCTCTAATAACTATAGCTCAGTGGCCAGAAAAGGAAGAGATTATTTATTCTGCTTGGCCAGATGCTATAGATAGCATGTCTCTTTTGCTGTTCCCAGCTGCTAGTATTTGTTTTTGTCCAGAAAGGAGTAGAGGAGCACAGCCTAGCTTCAGGGAGTAATTGCAACAGTTAGCTCACATTGTCAACAGCAGAGCTCAGGCTCACAGCCATCAGGGCAGAGTCTGTGCCCTACACACACCCTTTTGTCCTCTGGGGAGATCTTCAATCAGGCACAGCAAGAAGCCATAAGCCCACTCAGGGGTGCAGGATACTATGCTTCAAGTCATAGAGTGGCTGAAACAGCCCATGTTTCTTCTCACTGTTTAGGCTGCAGGTAGTCATGCAGACTGCTCAGGTGCTGGAAACCCCAAGACGCTGGAGATCAAAATACAGGCCACATCTGAGAGCCTTTCTTAGAGGCACAGTACAGGCAAAACGCTAACTCACAATTCGGCATGCACTGCTTACTGCTGTGAGGAACCTGGGAGGGGATGCTTCCCGTGCTGAATGAAAATCCAGCAACACTTACTGACACATGCAAACCTCAGCACAAAGCAGCTGAATGTCACAGAGTCATTACCTGTGCAAATCCAGATCTACATAAGGAAAAATCAGCTTTTCTTTAATCAGTTCCCAGATGACCCGTGTCATTTCATCTCCTTGCATCTCCACAACGGAGCCTCCATGGATTTTTTTAGACATCTTGAACTGCAATAGGCATAAAAAATTACAATCTAAGTTAAAAGCTACTAATACATGCATCCTGCATTTTTACAACATAACTAGGCAAGGCAGTAAAATAGCATACAGGATCTCTCCAAAAAGTCCTGAAAATAACTTCAGTTTATCCTTAGTTTTATGCTACATGGATTTTCCTTAAAGCCCCAGCTCCTAGAGAGATCTATGAGAGGATAAAAAGGAAGGTTAATTTCTTCACAATTAAGAGTATGGGCTTTAATTATGATTGTATAAAAAAATTAAAAAATATGTCCAAATTCTTCTCCCAAGTTCCTCAGAAATAGATTAGCACTGTTTACTTTTGGATTTCATAAGTTCTAGTCCAGCTGCCTGTTTCTCCACCTTTTTCTGAAAATCAGGGGTTAATGGACATGATTACAATGACAGCTCATACTGCTGAAACTACTAAGATTAATATATTGTGAGCTTCTTTATTAACTTTGTCCCCCAGGAAGGAAGGAAACAGGTAGAAAAAGCCAAGGGCTACACATCAAGAGTATTATCTCATGGCAAGCTTTAGATTTGTTTGCTGCAGGGAACAGAGGTTTTCCAAGCCTAAAAAAAAAAAAAAAAAAAAAACACTTGAACTCTGCCCTTCTATTTGCACTTTGTCAAGGCAACCTCAGAAGGCACTGAAATGCTCTAAAGTGCCCTTCTTTCCAACAGCCACAGTTTCTTGGGTCTGGGCTCCGATTATGCAAGAGCTATGACTAGGCAAGTTCCTCCTTCCAGACACTCCTGTGCAGCTGCTGGGATACTACAGTGACAGAGCAAGACCAAGGGCCAGGAATGACTTGATCCAGAATGAAGGGTCCTACTGTATGCGGGATCTGTTCATCTAGGCCAAGTCATTCTGAGGTGTGAGGCTTGCAGAGCAAGGGCCTCACATTACAAGCATGTTGGAACACTATCCCAGGGTTAATTATTTTTTTAAATTAAAATAACTTGTGCTGCATTTCCAAAATCCAATCTATTAGACAATTTTAGTCTGGGAAGAGAAGAAACTTTCTAAGCTATGCTCACAGAATCAAGCTTTTCCAAACATTTTAAAGTGAAAAAACAAACAAACAAAAAAAACCAAAACAAAAAAAATTCAAAACACCACAAAAGACACCTCCCCCCAAAAAAAAACAACAACCAAAAAAAACTAACCAAATCACCCAAACCAAAATCCCCCACAAAAAAAAAAAACCCACAATATCCCCCCCCAAAAATTGAAAAAGTAAAATCAGGTGGTGTTATTGAGACTCAGTTTAAAAGACAAACCACTTCAGGCATTTCTATCCCTAACACAAACAGTACCTTGGTTTATATTGAGCCTCTCTAGTCCTCGAGGAGAACCTGAACTTCACATGACCTCAGTCTATCTGAAATCAGTTTCCTTATGAAAGTATTTTGAACCCAATATTCAATTGTGACTATCTAAATAATAAGGTCTGTATCATAGTCCATGGCCTAGGCATAGAATTACTACTCTTGGAGAGTTCAGTTTTGCTTTTGGCACTATCTGAGAAAGAGTCTGATTCATTTAAGTAAAAACATAGACAGGTACAAACCCAGAAAGCAGTGCTTGTTTTGTGGTTTGGTTCCCCTTAACTAAGACAAATCAGACTAGGTCAGTCATAGCAATCAGTTTGGCTTCAGAACTATTCCACGCTGCTGTCACGCAGAGAACAAAAGGCAGATGAAACACACCTCTACTGATGAGTGGGAGCAACAGCTTCTTCAACGACTCTGGCAGCATCCAACATGTTTACGTGATCTTGGCCCAGGTACTGGCACTTTTCCCCTCCTCAACAACCAGTGTCCTCAGTTTCTCTATGAACTGGGGCAGTACTGCAGTAGCACCCTTCTGCACACCAGCCAACATGCCGAGAGGCTCTTCTAGAGAGCACATTCCCTAGAGTTCAACTCTGTCACTCCTGCCCTCTGATTTTATACTGAACTGCCAAAATCCAGCATGGTCTTTCTCCTGCAGCAGCTCTTCTTTAAATATGCTTAACCCAGGCACATAGCCAAGGCAACTCAGAAGAAGCAATCTATTTCCAAATACCTCTCTGTCCCGCGGAAGGGCTCGGGCCTACGGGCAATAATTAACTATTGCAGCAAGTCCGTAACTCCGGTGCACAGCTGCTCTCTCTGGAGGAGGCGGCTCGCAGGGGGCACGGAGCGGGTGGCTGGCACCAACCGAGCTCTCGGCTACACTCACTCCTGACAAGGCGATCTGGTGGCACACGGGGGATTTTCCCAGGGCCGCGGGCAGCAGCCACGGCCGAGGCTGAAATCCCGGCACGGGCACGGCCGCGGCCGCTCCCCGAACGGGAGGGACCGGCGAGCGCCCCGAGCCCGGCTCGCACCAGGGACACCAGCGGCTAGCGGGAGACCCGAGGACTGCATGGGGACACTGCCTAGCCCACTGCAGGGCAGGCGACCCCGGGGCGCAGCACCCTCAGCGCCTCAGCGAGACTCGCGGCGGGCGGGGCTCGGCTGCAGGGTCCCGCCCGCACCGAGGGAAAAGAGCCCTTAAACACAACCCTGGCCTTGGGGGACCCGCTGCGGGGCGCCGCCCCCGGCAGAGAAAGCACAAAGGGTGCCGTGCGGCCGCCGAGCCCTTTACCTGCAGGCCAGGCCAGGCCGCTCCGTTCCGGTCCGGTCCGTTCCGTGCGGCGGTGCGGGGCCGATGCGGGGCCGGGCCCTGCGCGGGGCCCTTTATGCGGCCGCGCCCCCGCCCCGCCCCGCCGCCGCGGCGCCCCCTGCTGGCCGCGCGCGGCTGCTCCCCCGGCGGCGGCGCGAGGCCGCCCCGTGCGAGGGGCCCGCGGCAGCTCGCGCCGCGCTGCCGCCGCTCCGGGCGGGGCCCGTTCCGCGCTCCGCCACCCCGCAGTGAGTGCCCGCCGGCACGGGGAGCCCGCTGGCTCCGGGGGATCGGGCGTGGCCCAGGGACAGCGCCGCAGCCCAGCCCGGGGATGCGGTACCCACAAGCAGGCGTGGGCTCGTCCGCTGGCGCTGGGGCGGCGGTGTCGACACCACGGCCCCTGGGGCAGCAGCGGGCAGCTCTCTGGGGCTGGGGCGAGGCGGGGAGCGTGGCCAGGGAGGAATCTCGGGGCGGAAATAGAAGAGAAGGAAATATTAATGAAACACGGTGTACGCCGACTTCCCGGGAGACACGCCAGCCGGCCGCACTGCCGGCGCTCCCGAGGCGGCAGCCCGGGTGTGCCGCGCCCCGGCGGAGCCGCCGCGAGCGGCCGCGGGGCGGGGCCGGGCGCTGCCGGCGGGTGGAGTGCGCGGAGCCTCGATTGGCCATGCCTGGCGGGAGCGGCGCGGTTGGCAGGCGGTTGGTCGGGGCTGGCGGCGCTGCCGGCCGGGCGGTGAAGGAGGAGCGGCGGAGCCGTCCCAGCGCCGGCACCGCGCCCGGCCGGTGAGCGCAGCCGGGCAGCGGGTGAGCCCGGCCCGCCAGCACCGCTCTGCGGGCCCCTTGTTCCGCGAACCTTCTTGGCGCTGCCCGGGCCGGCCCCCGGTGGCGCCGGCGGCGGCTCTCCGGGCCTCGCTGCCCACCGCGTCCGCGCCGTCCCGTCGCGGGCGACCTGCGGGTCTGCCGCCCCAGGCGAGGAAGGCGGCGGTGTCCCTCCAGAGGGGGAGAGCGAAGCAGCTGTCTGCTGCGCAGAGGCTGGAGGGGAAGCGTGTGTGTCGCGCAGTTATGTGTGGATGCGGGTGGTTTTGCAGCCGGCTGTGTTATGCAGGTGCCCGGAGCCGTGTGTGTGTAAGGAGTGGCCGTATCCTCCTGGCCCTGGCATTGCGGTCAGTGTTGTGGGACGCAGGATGTCCCGGCGGTGCGTGTGAGGAGGGAGGCTCACAGCCACCCGCGTACTCCGTGTTTTGTCCGTGATGAGTTGGTGATTGCTGAGGCTGCAGCTTCGAGTGGGTTTAGATACATTCCCCGTGGCTGCTGGTGAGGATCCTGCGAGGAATGTACTCTGGTCGGTATGTGCACCTTGCTTCCTCATTTCCCATATTATACAAATAAGTGACTTTTTTTTGGTTTCTTGTTGTGGGATGGGGGGAATATTTTCCCTTTAGTGGGACAGCTAAAGCATAGAAAGTCTGATAGATCCCACAGCTAGTGTGTTGTACGGTACAGAAAATCTAGGAGTTTCTGGAGTTAATGCCTGGTATATTGCTATGTTTTTCATTAGTTTTAATTAAACCAATGCTGCTGTGACAGAAACAGTTATTATGGCTCTTTTTCCCCTTGATATGCAAGGGGAAAATATGATCACATATATATTTAATGCATATTCAATTACTTGCTTGTAACTCTTATCTTACTGGGCTATTGTCAGTTGCAGAAATATGAACATAGTTTCCTACAAAACTGTTTAATTTCATAATGGGATGTTCAATGTGGCAGCGTGTGTGAAGGTACACCCTTCTTGCATGTTCAGCATTTAAAAAGCAAACTATTAGTTGCCTTAGGATTGAAGAAACAATTCCAAATTTACCTGAAGAGTGTGTTTCAAGGAAAATGTTCCATGAACTCTTGTGTTTAAGTGTATTCAAATCACCTGTTTGATTAATCCTGGCAAAATGAACAACAAAACAACATACCCTGATTTACAGGGCAGAGGGATGTGGAAGACATAAAGAATCTGAACAAAGTTTTGCTTGAAATTAGTAAATGATGCCTCTCTGCTTTCTTTCTAGTGAAGAAAAGGACATGTGAATAGCAAAAGAAACTCTGAGTTGGAGGTGCTTACTGTACAGAGCAATAAGTTGAAGTCCACTGAGAAGTCATGTGAATGACTTGCAGATACATCTTTTTGGCATTCTTTGTAGGAATAGTCAAACCTTGACACAGGAGCTGCCTGCAGCTTGTTAGCACTTTCAGTGTCACTTGCTGATCACGTTCATTTTCTGTGGACTGCACAGATTTCTTTCAGTGTGGCTTCTTGAAACTTGAAAGAAAATATTTTAGTCAGCAATATATGCCTGTATGTTCTAGGGAGCAATTGTGGGAACTGGAAATCCTTATTTCATGAAGAAGTGTGTATCAGCTGCTAAGCAGGAAGTAGGCTCATAAAGGGTTTTGATCATCAGCACAGGTAAAAATTAGCCATCACTCATAGGTTTCATTAGCTCCCTGTATTCCTACTCTGTCAAACATTTAACTGAATTTTGCTTAAACGAAGATTAAGGTAGTAAGCACCTTAGCCTAGCAGGCTAGAAATGCAGGCTGAGTGAGGTGTTGTGAAAGAAATTGGGTATCTGATCAGCTTAAAGAGTATAGGTTGGGAAAAAGTATGACTCTTGGCTGTATGGAAGCTTTGGTATGCAGAAAATAGGGTTTAGAAATATGGCTTCTCCTAGTACAGAAAGTGGTTTGGGATTTTTGCTTGTTTTTCCTAAATGGAGCTGCTCCAGAAAACAAGGATGTTTGAAGGTGTTAGATTTGACAGCAAATCAAAAAACCACAGTTTGAGTTGCTTCCCTGCTAACTTGCACAAGGGCCTGTATTGTAATGCAGAGGGGAGGGAAACAGTTTCCCACCAAAATTAATATTTCAGTCTTGTTTTTGTTTGTAGTTCATTCTACTTCTCATTCTGAAGTTAATCTGGCCAAACAACAACTCTGCCTTGTGCTTGCTCAGGCATGCCTGTTTTCAGTTTTGTTACAAGGGCTGCAGAAATCACAGCATTAGGAGAAGAGCTAAAACTTCTTTGTGATATGTTTGCAGAGTCTCCATTTGAAAACTTCAAGTTCTCATAAACCTCTACTGCAGAGTGTCATGGTTGTTTGCTTTGTTGCTCTGGATGTTTAACTAGGTACTCTGGATTATGTTCTGCAGAGGTGCTGTTCTCTTGTCAGTGGCTGGGCAGGGGGCATGGGCTCCTCTGGCATTCTTGATCTGTGCTAATAGCAGATGCCTGTGGTCAGGCATGTGAATGTCTGTCCTCTGGGATCTAATGAGACACCTCCTGTTCAGAAGACTGACGAGGTTCTGTTTCACCAGCCCTTGTGTAATGTGTGTTGCTGACCTCTTTCCAGGGCACCTGAAATGGCTGCAGATGACAAACGCTCTCCCACACTGGACTCTACCAGTGATCTACCTCGTTCTCCCAGCAGTCCATCTCATCTCACTCACTTCAAACCCCTGACTCCTGACCAGGACGAGCCTCCTTTTAAATCAGCTTACAGTTCTTTTGTAAATCTCTTCCGTTTCAGCAAAGGTGAGTGCTGGGGGGATGTGTGGGCATGGCTTGTGCATGCTGTTTGCTGCTTGTAAAAACAGCTCTGAAAATAGGAGCATAATGTCAAAGGGATGATGTCAGCTCTTTGGTGAGGGATGTTGCATCTTGCTTTTGGGTGATGTAGGAGAGTTTTATAATGAGAGAAGATAGCCAGCGTCTTGCTGCTGGAAATCTGTAGCTGCTAATGAAAGTCAAAGACAAACCACTTAGCAGGTAGTATTGTAGAGATTCTTGCTTGACATCAGAATTTCCTTTGCCTGTATGATTTTTTTTTTTGAGGATGAAACTAGGAGTAACCCTCTGCCAGCCTGTGTGCTTGTCCTTCCAGTGCAAGTTCTTACTTCAGACTTCATCCACGTCTCTTCTTCCTGTGCATCTCATACCTGCAGCTGGGTGACAGCTGAGCTGCAGTAAAGCAGGAAGTCCACACTTAATTTGCATGGCTTAGGTGTTCCCCATCAAGAAGTTTAAGGTGTTGTGAAAGTTTTGTATATTAAAAAGTATTACATGGTTTTGGTCTTTGTGCTGCATGCATCATTAAATATGTTTTCAGTGGGCAAACTCTGAAAGAACTGTGTGAGTTCCTTTTTGTTTCAAAGAATGATCCTGCAAAGAATGGTGAATGAATGCACCTGGATTTTGTGCAAAGTCTGTGTATCTCTTTACTAGATATGGCACACTGGTCAGCTGGTTTTGTTTAGTCTGTTCATTATCCAGCTTTGTTAAGCATATTTCAGCAATGTTTGAGCTGGGGAAAAAGAGCCAACAGCTTTTTGTGTAACTGATCTGTTCAGACTCTTCTTATGCAGAATGAAAAATAATTACTTGGTATGACTGCTATTAGTTTGCATACTAGAGTAGCACCTGTCATTGCTAATTTATTGAAAGTAGCATAAAATGTGGTCAATATTGGCTTCACTTGTTTTTTTTTTCTGACAAATGTAGCTAGAGTCAGCAATATCTTTTGTTAAGTGAATGGGAAAACAACCTTGAAACAACACATGATATGTGCATCTTACTGGAATCAATGAGATCCTGTCTATACTTGATCTGCTGATGGAAATTAAAGTCTGTGGTAACTTTACTGTTACCTCAGTACTAGCTTGTAAAATAACTGAAAATCTCTTTTTAAGGCAGATGCTGATAGTCAAGTGTAGCTATTCTGTTTTGTAAGAATAATTCACATTCATATTCAAGAATAATCTGCCACCATTTTTTTTGACTAGAGAATTTCTGAAATAGCCTGAGCCTTGAAGACAGCCTCCTGTCCTGTTTCAATTATGTGTATAGTACTTCTAAAACTAAAAATTAATTTGTTTTGTTTAATCGTGATCCAAAAGAGCTATTTGTGAGAGTTTTTTTCAACCTTAGCTTTGCATGTACTACTGGTTTTCTTTATCATGTCTGAACAGGTGGTTTCTTGCTTTTTGTCAACTCTAGATGATGGCAGACTTTCATCCCCAGCAGAGAGAGCAGAGGCAGGACAGAGTGATCCACAGGCATTGAGTGGTGGCTGGTCCAGTCCTCAGCATCCCACGAGGGCTCAGTCTCTAAGATCACCAATTGCTTACAAAAAACAACTGAGTGGTGAGCTGCAAAGAAGATCTTCTGCAACTCTGGGTAATTTCAGCTCTTTGTTCTGTAAGTCAATGTTACGCTAGCCAGGATGCTTCAGGGTGAGATGGAAGGATGTGAACAAAGGCTCACTGAGTGTCTTCATTCATAGCAGAATTTAGTATCAGGCTGCACTGCTTCTGTTAGTGAGGTTGCTCTTTAACCTCATAACCCTACACCCTTCTTGGTGTTCCAGCAAGACATCTTGTTGGGCCTCTGCTCTTTTAATTGGAAAACAGTCTGGAACAGGAGAAGCTGCCAAAACACATACAGTGTTTTAAAGTTGCCTGAACTTTGATCCTGAGCATTTCTGCTTTGTCTTGAGAAACTACAGTTTCTTAAAATCCACAAGCTAACTCTAACTTTAGTGCTTAGTCTGGATGGATTTGGTGTTTGGGTCTTCAAGGGAGTTGTAAATGAAGGTTTTTGCTTGTAGTTGTTTCGAGGAGAATTGAATAGGAAATTATGGCTAATATTTTTTTTTTTAATCCTGCCTAAACTATTGCCAGATTCTGTACTGAATCTTTTAGCTGGTATATGGACTGATTGTAATTTCAAGGGTCCAACTTGTAATGGCTTTATGAAGATGTGAAAGAGCTAGGGAGTAGATTACAGGGGTCCCTCTTGAGATCTGACTGGTTACTGTTGGCTGTTGATGATAGCATTGAGGAAACTGCTAAACAGGGTAACAATCCTGTGCAAGGCTGTATTTCCAAGTGTGGTACCTAGTGCAAACAAATCAGATCCTAAATGTTGTTAATGTGTGTGGGATTTTCAGAAAAATGTGTGATTTTGGTAGCTAGGAAAAGGTCTAGTACAGAGAATAGCATTTTTACCTAGGTCATTTGCATGCTTAGTTAAACATGTTCATCAGCTTCCTCCTTGCCCTCTAGTACTATTTGATCTTTTTAGTTGTACTTCTTCCAATGAACTAATTAAGGCGGTTAATTAATTAATTAATTAGGGATTTTTTTTTTTGTTTGCTTGCACTCTTTCTTAAAGAATTTTCTCAAATGTCTCAAGAACAGCCATATGCTCTTGGCTGATAAGCCAATTTACTTTTCCTTACTATCTCTTGTAAATCACATGGAAATTGCCTGAGGATTAGATGTTAGAAACCTTCAGGTGAAGTATGTTGCTTGATACTCAGAAGGCAGAAGTAATCTTGCTGTTTGACTTCCTCTGGGATTAGGCAGCCAGGGAATAAGATGTAGTTTAAGGTGTGTGGGAGGAAGTGTTTCTGTATTATTCCAGCTCTTTTTCAGGACCTCTGTTCATATTGCTGGGTTTGGATGCAAGTATGCTGAGAAAAGTGTCATAATGAATTAGCCTGTAAAGAAGTAAAGTTAGGACAAGCAGGAAGAGATTTCTGTGGTACTGTGTGCTGAGCAGCCTGACTTGCTGTTGAATATTTTCTCCCAAACAACCTTGGTGCTGTAACAAACATGAGCTCTGTGTAACACATATAAAAATGTACTGAATTAGTGAGAAGGTTTGGGGGAGTGTTTTAGGCCATCTCACTTTATTTGAAGAGATACTTAATAACATGGGCAAGTGTAGGCAGGAAAATATATAAGCACCTCACAAAGGTCTCTCTAGCCTACTTGATCTTAAATAATGTATCAAGTTAAGCAAACAGAAATAAATAAAAGGCTTCTTCTGGTGCCTCTAAATAGTGATGAAATTAACTTGCTCTTGAAGATGCTGACCTTCACCCCTCATCTGTCCATTAATGTCTGTGCAGCACATCTCATTGCTTGGGGACCATGCTGTATGACAGCTGCAAGTGCAGAACAGTGTGGAGGCATGGTGGCTTTTGTAGGACACTGTCTGGCAACAGTTATGTAGGGTTTCAGTTCTGTGCTTCCTTTCAGGACTGCTTACACAAAAGCATTATAATAGCTCCTTACTGACTTTTGTGAAAATAGGAGGAGCTATTGGACACCTGGCTTATGTCAGAGATGCTCTGAGTGTTGTGTGGATGAAGAACCAGTGCTGAGACTCTACAATGGCTCCTGTGGCCTCTCTCGTGGGTAGTCTGTTGTATCATGGTGTGCTGGTTGTATTGGACTCCTGTGCTGTGCTGTCAGATGAGGGCTTTCAAGGTGCTGGATTGAACCAAAGAAGTCCAACAAAGAGACTTTTGTCACTGAGATAATGTCACAGCTTGCAAATCCTGTTTAAGGAGAACTGGAAATGCTGACTGCTGCAGAGGGAGCATGGGTAGTAAAAGCACTTCTAGCTTGTTACCCTGTCATGCAAGACAGTGCTGTTAATGCTAGACAATTGTAGCAGACTGGCAGTAATAGGGAGTGGCAAAGGAGATTAGCAGGAACAAAGGAATGGCCAATGATCATATGGGGGGAAGAAGTCCTGAGGAAAGCATGTGGTAGTTACTGGAAACCATTGTGGAGCGTGAGGTAACACCACAGCATCTTTTCTAATCAAAACAATTTTGGAATTTATGAAAATGCATGTTATGAAATGAAGTTAAGGGCAGTTTTCCTACTTTTTATGGCAGTGATTTGAGGAAAATGTGATGTTGGAACTATGGTAAGGAACTCGATTATGAAATTTTATGCTATGGCAGCAAGTAATTGGAAAGCAATTTGTGTTATTTTGTATCAGCAAAACTAGTATCTCTGGCAGAGGTGTTTTTTTATTGTTGAAATTGTGTGAATCTACCTCTTGTGTTAGTATATGGTCAGTTCTATAAACTGAAACTACAAGTTGCAACAAAGTAGTTCTTGTGGTGTTTTTGCCTTGTCATTCACTGTAAAATGAATGCTAAAATACTATAGTGAGTCATGAAACTCAGTGAAAACACATTTCTGTAATTTAGAGGTTTTTTCCCTAGGTTTTACCAAGAATCAGCAACCATAAATGCATATAGGAAGGATGACATTTACTGTTGAAATAAGTTAACTTTTTTTTTAAGCTGTAGGAGTTAAAATTTAACTTATAATAATGCAGTTTGGATCGGGGTAAGAGTGATTGGTAAGATTGATACATGGGAATTCCTTTTGAAGGATGGTGTTTTAGATAGTGTTTCCTTTACTGCAGGAATAACTTCTTACTTTCTTGCAATGCAGTGTTTTTCCTCAGAAAGGGAGAAATCTCACAATTGAGAAGGAAAAGAACCAGCTGAATTTTAATCTGAGTATCAGTCAACTTCTCTAATATAAATGGTTTGGCCATGTGCTGCTACTGCTAATGGCACATTTTTTCTTATGTGGATGACATCCTTCTGACCTTGTTTTATGGAACAGAGAAAAAGGCATTTAACTAACAAGACCCAGTGTGGAATTACCTGTGGCATTTCCTCAGTGCTGTATATGTCTGTTTTTTGGAAGTCACTTGCCTGACAAGATTTATTGATAGTTAGGCAGTAGATCTGTTAATTCTTTGAATTGGAAGCAACATTCCTGGAAAGGACATAATCTTGAATTCAGAGGAAGTACCAGGAAGTAAATGCAGCATAGATCTTGTGATAGAAGTAAGGAGGAGCCAGAGGTTTCTTTGGTATTATCAATGTGTTCCTGAAATATGAAGGTCCCCTAGTCACCCTAAAATACTGAATTTTGTACTGCCCAAAAGTGTGTTTGATTTTTAATAAGAAATCAGTTCCCAGTGGCTAGTTACAGAAATGGGTTTCTTTACTTAAAAAGGAAAATGTTGTGCATTCTTTGTTGTACATAGCAGCAAAGTGTGGGCTGATGGACTAAAAATACCTCCTAAGAAGCTGACAAGGAGGCATGTAGTCCCACAGTTCAGTCACATTAAGGGAGGGTTTTGGTGTGCTGCACATGAAGCAGTAGTGTAGCTGCTCCTGCACAGCAACAGTTAACGGGCGCCAGGCAGGGCTGTCAGCATTCCTGCTGACATCAGGGAGAGCTCCGGCAGTAAACACAGCAGCCATGTCTGCCCTTCCTGTACTAGGGGCAAGCTAAGTAAAACACTAGTCAGATGGAGAGCAACGGAGCTGGTAAGAAACTTTAAACCATTCAGGAAGTTATTAATCTAGGAGAAAGACTCTGAAAATGTTCAAGTGTTTAGGTAAATAGAGAACTGTGATTTCAAATCTTCCTGGAGAGAGGGAGCCTATTTGTAACTTGTTCAGCAATGCTTCAAAAGAAAAGAAATTAGCTGCATTGCATTTTTATTCAGGAAGTGTCTTTGCTATAGTTAATCAAGAATGGCTGTACAGATTCTCAACAGCCTGTTGTTTTTCTTAGGAAAAAACCAAAGTAAAAATCCCAAAACCCCTCAAAAATGTGGACTTCTGAATGCATTTTATTCTGAACTACTGTTTTTAATAGGAACTGAGCAATGGAGTCCTGATTTTTTGCTGTAGTAATTTATAAATAAGTTCAGGTTAAAGCATTGGCTTACACTACTCCTAGATTAATGTGTATATTGTAGCAATTATTTTGCAAATATTAGTATTCTAGAGGGCATTTTAAAAATGGGACCTCAGTGCTTTGTAACAGACTACTACAAGCTTCATCTATTAGGTTGAAAATCACTTCTTTCAAAGATGTTTTCATTCTCGGAGAAATTAAATGGCTTCTTATAAACAGAGGGTGGTATTTAAAACGTCAGTCGTAGCAAACTATCTGGCATCAAGGGCAAGAAGTGATGCACATTGTAACTTTGTAAAATGTATATATACCTGAATGTTTTTCCCTCCAATGGGAATTTGTTGTCATATGAATGTTAATGGATCATGGAAGAAATTAATATTGCTCTCTCTTCCCTTCCAGACAATCGAAGGAAAGTAGAACCCCCTCTTGGAAGTCATGATCCTCGAACTGCAGTTCAGTTAAGAAGCCTCAGCACTGTTTTAAAACGGCTCAAAGAAATCATGGAGGGGAAGAGCCAGGTACTTCTTTAGAAATATTTGTAGGCCAAACCATCTAGAAAATTAACTCTTTACTGGGATTTTCTGAGGTTTGTTTTTAGATACGTCATGGTTTTGTTTTTTTTTTTCCCCTGGGTGTTTGAAAGATGAGTGAATAAACTCAAAAAGTGTCGTGTGAATACAGGGGAAACAATTTCAATTTATGCTGACTTTTGACTTGCCAAACATCTGTCATATTGGGGGAGTGAATCATTGCATTTAGTTGGCTTCTTGTGCTTGGACCAGATGCTCTCCTTTTAGAATCCTTCCCACTTATGTGTTACCCAGTCTAGTGAAAGAAAGACCCTAATAGTTTTCCCCTTGAAGGATAACCATGGACAGGTGAAACACATTAACTGTCACAAATAGTAATGAGAATTCTTGGAGTGGTTTAAATCTGCTGCTTACTGTGGTACTGATTGGTCAGCAATATTTGCTTGAAAGGTGTGCCCCATTAATCAGTTTTGATTATAGACTAAAGTCTGGTGGTTGCTACTGACTTGCTGATTTCATCTCCATCTGCTGAGTTGGACCATACCTTTAAGAAGAGGCTCTAGCTGAGGAAAGAATCCACACCTATTTATAAGTGGGGTATAAATAGCTATGTCTGTGGGCAAGCATGAATAGGCAAAAGTACATTTAATTAAACTGGTAGAGGAAGGAAATGACTTTTGACTTGATAGCTTTTATAGGTAGACTTTGAGTAAATTTACTTAGCTTCCAGTACTATTCCGCTTGTAGGAATAATCTTGCTTTGATAGAAGGGGCAAGCTTTTTGAGAGTGAAGCAGAAACCTTTCATTGCAGTAAGCAGGGCATTGAGTATGCCCCTTAGTAATACTTCAGTATGTGGCAACTTTTGAAGGCCCTAGAGATATTCAGATGTATTTGAAGCTACTGGACCCGAGTGCTGAAACAGACAGGATACAGAAGTAAATGAATATGACCAGGACTTCTGGAGACAGTCCTTTAGTTGTCAGCATGCTGACTTCTGTAAAAAAGCTAATGCATCACTGCTCTTGATTGCAGCCATGTTTTGCTTGAGTCACTTCAGGCAGCACTTTGTTCCTGCTCTGGGTTTGGCCTGTCTCTACAGAAGACCTCTTTTGTAGAAAGATTGTGTCAGATTCTGAAAGGTGCTGTTCTGTTGAGCTTCTACTGCTAAAGGAGGCCAGACTTCTTTCTGAACCCTCCCTCGTGACAAGAGCAGCCTGCAAGGAAGGCACAGAGTTGGGCGGTGTGACCAGCAGTGATTGGGTTTCTGGACACAGTCACATACAATTAGGACACAGCATTGGTGTTTGGAACAGTCCCTTTCTATGTGGGAGATCCAGAGACCTGGCTTATCATGCAGAGCTGCAAAAAACTGTTATATGATATCCTCTGCAGCTTTGCAGCAGTTCCTTGGCAAAACTCTTCACTCCAGCTTTCTCTCCTTGAAGCTGAGTGTTTATCTTAAAAAGTTCTAGATTCTCTAAAACACTAGACTGTCTTGAGCAGTCTTTAACCTCTTTCTTTGCAGGTTTTCTTGGTTGAGGACAGCATGAAAGTGTTGTGTCATTGATCATAACTGATTTGGTCTCAAAATTAGTCTAGCAGCTATGTCAAACTTTAGTTTGTGAATATCCATAAATAAATCTTAAAATAAAACCCTATGGATTTTTTTTGATTATGTGAAAATGAGAGCAGGGATCACCTTTCTTTTGTAGAATTACTCTTTTCTCTGATTGTTTTAAGATAATACTTGGAGCAGGTTCTCTTCCTAAGAAAAATCTGGAGTGTATAGTTCCTCTGAAAAGGCTTTATTCCAGAACTGAACTCTGGCAAAGAGTGTTGCACAGGCAGGGCTGTCATGTGACCATTAGCAGTTGTCTCCATCCATGGGAGTTGCAGCTGGTGTGCTCAGAATCACAATTGAGACTTTGTCTTGCTCTATAGCTTCAACACCAATGGAAGTTTTAACTCTGTTTTTATAATGATGTTTTTCCTGTGGCTATACCAGTGCTGTTAATTACTATATGTTGTTGTCTGCTGAATGTGAATTTCAGTTTTCTTCACATAGCAGTTAACCTGAAGTTTTGAAACAAGATCAATCTGGGATGGGCTTTTACAACTATTTGCTGAAGTGTTGAAGAATTCAATCAAATAAAAAAACTTTTTACATGTATCTATAATCCTTTCAAAACATATCCTAATATTAGCTGTTGAAATTATGATCCTGCAGTGATAATTTCTGATAACTTGATTTACTCCTAGATAACAGCTTCAACTAATGTGTGGTGGATTTTCTTTTTCCTTCTCATTTTTAAACTGTGCTAGTTGAGGCCCTGTGAGGCAAATGGGGGGCAAATGAGAGGCGAGAGCAATCACTACTTCATATATGTGTTTATTTTTGACTTCCATCTACATCCTATGATAGTTTTATTCTGCTTTGCTTTGATCTTGGATCAAGGAGGCAAATTCCTACTGTATTTATTCTCTTAGTTCAGAACTCTCAACCTTCTGACTCCCACATGAAAAATCCTTTGTGTGCTTTTATGCAAGAGTGTGTGTACATGTGCACGGATATGTGGATATATTTTATTTTCCATAAGCATAGTCTACAAAGAGTCGGGAAACCAAACACGCTTTCTTGTTTACAAAAACAAAAGCTTTTATCTGCTGTCCTCTCTCGCAGGACAGTGACTTGAAGCAGTACTGGATGCCTGACAGCCAGTGCAAAGAATGTTATGACTGTAGCGAGAAATTCACCACTTTCCGAAGGAGGCACCACTGTCGACTTTGTGGGCAGATCTTTTGTAGTCGATGCTGCAATCAGGAAATCCCTGGAAAATTTATGGGCTACACAGGTAGGGTTTATTTACTGAGAAACAGAACAGTATCTATGTGCTCAGCTCTGGTTTACTGCATATGAGATCCTGTCATCTTCTAGTAAATGCTGTATGGGTCTGTAGTGGGCTTAAAAACAAGAAAAAAGAATCACATGACCTAATTCTTCCAGTTTCTCTATGAAAAATGGTGGATTATGCCATGCCTGCTAATTTTTACCACATTACAAAACAAATATGGCCACTATTGAACAAGAGTGTGCAGTACAATAAAGTATGCTCAAGGACAAGCTGCTCTGAGTAATAGCAGTTTTAAGGTATGAGCCACATGTTTTAATTGAGGATCAGGGGAAAGTCTTTCAAATACCAGTTACCAAATTCTAGACATCAGCTGATATGTCATATCTGACTGGCTGTTGTTCTACCATAATTTCTGTGTGTTCTCCCTCCCTCCCTCTCTCTTCCTCTCCTTGTCTCTCTTCTCTCTCCTCTTTCACTGATCTTGTGTTAGGTATCATTTGCCTTGGAAAAATTCCCTGAGTATGTAATTATCCAGGGTTTTGCCCTTTAAGAGAGTATGAGAATTAGACTTGCAAAGAGGTTTTGAAACAGAAAATCCTTCTATTTCCGCCACTATACACCTCTGATCCTGTAGGAACAGAGTACTATTTGTTCCTTTTGGCTTACACTCTCTGGTTCCCTTTTCCATAGGGGATCTCCGAGCCTGCACTTACTGCCGTAAAATAGCCTTGAGCTACGCACACTCCACAGACAGCAACTCCATTGGAGAAGACTTAAATGCCCTGTCGGATTCGGCGTGCTCTGTGTCCGTGCTGGATCCTGGCGAGCCACGCACACCGGTTGGGAGCCGCAAAGCCAGCCGCAACATCTTCCTGGAGGAGGATCTGACCTGGCAAAGGTAAAGGCGATGGCTTCATGCTGAGCTCTGGAATCTCAGCTGTTCTCAGGCTGACAGCTGCCTAGACAAAAACTGGTGGTTTCCACTTAGATTCCAACTCCTGTAAAAACAATCTAATTCTGTGCTTGCTTGTAATAGTCTTCTCTTTAAGTTGAAATGTGGAAATATTTCTAGTGAAGTTTTAATTTGCAGTTCTTCCTTTAATGTACTGATTCAGTGATTCTGTACCAGTGACAGAGCAGGCTTTTGTATTCAGAGTTTAAAGACAGACTCAAAATCACACCAATGTATTGGGAGGCAAGTTAATGTAAGATGGGTGTTTTCCCTGTCAGATTTTGAATTGGACAAGAGAATGTAAGAAGTGCTTTCTGTGTAGGTAAAAGAGAAGTGATGGAAGTAACCACCTGTTTCAGATAAGTGGGATTGAAAGGACAATAGAGAGGACTTATAAAGGTCCTTCAATCTCCTTATTCCTATTGCTCTCAAATGAGGGGATTTTTATTTTTGGACCATGAGTAAAAGAACACTGTACTTCTCAAGTGCTATGCAAGTTATTTTCGGAATACCTTGATTAAAATTGATTTAATTTAGTGTTGTGGGGAAGAAGAAATAATCAGGTGTGGTATTTGTGCTCATCTCCCCAAAACAGAAGAACAGGCAGATGTGAAACTACTGAGGAGGTCTTGAGTCAGAACTTTGTTTATCTCAATGTTAGTGCTAGTGACATGTGCCCCTTAGCAGCTCTTTAGATAGTATTCTAAAAAAAAACATCAAACCATTTTCTGTCTTCAGAAAATGCCCTGACTCTTGCTTTGCATGTTGCTTTTTAGAATATTATGCTTCTATCTGGAAGCATTTAAATGATCAGCTTTAGGCCTAAGTAAAGTAAAGTACTTCTGGTTTAATGTTATGGTAATTTAAAGTGGTAATATAAAAATGCATGGGGTGAATACTACCAAATTTTGAATTGGGGAATAAGTATATATTCTCAGAATCTTCTCTTCAAATGTACAAAATACTGAAAGTATTGCTAGTTTTTTCTTCAGATGTGTTGTTAGTGCCTTCATAACAACAGTTCAGCAGCCAGTAGACATGAACATGTAAAGTAAGAATCATATCTTTATTTGGTGCAGCTTGTAGCACTCAAAGTGATTCCTGTTGTTGAAAGACTCATAATTCTATAATGGAACACAGTCTTCTTGGGAGCCACTGAGTAAATGTGCACTTCTTTTATGTGTGAGAGGAAGAAAGATTTGGGATTATGTGGTTTATTGTTGCTCTAGCAGGATTAACATTTTTGTCAGTGCTTGTTGCACTTTGCAGTAGGCTACACTGCTTTTCTTAAATACTGTTTGGTAAGTTCCTGATTGACCTTAAGATATTTAAACTCAAGATACTGAATTTAAATGGTGCCACAATGGGAACTGGCAACTCACAAGTTCATAATTCAGCAGAGGTTGTGTTCTAATAGTGGCTTCTGTGTGAAAAGTAGTTTGTTTCAAAAGAAATCTTGGGAATTGTCTCTTTCCAAAAGAATGTATCTGAGATAAGATGCTGCAAAGCAGTGAGAAAAGCATTTAGGGAGACTGATGCTGCATGTACTTGTCAGATGTCGCTCTGCTCTTCGAAAAGAGTTGTAGCACAGAGTTTCTGCTTTAACTAATTTGAAGGGCCATGTCCTTTAAAAGTGAAGGAGTAGTGTACTCTGGGTAAGTACAGCTACTCAGGCAAAGCTGCATTGCTTACAGTTTCTTATGAAGAGCATTTATCATGCTAGGAGCATTTATTGTGCTAGAGCACAGCAGGGTAGCTGTACCAGTTGACCTATAGTGGCTTAGATCTGACACAGTTTTGCCAACAGGAATTTCTTTAGATGGTGCTCGAACATCTGCTGTACTTTATCCTAGGGTGGAAACAGAAGGAAGGCTAAGGGGATTGGGATCAGCTACAGAAGGTTGTTAGGATATCTTGGCAAAAGCTGTCTAGCAGTAGCTATGGATAGCATTGCTTGGATTGCAGAGATGGTATGCTGGAGAGATTGGGGCAATGTATCTACTGCCAAAGCATCTACTAGCAGCCTATAGGAGAGGAAGATATGTAAGAAAGGGAAATAGGGGAAGCAGGTGGGAAGGCACGATAATGCAGGAATTAGGAATAGTCTGTATTTTTCAAGAGTTGAGTTTGGAAGAAGACAGGAGCACTGTCTTCCAGATACCTTTGGCCTACAGATCGGGAAAACTCTCTCCGTTCCCTTGTTGATTTAACAATCCTGGGTGTGAGTGAGAGGTAACATGACAATTAACTGTACTTTAATTACAGTTGTTCTGATGTTCTGAATGTCACAAATATCTCAAACATCTCTATCATGCTCCTTTCCCTGCAGTTTGATTCACCCAGACTCTTCAGCTACCACATTGTCTGCACGCCTTGGGTCTGTCCAGGAGGATGCAGGGAAGTCACCAGCTAGAAACAGGTAAACTAATAATTTCTGAGTATTTTCTGTTCTGATGCACTCCTAGCATACTTGTTTCTGTAAAACCTGGGTTTCCAGGCTTGTTTTTACTGAAAGCGCTGTTTCATGTCTAAAATGGGGCGTCTCACTGCCCATATGGAGTGGTAAGGAAGAGCCATTTGTGTACATCTTCATGTTAACAAATGTACTACTTCTGAGGGCCTGTAGTTTGATGCTGACTTGGTCAAGCAGAAGTGGTGGTGAAGAGGACAGGAGGGGAAAGAAGTGGCTACAAAATGTACAGTTCTGAGGAAGCTCAAGAAAAGAGAGTAACACATACCTGGTAACGGGAAACAAAAAGACTGAGGTCACAGAGGAGCAGAGGTGTAGTTTTTGTTTATTTGTTTGTGTGTGTCTCCATCCTTTGCTCTTCCATTAAGGATAATCTTGTTTAAATTACCAGGCTTCATCAGGCTAAAATCTTTTCATAGCTCTTTATGCAAGAGTTCATCTTTATGGGATTAACTTGAAAATGTTCATGAGACCTTTAGTGTAATTTGTGAGTACTTGAGCTTAATCCCACTAAATAAGCTGGTATTAGAAGTACAAGTAGCTCCCACTTCACAGTACTGCTATGGTGCAGCTTGCATGCTTCCCTTATGGTTAAATTAAGGAAATGAAGGTGAGGAACAGTGCAAAGATAACCTAGATTTCAAAACTGGAATTGGGACATTCAGTGATTTCTTTGCATTTGTGTTATAGGAATACACAATGTTTAGCAGTTTGGAGGGATCTGGCAGAACCAGTGAAGACAGGGGGATTCAGTTGAGAAGAATGCTGGGTGTGGTGAGAAGGATTCTGGGAGTGCCTTTTGGAGAATGGACTGCTTGCAGCCTTTATCTTCTGGGTGATGGGGGTGGTTTGGAGGAGATGCACACTGACTGTACATCTGAGACCCAAAGGTCTCACCTGGGGGAGTAAAATACTGGTGAATAAATGAGTACCAAAAATCAGTTCTGGGAAAACATGGTAAGGAGTCCAGAATTAAAAGTCTAATGCTAAATAACTGCTGTGACATCAAGAAGTGTGTGAAAGCTTGAGGATGGTCTCATGCCTCCTGTTTGAATATGACTCTATTTTAAAACTTTTGCTGTTTGCTCAAACATGTGGTAGTAGGATGGTTTTAATCTTGATCTGGCAGACCTAGGTTGCTTATTCAAGTTAAATTTTAACTCTCTGGCTGTTCATGGTGCCACCAAAAGTACTTGTTTGTTTGGACACATGTAATGATGAGCTATAATACATCTCTGTTAAAAATTCTGAACCTTTGGAAAGCAAGCTACTGGCTTTGATTTAAGTGATGTTAGCCTTTAGATCTTCTCAAAGCAGCTGTAGCCATTTCTTTGAGAGAAGCTTGACTATTCCCCTTTCTAGAGGAGATGAAGCAGAAAATATACAGGTTGAGTGCATTTAGAGGCAGGTAACAGAAGTTACATATTGCTGTTTGTTTTCCGTGTGGGTGGAAATGTGTTATTTGTTCTCAGTCTTAGTTTTTATGATGGGGGGAAAACCACAGCAGAACAGTCAAATGTTCCAATCAGGGTTCAAACTGCTCCCTTGTAAGTCCATCTAAAGGATAAGCATTTCCATTGCAAAATCTCCCTCTCTGGTTTTAAGAAATATATATATGATAAAGGCCCAGATATAATTGTTTATGATAAAGACACAGATGTGAAATGCCACTGTTCTAACTTGCTTACACCCAAATACAAAATCTCTGCTGCTTACAGGTATGTGGTACAGTTAAAGCAGCTGTTGTAAAATAACTGGAAGAGTGCTTAGTTATGGACTTCCATGTCAGTCTCATCTTATGCATTAGGATGCTTTCTGTTAAGGTGCATAACTGCAGTATAAAAACTGAAATAGGGTGGCATTACTTTTTTCATGCTTGGGTTGAGCCGCATCATCCATGGAGAATTTTTGGGAATAATTATGTATGTCTGTTAGCCAGTTAGCAAGCTCTTTGAAGTTATCAAAGTTTCATTCCAAAGGCTAAAGGCTGGCAACTGTTTTCATGAGATTGGTGCAAGCCTCTTCAGTCAGTTTAGCACTGGTATTTTGAGTTTCCCTGTTGATATATGCAGAAATGTTTTCCATCCTCACTCCTGAGAGTGCTGTTAGCACTGAAGGTTACACTGCAATTGCTTCTGTAGTATGAGAAGTTGCACCCTGGTTATTCAGAGTCTCAGGTCTAGTTGTTGGTTAATGGAACAGAAGGTATCTGGAACTTGTTTGCATTTGTAACTTTGCAATGATAATTGCAAAATGGTGTGTTTGTGCTGGAGTGCACAGCAAAGGTTTCCTAACAGCTGGGCCAAGATAGGGGGGGTGCTCCATATTGCAGTACAAGGGGGATTGCCTGCTGCAGTGACCTCCAGCTTCAGAAGATGGTTTAGTCACTTTGGGGAACAAGTGCTCAAACTTCAGACTCTGCAAGCTTTCAGCTGTGTATATGAGAGCTGAGGACAAGGAATTTTAAATGGGACAAGGAGAGGAGGAAGTCTTAGTGCTCTGTTACAGGGATCTGGGTGTTGGCTACCCTTGCTGACGTTTGTCTTGTCTCCAAACTGCTGGAGGATGCCATCCCTTCCCCAGTCATTTTAAATACAGACATGTATGAGTTGGTGAGCCTAAACTTAGTTCCAACTGCATCATACAAGATCTTTACAGAAGTTTATGCATACCTTAGCAGTTCCAAAGCAATTCGCTTGCTTCCTAGGGAGTCTTTCTTCTGCTTTGACAAGGGAGAAAGAATTAAGCAGTCTGTACTGACAAAAGTAAAGTGTCCTAGGCTTGAGCTGGTTTTTAGTATGCTATAAGATACTAAGAGGCCTGTTCTGGTGAAGCACCAGAATACTTAAAATTGAATTGTTCTCTGTTCCCCTGCAGGTCAGCCAGCATCACTAACCTGTCTCTGGATCGGTCAGGGTCGCCCATGGTGCCTGCCTACGAGACGTCAGTCAGCCCGCAGGCCACTCGCACTCATATGAAGGCAGAGACCAGCGAGGATGAGCGCAAAATCCTTCTGGTATCTTTCATGCTTCTCTTTGCCCTGCTCTGTGAAGACAGTGAGGTTTGCCTTGTGTCATGCAGCAGGAGTATTTTACTGCCTTTTAAAGCTCTTCTCTAAGCACTCTTACCTGGACCTCTCCTCCAGGGGGAGCAGAGATGGAGAATATTGATGTTGTTTTGGACATTACTGTCTTCCTGAAATAAATCATAGTTTCATAGGATTTTGCATACAAATGTTTACAACTTTAGTCTTGCTAAGTATGGAGCTGGTGTATGGTGGCTCTTTGAGTTAAACCTGTCATGGTTGCAGCTGTGATGCAGTGACCTGTTTTTGTATTTCTTCAAGTTGAGATTTTCATAGGCCTGGAGCTTTAAATCAGGAGCTTTTAATGGCTGCTTTGAAATAGTTGCACCATAATGAATAAATTAAAGCCCTTATAGCTTACTGGGCCAAAACATTTGTTTGCAGAATAAGTAAAAGATTTTGTAGAAGGTTGTAATTATGTATTTTTTAAAAAAAAAGTCAATGTGCACTGGTGTTCTGCGTAATCCTATTATCCTTTCTACCCAGAGGCAATGTTGTAGGTTTCAGTTACTGTATAAATTTCTAAACAGAAAAAATCTGTTTTGTTTCTTTGAGGGAAGGAAAGGGAAGTGTTTCCAACGAATAAGGCAAAGAACTTGCAGAGAAGGGAAGGCAGTATTTTTCACACATTAGAAGACTCAAGATTGCGCTCCATTGCCACTTTAAAATCGGGCTCGTTCTGTGTTACCAGGTTCTGCCTGCTGTCAGCAGTATGCTTTCAAGTGTGCCTGAGGGTGTAGAAACACTAACTCCTGTTTACTTGCAAAACTCCTTTCTGAGTTCCTGTGTAAATGGATAACCACCTGAGGGAGAAACCTGATTAAGGCATGTCTTTATACCACCCTGCTTCACAGATGTATGTTAATTCAGGAAAAAGGAAATTCAAACCTATATGAATCCAACTTGAAGCAAGATGTTCATGTCTCGGTACTCTTTGGCTTCACATGGCTTGATTTTTTTGGTCCATTTTCTTTCTTGAGGAAGAAGAAGACTGGTACTCTTTTGTTCATCTAAGAGCAGAAGATGGTGTCAATGAAGGCTTTTCTATGCATTCCTACTGTTTTGTTTAATACTCTTACTGTGTGGAGTTGACTCTATGTCAGGAGTTAATTTACAGCCTAACCTAGTTCATTCGGAAGACTAATGAACTTTGTTCATGAAATAAAGGTAGGGAAGGTTGTATGTACACTGGGATAAGCACACACTTCAGTGAACTAGAGGTCAAAATCCTTGAGTTGGAAGGATTTGCTTTGTTCTGCCTATTTCTTCCATTTACTTTATTCACCAGTTCAGGACAGCTGAACTGTGGAGACTACAGTTGCTTCAAATTGTGTGATCCTGTTGCGTTCTGGTAATGATCCATTTGATTCTGTACCTGGGGAAGGAGAGCTGCTGCCATTGGTTTTAGGGTAATACCCAGAACAGCCACTGCTGGACTGAAAGCAGAAAGCCAGTTCAGTAATAAAAGCAGAGCATAACTCCTGGGCCTCAGGGCACCCTTTGCAAAATGCAATAATGTGACAGTTAATTTGAGAGCTGAAACCAGTTAATATTTAATTAAAGTTTTGTTACACAAAAACAGAACAAATGTGGCATTTGAGAAAGTGAGCTGCAGCATCTTTTCTCCGCACCATGGGATGGTCTGCTGCTTGGTCAAAATAATTCCAGATTCCAGTTTCCATCTGTAATAATGACTTGTGCTAATCGAGGGCACATATGGGAAGACAGAAGTGGCTAAGTGCAGAGAAACAGCTCAGTTTGGATGGAGCACAGCCTACAGAAGAGTTGGCACACATGTTTAGCAGGCTCCAAAGTAGGTTTTAGATATAGATTGAAGTGTTCCAAGTGATGAGGGGAAGAGATTCACAGATTCAAAAAAGGTTAATTAAGTTGGGAGGAATACACGCATTTTTTTTCTTAGTGGCCAAAGCTGTCAGTGCCTAAAAAAAGCTTATAAGCCTTTTTATTAAAAAAAAAAAGCTTCACAAGCTAACAATGCCTAGAAAAGCTTCATAAAAACTGGACAATACAAAACTGGATCCTCAGTAAGAGATAGTATCCTAGCAGTGAACATTGCTGTGTTAAGTACTTGCTTTATATCTGGTCTTGATACTGGACTAATATATTCACAATATTGAACATGGGCTGAGCACAGATAGTATAGGAAAACCTTCTTGCCAAGGATGATGTCCTCTGTTTCTTACACCTCCTGAGTTTGAGAGTAGGGTGCAAGGGGGCAGTAGTGAGGAAATAAGTATTTTGCAGGCAATACAAAATGTTGCCTCTTCAAAACTCCCTTATCTCTAAGGGTATCCACTTTGATTTTTTATTGTTCTCAACTGGATATGAATGGAAGGAAATAAGGAGCTGATTTTGTATCTGTTTGCTATTTCTGTTTGCACCTTTGCATAGGTTATGCTGAGTGGTTTAGATTCTGTGCCTATTTATGGAGGGTTTTTGATCTAGAAGCTGATCTGAAGGCCTGGGTTGATGCCCTTGGAACCAGTGCTGAGATAGACTGGTAATTAATTAGCATATCTCTCTTGTCCAGGACTCAGTCCAGCTGAAAGATCTGTGGAAGAAAATCTGCCATCATAACAGTGGTATGGAATTTCAAGACCATCGCTACTGGCTGCGGACACATCCCAACTGCATTGTGGGCAAAGAACTGGTCAACTGGCTCGTGAGAAACGGGCACATAACCACAAGGTAACCCTGATGCTTTGAGACAACAGGTGTCCTCTGTATAGAGGAGGTTATGTGAGTTTGAGCTGATCTAGGGTACCTTAAACTGCAGAGATAGGCCCCTTTGCAGGGAGATGAGAGAGAAAATTCAAATCTCCCCTTTACTGCCTACCCTGGAGCAGGTTGCAGTCTGACTCCATGTGCCCCAGAACAGCAGGGCGTGGAGGCTGTCTGGTTTGGAAACCAGTATGAGAGGTAGCTATGGGACTAGTGTCACTCATATGGAGAACAGCATGTGTGTTACAAAAATTGTCCAAAGGTGTTCACTGGTACTCCAAAGAGCAAGTCTGCCTCTGGGATCAGAGATCACTAATAGTGTTTGATAGCTGAATTTTCAGTGGAGCTGGCAGACTCTTAACCATGTAGGTGAATATAAGCAATCTTGTGTATTTAATAATATGATAATGGGATAAAATTGAGATGGTTCTTAAGTGTAGAGCAACAATCCTCCCTCAGAGATGATCAGTATATATAACAATATTGGAGGAGCACAAACATGTCTTAGTTATATGTTGGACACCTCAGCTGAATTTAGAGTACTGGCAGTCTCTTTATTTAGCTCCATGCTTGTGTTAGTACACTGTGCTGCCTCACCACAGTATTGTAAATAGTGTCTCTGTAAACATGGGAATGGAATACCAACAGGTCAAATAGTGCATAGTAAATTACTCTCCCCTTTCGTAGTGTGCTTGTATCATAAACCATATGTATTTAGAGCAAAACATAGAAAACCATCTCTATTATACTTCAGGGTCCAGGCCATTGCAATAGGACAGGCACTGGTTGATGGACGTTGGCTGGAATGTGTCAGTCATCATGATCAGCTTTTCAGAGATGAATATGCTCTCTACAGACCATTGCAGGTAAAAGGAGTGGGAAAGCTGAAAGATACCATTTTTCTTGGATTTGGCTGTTAACCAGAATATTTTCTAATCCTGTTCTCAACAGCTACAGATATGTTTTCTAAATCAGGTCTCCTGTACAGAAAGTAGAGGGCCAGACCTTTCTCTTTAGTGGGTTGAAGCCTGAGGAAATTTCAGTTGCTCAGAAAGCTTTGTGGCTGTCCTCTGTGGAGAATGAGATGTTACATATGGTGCTGCCTAAAGTGAAGGAAAGGGTCTTCAGAGCCAGGCCTCTCATGGTGGACATCTTCCACAGAGATCAAGGTGGCACAGTCTGTGCCTGTGGCATTTGTTGCCATGTGCAGAATTTAGAATCTGTATGCACTTACTGGTGATGGAGATGCAATGGTGATCTTCTGTTTCAAAATTCCTTTAAAAAAATTCCAAGTGGATATTTTAGATATATTGTATTGGTAACCTTCTGATCTCCAGTGATGGAGTAATAAGGAATTCAGTACCTTAGACACATGATCCAAGTTTAGGACAAGGTCTTTCTCATGCCTCCCAAACAGGACTAGTTGCCTGAGGGGAGGCAGGAACTAGTGACCAGGGATTCTGTCCTACTGTATTTCATTGGAATCAAGCCTACTGAGGGGTAAGAGCCTGAGAGTGATTGGGTTTTATAGCTTGAACAAGATAGCTCTGTAGCCTCTCTTAACTCATTCAGTTTCAGTTAAGAGCCTTTTGTGTTCTTCAGCTTCTTACAATGACGAATGGCTTAGCTGTCCCATGGGCTTCAGACAAAGCTTGCAGCCAATAACCTTTGTCTTCCTCATGCATTTCAGTCATATGGACACAGTCATATGACTTCCCTTGAGAGTGCTCTGGGGTTCATCTGATATCTCAGCTAGTCAGCTGTCTCAGTGTCCTGGTAAAAGCTTGCCTTTAACTAGCAAGTTCTTATGCATCCCTATTTGTAATGTGCTTATGTTATATGTTTAAAGTAAATTCTTGTTCTCATCAGCTAGAAGCACTATCTGATCTCACTTCTTCAGGACAAGAGTCTGGAGAAATGGTGTTGCTTGCTGCACTCACTGCAGCCAAAGGCATGATGATGATAACTTTGTTTTGAGGTGCCTAGAGGCATGAGGAAGGCTGATGGAAATTACTCAGGTAGTCTCCAGGTTCTCTGGCAATCTGGCTAATCTTTGCTTTGACACAGTAGGCCCATCTAGAGTCCATCTTGGGTTGAAACTCTCGGGGCTACATTGATCAGTTAAAGAATTGCTCCAGTAACTTAGAATTAGGCTCCACCAAAGCTGTGCATGTTGGTTTCTGGATGAAGGATAAGGCTGTCACCCACCTTGGCTGGAAGCTTTCAAAACTGCTTAACTGGATGTGATGACAGAAAATGTGCAGTATAATAAACTTATCCTTTAGTGCCACTTAGTCACAATTTGTTTAGAAGCAGAGTGTAGGTAGAAGCTGGGAATTGTAAAGAAGTACTTGTTTCTTGTCCCAAAGAGTTCCTACTTCACACCAAAGCAGGTAACTCTATGACTAACTTGGCTTAGCCCACTGAGAGTATCCTTTTATTTTAAAATGCCTGACCTGCATTTGTGGTAGGCTGCTTAATATTTCAGCAAAGCTACACTTCAATAACTTTTTTCCCTTCCTTGTCTTCTAGAGCACAGAGTTCTCAGAAACCCCATCTCCAGACAGTGACTCTGTGAACTCTGTAGAGGGCCACTCTGAGCCATCCTGGTTCAAAGACATCAAGTTTGATGACAGTGACACAGAGCAGATTGCTGATGAAGGGGAAGACAACTCAGCCAGTAAGTTTCACCTGAGTCTTCTTCTCACTCTGCCTTCTCTTCTGTTTTCCCAGTCCTTCAGGACTTAGTAGGTTAACCATGTCTTGCTTTATTTGTGTGTGTTTCTGTGTCTGCGCTTGGGGCCATAAGGATCTAGGAAAGCTATAGCCGGACTAGAGTTCCACTTTCTCACAATGGATACAGTATTTTGAATTTAGTGAAACTGGTAAAGCTTCAAACTTCCAGTGAAGGAGAAGCATGTAAATTGCTGCCATCTGTTTCTCAGGCAGAGTTCTGCTTGATTTGGGCCCTATAGTAGTGCACTAAAGAATGTTCAGTATGTCAGCATGCCCACATGAAGACAAGATTAGAGCTGTGAAAATACGTATTCCTGTATTATTGTACACTAGTCTTTATGTATTAAAGACAATTTTTCTCCTCTCTGGTACCCTCATAATACCCATTTGAACCCTTCTCCTCCCTGTATCTTCCCCTCACCCAACACTAAAAGACTCCGCCAGCCCTAGCAAGCGCACTTCAGTCAGCAGCTTCCAGTCCACAATGGACAGTGATTCGGCCGCCTCCATCAGCCTGAACGTGGAGCTGGACAACGTGAACTTCCATATCAAGAAGCACTCCAAGTACCCACATGTGCCCCCTCACCCTGCCGACCAAAAAGGTATGAGGTAGTCACCAGCTGGAGTTGCACATGATGGAGAGCTGGCCCTAATATTACTGACTTATTTGGACACTGCTTATGTAGCTGTCTTACAGAGGGGAAAATATTTAACTGGCACTTGCTTGCAGTTTTGATGTGCTCACCTCTGAGGAGGCTCAATAGACCTGTTGAAACACCTTCTCTGCAGAGTGTGTAACTTCCCCTGTGACTTTCTCTTTGCCATTGAAGCAAAGTCTCTTGCCCATGCATAGTAGACAGATCCATATATGTGTACTGGCTAACTGGGGTGGAAAAATTATCCACACATAAACCAGTTTGATATATCACTCTACAGTTGGAGATGGAACTTAAAACAGCAAGCAAGAAATAAAACCCCAGAAAACAAAAGAACAAGATTAACCTGGAAGAGTTCTCTGCTGACTTAAAATTGTACCTTAATAAGCTTACATTTTACAGAAGAATCTTACTGATAAACAAGAAGGCCTAACTTAATCCATATACATAGCCTTTCTTCAGAAGAGATCATCCACTTTAGTAGGAAGAAATCAAATACTTTTGAAAGGATTTTCCCCTAAAGAAGGACTAAATTGAAAGACTCTATAACCAACACCTTTATGGAAGAAATATGTGCCTGCCTGTTGACAACTGCATTCTCTAAGTGTGAGACTGGGGCTTGCCACTGGCTTGGGTCTAGTATATTTTAATTACTTTTCATGTTGGGTAGTAGTGGATGTCTTTGCTCTGCTTCCTTACATAAGGTTACATCAGCTTTGTAGACTTGTTTCTTTGGTGGCTTATAAGTAGTTTCTTAATTATTGTTCACCCCAGCCTTTCAGTGTTTCTGACTTTAAGAGATAATCCAATGCTAAATAATTTGCACTCCTAATTAATTAATTCTTCTATAAAGTCTAGCAGATCCTGTGTTGCTATGAATCAGAATGGAACAGCAGCCTTAAACTTTCATACAGATTGCGTATTCTGAAATTGAATGGTGTATGAAGACAGTGAGGGAGGAGGCGTGATCATAGCTGACTTTCCAAGTGTGTTAGACATGTGGGGCAGAATGAGACCAATTAGAGGAGGCATTTATTGATCCCTACTGTAGTCACTTTTTGTTATTTGCTAAAAATATGCCTAGAAGGAAGGAATTCTAATTGCTTGTTTTCTGCCAAAGAGAGCAGCAGAACAGTTTCAAAAGTTTGAGTTTATGTCAGATGATCCAAAATTGTGAGTGGATTGTCAGCACTACTGACACCTGCTCATTACTGGTTCCTTTCAATTTGTTTCCAGCTGATCCCCTAATCAAATGAAAAGCTAATGCATCTACAGGAAGGAAAGCTGAAGAGAGGAAGATATACCAAATAATTCCTTTTAGGAAGGAGGGGTGCTGGCCTAAGTGAGGCTGAAACAGGCTCAGGTGTGCTGCAGTACCCAATGAATTTGTAGCTGTAGCAGGTTTCTTTACCAGTGTGTGATGACAATAAAGCAGACAATAGTCAGTTTGGTTCTGCCAAATGTTAAAGGACTTGCAGGGTTCTTGTCTGGTTTCAAACGTATTTTACTCTTTATCCCTTTATACAAGGAGCAGTACATTATGAAGGGGAAATATAAGGGAACCTCTCGCTCTTGGAAACAGTTGACCAAATCAAGGCTGCTCAGAGCCAGAACTCTGAACACAAGCCAGAACTCTGAACACAAGAACTTGTGAGTTCTTGTGAGAAAGTTTTTAATGGTGGAGACCTTGGAGAAGATCAGTGGAAAAGGCAAGTAATGAGGGACTGAAAGGAGGAAGACTACTGCCTTTGAATTGTTTATGCTGGCAGCACTCTGATATCTGTGGTGAATCTCTGCTGGTGTTTGGTATCTGTTCCTGAAACGTGGTCTCTTAATAACCAGCTTATTCTGTGGGAGTGCAATTGGCAGTAGAAAACTGGTAACATTTTCTTCCAAGAGAATGGATTTCCCTTGAGGGGACAGTACCAGTAATAGGCCCAGAACTGGGATAGAGTGGAATTGTCATGGAAGTGCTCTCTGGATAGGTAGGTATCCTGCAGCTTTTTGAAAAATCGATATCTGCAAATACAGAGAAGTTAGTGAAACTTTTTTATTTTGTTTGTATTTATAATTCCTGGCATGATAATCTCTAGAGAACTAAAGACCCAACCAGGGAGCAACAAGTTAAAATGAGTTACAATATCTTGAATAGCAAGAAATACTTCTTGGCAATAGAAAGACTGAAACTTTGTGGATAGTGAGGAGGGACAAAACCCTACAGTGAATGCTGCATTTCCCATGGTAGTGAAATACATGGCTTCTGAAATTTCGTTCTGTAACTATTAAAGTCAGAGGCTTTATATAATAAAGTTAATATGAAGATTTTTACCTTGTTTTTCTGATTATCCTGGCTAAATTCAAGAAAAGATGCTAGAATATCACAGTGATTAGACAGCCAAAACTGGATAGTTAAGCATTTGTGTAAAATGGGTGGTTATTTTAAGGACAGAGTTCTATAGTTAATCAGTGATATGAGGTGTTTGCAACTGTCAGCATCAGTAACTTCCCTATGATTGTTATGCACACACTTATTTATCTTGATTGTGTTGGACTTGTCTCTTCTCCTTAGACTGGGTGACAGTGACTTGACTTCCTTTGAAATAATGAAGTGAAACTGAAGATCCCACCTTCCTTTTGAAGTTGTAATTCAGTTTCCTTAGGACTGTGTAAATTCCAGTAATTGCATTCTGGGGAGGACTGACAATAGAAAACATCAAGTGCTGGAAGTTCAGGTCAGCTTTGATCTAAGCAGTTCAAGGATTTCTTGAATGATTAAGGGATATGCAATTTCCCAGAGTCACAGAAGTCAGCTGCTTTGAAGCAAGGGCCGGTGATGTATCCACCAGCTGTGATTTAGCACAGAGTGTATACTCTAATGGTAGAACTTCTTGTGGTGTTATAGGCTGACTAACTCTGGTATGGTTCCATGAAATTTGGGTGACTCCAAGTTAGCTGAGTATAGTGACTCATTTATAATATCATCTGCCTAAAGACATAGTATGTATCAGAAGGGGAAACAAAATAAGGTTATTTTCTGCATTTAAACTGGGAGAAGAGGTTACATGATAAATTTTATATATGGGGTTTAGTTGCTGTTTCTGAAGAGATACAGTTAACAATATGTGAAATTCTGTTTTATAAACATCTTTCCAGACAGATATCCTTGATCATGGTATGAGGTATTTTGGGTGGTTTTGATGCTTGAAAGTAGTTAGGAGGAAAGAGAAGATGATTCAAGTAAGAGTATGCAGTTCCTTTTTAGTTTTGTTTGCCAAGGCTCAGTGTGCTGTTGGTTTTGGTTCTTCTTTTGAGAAGGTGCTTGGGTTTTTCAGGTTATAAAAGAAGCTACAGGAATATTTCCCCATCCCCCTTCCTCATTTGGTGGTGCATGATGCATGTAGGGATGATGTGAGGTAAGAAATGTGCGTGTTAGCCACCCTAAACCATCTCAGACTCACACTTATGAGTGTGTTATTTGTCTGGGCTAAGAAGGGGTATGGTATATTTCCTTGTCAGGAACTTTCCTGGGGAACTAATCAGAAGTGATGTCAGGAGCTGAAGTTGTATTGAAAAGAATAATAGAGTGGTTTGGGTTGTAAGGGATCTTAAAGATCACTTACATGAAAGAACCTAGATCATTACAAATCTGGAAGTGGCTTGGAAGTGCTACCTGTATCTTTGTCCAGAGCATAACTAAGGTTAGGTTTCAGCTGGGAATAAGTGTGCTTTGGCTGTGCCAGTCAGGGGTCTGTGCCAGACCTAATTTAAGTATGTTTACGGTAAGAAGTATGCCCTGAGGCTGTTGCAAGATGGAGAGGGATGGAAGTGCTAATATACATGCTCTTGTGTAGGTAGAGCATGATGTGACTTTCTCTAGATAGTCGGTGAGTGAATGAGTGCTGAGGGTGGGCCAGCTTTTATCAAGCAGTAGTTTATTGTAATGCTGAACTCTTAAACTAAGCAAGAGATGAGTGAAATCTCAAATAACCAGGAATCTACAAGGAGGCTTGTAACTTCTCTTTGGTACATGTATTCTCTATCGAGTATCTACTTGCAAACAAGCTCAGATATTTAAAATGGTGGCATGAAAGGGGCCTCCTGAGTGCTGCTGCTCAGAGCCTTGTGATTGTTTATGTCCTGTCAGCTTTCTGTTGCTTTCTGTTGGTATCTGAAAGCAGCCTGGCCTTGTGTTCTATTTGTGATGGATCTGAAGCATTGTCAGGAGGGATGATAAAGGGTTGGCTCTGGGCTTCAGGTAATTGTGCTGTATAAGCAGTTGGCCTACTGCTCTTTCTTATTGTAAAATCCCTTTTTGTTTAAATGAGGAGCCAACTAAAGGCACAAAAGCAAATGGCTTCTGGAGAAAACAAGCTTTTTGTCAGCAAGAAGCATCAAGATCTAGCAAGCTAAAAGAGGGTAATAAGTGGAGCTTCATCCTGTTTCACAGATATCACAGAATGTTCTGAGTTGGAAGGGACCCATCAAATCCAAATCTTTAAGTGAATGGTGCATACAGGGATTGAATCCACAACCATGGCATTATTAGCACCAGGCTCTAACTATATTTCCCACATGTAAAGTGATCTGTCTCTTGCACTGCTTTGTTTCTGGGAGTCCATCTCTGTCAGCATGGATTCCCCAGGACACTCAACTGTTCTGGACTTGAGACTTTCAGCTCTTGAAAGGCAGGCTGTCTTCTTGTTTTTGCACTGTATACAATAAACCTTATGGCTACTCTCTCCCTCAGTCTGAGATGGTTCAATGAAGTGGATGACTAAAATGATTTCTGAAGCTGCATTTTTAGACCTGGGTGAGGAGGCCATCCCATGGTGTCTGATCACATCTTAACACATTTGTATTTGGGTCTAGAAAAGGGTGGTCCGTATCAGTTGGAAAATGCACTCTTAGTTCAGTCTTGGCTCATGTCTACATTGTTTGTTTTGTTTCTTTGCATTAATAAGCACTGTTTTCTTGTCATCATAGAATTTTTTGATAGAACAAGGATGAGAGGATATTCTTGTCTTAACCACTCACCAAGCTGTTGCTAAATTGGTGACTAAACACTTGGATGAGTAATGCTGCTTCTTCTGTTGTGGGCGTGTACATTGTAATTATATGGCCGCACCAGTGTAACCTGTTTTTTTTTTTTTTTTGTCTCCACCTATATCCCTCTTCTCTCTTCTTTCAGAGTACTTGAATCCTGAAAACGGAGGGCAGCAGATGTTCTCTATAAGTGATGCTTTTATTAAAGGTAAGGAAAAACTTCAAATGCTGCTGTTGTGTGTTTTATAATATATTGATGCAAATTCCTTAATACTCCTTTAATAGAGCACTGACCCTTTCAAAATATTTACTTGACAGTAGATTTGAACTTATTGTGGCAAAACTGATGTATAAACTATTTTGACTTTTTTGAATGCACTTTCAAGCTTGAATTGCTTTCCCTTCTCAGATTCCTGCATTCAAAAAGACTCAAAGTAAAGCTTTTACTTTTTTAAAAAATGAGCATAAGTGGCAAGTTTGTTCACAGTTTCTCCACCAGCAAATTTATATAACTGATTTTTAACTTCCTGTGCAAGCAAATGAAGATGTGATACAATAAATTGCACAGCTTCTACAGAGTAGTTTAAGGCTTCTTCTCTTAAAACTTTCTTGGTGTCTTGTCATCACCACCATCATCACTACTGCTGAAATGAAAGGTCATTACATGCACTTATGAGTTTATAAACCCATGTGCTTTCCAGTATCATGGCCAGATGCACTTGTGGGTTTTTTTTTTTTTCTTCTCAGTTAATGCTATTGATTTTGGTACACTCATAAGATGAGGAAATAAGGGAGAAACCCCAATGTCTGTCTAGCCTGAAAAATAAAGTCTTGGATTAAACTGGTGTCTAGTTTTTAACTTTTGCAGAAGGAAGGGGGAAAGCAATGTAGCTTCTTTAATCTTCTACACAGCTAATTTTGTGTGTGGAGCATCTGGAAGAAGTTAATTGTTGGTTTTTAGGAGACTTTTCTTCAGTAGTCTTCCTTGGATTGCTATTGTCTAAAGATTTTGCTACCAGTAAGGAGTTGTAAGCTTGATCTGTGAAGGCTTACATACTTGCTTGATGAACATTTATACACTACTAGTATAAATGACTTATAATATAGTCAGCCATTATGTCAATGTGGAAATTTATAATTTGCCTCTATAATATCATAATAACCATGCAGGAAATAACCTAGTAACTCTTTCAAAGCACAAAATGTGCTGAAGTAACCTCTAATTTTGGTACTGCAAAACAGAGAACAGTTCTAAGGAGTTACTACACAATATAGTAACTGAAAGTGTCAGTCCCCCTCAAACTGAGGACCATGACATCTACTTTAAACTCAGTAGTTACTCATTAGTTACTAAGACTTATGTCTTAGTGAATTCTTTCCTTTTTGAAACAGCCTTTCAGAAAGACTGCAAGCATTCAACTGTGACCTTACATTAACAGCGGTTGTTTGTCTCTTGCAGAGTCGTTATTCAACAGGAGGGTGGAGGAGAAGTCCAAAGAGCTCTTATTCACACCCCTAGGCTGGCACCACAGCAATCTGGATCTGCTGAGAGAAGAGAATGGGGAGAAACAAGCCATGGAAAGGCTGCTGTAAGAAACATGTGTAGAAAGGAATTTGCATATCTTGAGTAACAATTTCTGAAGCCCTTCTGTTCCACCAACTTTTAGTGGGACTTGAGCTGCAGTAGGCAATGCAAGGAAATAATTTGCATTAAGAATGCAGCATTTTTACAGTATATTTTGGTTGTTTTTTTAATCTTGTGATGTTTATATATAGAGTACAGGACCAAAACTGATTGTAGAACATTTTAGGCAACTGTTCCTTCAGAGGACTTCTGCATTGTAAAGGTTAAGAAGTTTATTTCAGCTAATCATTGCACTGTATTTTTATATTTTTTTAATGAGAAATCTATTTATTTTGCCTTTTTTATAGGTCTGCTAATCACAACCACATGATGGCACTCCTTCAGCAGCTCCTATACAATGAGTCTCTGTCACTGTCCTGGAGGGATATTATTGTACCCGTGGTCTGCCAGGTAGTTCAAACGGTACGGCCAGATGTCAAGAAGAGAGATGATGACATGGATATCCGCCAGTTTGTCCACATCAAAAAAGTAAGTTTCAAGCAGTGGATGCAGGGAAACAAAAGGGTGCAGCTGTTTGAAGAGAACAGTCCCCTTTTCACTGTCCTCAGCATATTCAGTACTGTAATGGGCTGACTTGGCCTTTGGATAAGGTGGGGTTCTGGAAAAAGTTGCACAGAGGGAACTTGGCGTGCTGTGAAAAGTGCTTTAATGTGCTGGGTCTGACCTCTTATTTCAGACTGTAGGTTGCAGAAGGTAGCAAAGAGTACAACTTTGTAATTATTTGGTTCATTTTTTTGGTTTCTGCTTGTTTTCCTCTTGAATTTGAGATATACCAAATGCAGGACTTGGTGCAGCAATCTGTTGCCCTGTACCTATCCATTATGGAGTATTCAACTCCTCCCATGGCAAGTACGATGGCTTTCTTCAAGAGCAAAACTTAATTGTTATGGAATGGTGTATCCAGTTGTGCCAGATGGCCCAGTGTTGACACTGTTGAACTGTACGTCTGGAGTTCAGGCATGCAAACTTCCTTCTGAGAGTCTGATGTGAAAATAACATCCAAGGAGTTAGTGTGACTGAGGACTGAAGATTTGGGCTTAGTTTTCTTTGGCTAAATTCATCTCAGCAGTACTCTTGTTTGAAAGCCATATGAAATCTGAGGGGAATCTTATGATTCTGGTGGTAGTTCTGTGGCGTCTCTTCAGGTAGCACCACTTGTTCCTGCTTCTCCTGAAACTCAGGTTCAAAGAGCAGTTGTTCAGAGGTGAAAGCTCTTCATAGCTGTCTGCTATTTTCACATGCTGGTAATATGAATGTCCTCTGAAACATGTTATTCAGAAACCTGTTTCATGCTGTTTATTATGCCTGGGATTGCCTGTGACTGCAGGCACACCAGTCAACTGTTTGATGTGTTCAATTGGTAGGTAGAGGATTTTTTAGTTTTCTTTCTTTATTTTATATTTTTTTCTCCCTTTCCTTACAATCTCTTTGTTTTTAATAGAAATGGCATGTGCAAAGCTATATGCTCCTCATGGCCTGTCAAAATTAGGTTCCCTTGTCATGTGCTGAAGAATACTGGTTTAACAAATAAGCCTCTCTTGAGAGGGGTGTAGAAATCCTAGAACTCAGTATTAGTTTTCATGTTGTCCTAAGTTTGTCAGGCTTTAAAGAGAGAGACTTATGTGTCCATCATGACTGTATCTGATCTTTCATCTGATAATTGAGGGTGTAACTGAAATTTGTACATCACCTACAATAGGTATTCTATGTATTAGCTTTATTGCACTACAAGATGTGGGAGTGTATGACAGTTCTAAAAATGTTCTTTGCTTTGTTAGATCCCTGGTGGAAAGAAATTTGACTCCATGGTGGTGAATGGATTTGTTTGCACTAAGAATGTTGCACACAAAAAGGTAATGTAGCTTGATTAATCTTACTGTAATGCATGCTGTAGAAACAAGGGAGCTCTGACTTGCTTTTCTGTCAGGAAGCTTCTCTCACCACATAGGATGTTTATGAGCTTTCTCTGCTTTGAGCTCCCAAAAAGAATGGCTTTTAAAGCATTTTTTTCAAAGCTGTTTTGTTTTCTAGCCCAGAGATTTTGGGGGAGAAACTCTCCTAATATATAGAAAAACATCCTTTCCATCCCTACCAGAGTATGAGGTATCTAATAATTACCCCAACTTTTAGTCAGAAAAAGGCATTTGTGGTTCTGACTTAGAATAGTATAGTAAAATGATTGGTCTTTAAGGTAGTAGGGCAAGATAGGAGTGAACTGCATGAATCAAGTGTATCAAGACTTTGGGGCTCTTAGCAGGAACTGGAAATCCTCTCTAGTAGTGCTTGCTTATGGACAGTACCTGTGAAATTCCAACAACTGGGTGTAGCAACTTCAGAAGAAGGAAGAATGTGTAGTTGGGTCTGCAGGGGGAGGGAGATAACTGAGACACTTTAAAGGCAGGTGGGGGTAGCAGGGACCAATCATGAGAAGTCTGTCTCTTTTTCTTGTGTACTTCTTCCTATCCTGGTATTTGTATTTTTGTTTTAACTATTTTTGTATCTTTTTAAGATGAACTCTTGCTTAAAAAATCCCAGAATTCTTCTGCTAAAATGCTCAATTGAGTACCTCTACCGAGAAGAAACAAAGTTTACTTGCATAGAGCCTATAGTACTTCAGGTGAGCATATGCTTTTGTTCTGGGTTAAAATAACCCCAGCAAAATCATGGCCATTGCAAATTCTTTTAGTGTATAAGGTGGAGTTTTATGAGTGAGGTTGCATAGAAAATAAAGAACTTTCCTTTTCTAGTAAGCTAGTTAAGAGAGCTGCTGCAGTAAATACAGTACAAATTTGTAGTCTTGCACTGAGGGCTTTTGTCCTCAAGTTACACGTCCTGAGAACATGTGAGCTTTTGATTCTCACAATGCAGCATTTTAGAAAACTTTTGTTTTTACTGAGACCTTTTGAACTGTACGTTCCTTATACAGTACTAGAGCTAGATAAGGTTTGGTGTGTGAAGAAATATTTGAAAAGTTCATATAGGTGAGGGTTAGGTAACACCCATGTTGTTTTTTGTCAGGCTTGAAAAATTGGAACAACCATCAACCTAGTGGAGTGATGAACTAGAAAATGTCACTTTGGAACAGGTGCCCTGCCCCTGTGAGCAGGGGTGTGCCTTACATATGAAAACACTGAAGTACATAGACCTTTTCTTTATGAAATGCTTATAAAATATTATTGATAAACTAGTGTTTTGCTGTGGGAGTATGAAAATATTCACAATGGACTACTGATGGTGTTTTATGGATAGCTGTTTTCCCTATTTTATAGGAAAGGACAGTATGTAAATGAAGTGAAAAATTATATTAAGCATTAAAGTGGGTTTATTTTCCAGATAGGTTTGTAGTAGTTCACTGCTATACTTTGTTCCTGTCTGCAGGAAAGGGAGTTCTTGAAGAACTATGTACAGCGGATAGTTGATGTTCAACCCAATTTGGTCCTTGTTGAGAAGACTGTGTCCAGAATTGCTCAGGACATGCTCTTAGAGCATGGTATCACTCTGGTCATCAATGTCAAGCCGGTGAGCATTTCTGAGCAGAGTTAGACATGGCCTTCTGGTAGATTTCTAATGACTTCTTGTAGCAAGCTCCGCGGAGAAAACCAAGAGTTGTCTTATTTTCATCTCTAACCAAGTGTTCTCTTCCAAGAAAGTAAGACAGGCAGATATGGAGAGTTACTTTTTCCTCAGCTCTTCACAGCTATTGTGCTGCATCCTTGTTTGATGGGTCCTTGTTACCCTGGTTTAGTTCTAGTTGACTTAGATATCCATTTATAGCAAATCATATGTGGGTCTTCACCTATTGCCAGAGAGCCTCTGTCCCTGTGAGGCAGGGTGCAGACAGCCAAACAGAGAGTAGCTGTGGGAGTTGGCTGAGCTCCTGGCAGAGCCAGCATTATGCTGACTGCACTGCACCTCCTGGAGGTATCTGGATCTAGTCAAGTGAGAAGTTCTAGGCAGGGTACAATCTCACCAGAATTACCCAACTCTGTTTCTAAGATCCTTGTGTATTGTGGATGTGGGTTTGTGGGACTGGGTTTAACTGAGAGTTTGCACTGACGTTTTCTTATTTGTTAAGAGCAAGATAAGGATGCCAGTGTCGTCTTTGCACTGTAAATTCTTACTGTTCTTTCCAATTTTACAGCAAGTGTTAGACCGGGTAAGTCGAATGACCCAGGGAGATTTAGTGATGTCAATGGATCAACTGTTGACCAAACCACAGTTGGGGACCTGTCATAAATTTTATATGCAAGTTTTTCAGTTGCCCAATGGTGAGTAAACCTTGATGTGCCTTAGCCTATGTGTGTGAATGGACGAATGCTTTGCTCCTTTTTAAGTAGATGTGAACTGTTGGCTTCCTTGTGTGATCGCGTATCATCCTACTCATTTTATTTCCATTACTTCTTGGAACCACAGTGACTGCCTGTGTAGAGAAAAGTATGATCTTGCTAAGAAAAGACACTCTATAGATTTTATTGGACTGATTTATTTCTTCTAAACTGTTTTTTCTCTTCCCACATGCTGTAGTTTATCTAGTCCAACTTCCTGTTCAAAACAGGAAGGATTAATTTCAATGCAGCATCAGATTTCTTAGAGTTTTGTCAGCCAACTCTTGAAAATATTGCAGAGTGGGGATTTCATAGTCTGTCTGGACACCATCTTCACTGTAAAGAATTTTTCTGCATTGAAGAGAATCATAGAACAGCCTGTGTTGGAAGGCACTTCAAAAGATCATCTGGTCCTACCTTAACAAATCCAATCAAAGTTTGCCTTGTTGTGCACACTTCCCCATGTCCAGTCATTGTGGACCTTTAAGAAAGGTTCCTTTTTCTCTGTAACTCCCCTAGGCAATGGGAGTCTACAAAGAAAGGAAGAAATGCTGCTTGACAAGTTACCAATGGTGCTGGCACACATAAATGCTGTGGATGCAGATCTTTGTGGAGATGCAGTCTTTGCCTTTCTTCATAGAATCATAGAAAGGTTTCAGTTGGAAGGAGCCTTAAAAATAATTTAGTTCTAGCTTCTCTGCCATGGTAGGAACTAGACCTTCCACTAGACCAAGTTGCTCCAAGTTGAATCAAATCTGTCCTTGAGCAATTTCCTTTCTACTTCCTCATAGCCCCTTCCAACATTTCATTGTCCTCAGACTTGCCCTTTTGACTTGTAAGGATGAGCAAATGTGCCTGGAAGGGAAGGGATTCTTTTGCCCACTGGTGCAGTCTACAGTGATCTTAGAATACTCTGTTTAGGTCAGGGTGTTCCATATAGACTTCACTTTGACTTTATGATGGCTTGTTTTATAAAACAGGAGAGGATTTATAGCCAATGCTTTTTTTTTTTTCTTGGTAAAATAAGTTATTTCAGTACAGTAATACAAATTTCTGCAGCTACCAATGTTACATGCTGTTAGTCTCCTTTACAGTCTCTTGGGTGTGTGAGGTATCTAAAAGCAGATTAACTGTAGTTGTCATCCTAACTCCCGTGTTTTATTTCTAGATCAGACAAAACCCCTGATGTTCTTTGAAGGATGTCCCCAGCACCTGGGTTGCACTATCAAGTTGTGTGGTGCTGCAGAGTACGAGCTGGCTCGTGTGAAGGAGATTCTGATCTTCATGGTCTGTGTGGCTTATCATTCCCAGCTGGAAATCTCATTTCTTATGGATGAGTTTGCCATGCCCCCTACTCTCACCAAAAACACTTCCTTTCACTCCCTTATTGAGGAGACAGGAGATGAAAATGAACAACAGGACCTCTTCAATGGGGAGGACTTCAGCACAGCAGTCAAAGACATTGAACTATCCTCTGAAAAGCTGCCTGTAATCTCTGAATCAGTGTCCTCTGATGAGGTCAGTTTGCCTGAACCAAGAGGTGTATTTGACAGAGGTGACCAAGAGAACAGTCAGCTGGAAACGGTGTCCTCCAAGCAGCAAGAGCACCTCAAAGGAGAGTCACCATTTGCAATATTCAGCTCTGTACCTCATGCAATACCTGAAACATCCCCACTGCCCCTCCATGGCATGGACCAGCACTTGGCCACTCTGGATAACCAGGCACTAGAGCCTCTTGAACAGGCAGATGATTTACAGGAGTCCAAGTGTCAGATGAGAGTCTTCAGAGACCCTCTCCAGGATGATACTGGTTTATATATCACGGAAGAGGTAACTTCATCTGAGGATCGTCTCAAAACTTACTCTGCAGCATTTAAGCAGGAGTTGAAAGATGTCATTCTCTGCATTTCTCCAGTGCTGATGTTCCGTGAACCATTTCTTTTGACTGAAAAAGGCATGAGATGCCCTGCCCGGGAATACTTTCCTGAGCAAGTTTATTGGTCTCCTCTCCTCAATAAGGAGTACAAGGAGTTGGAGAGCAGAAGGAAGAAGCAATTGTTGCGGGATTTCTCTGGACTACAAGGGAGGAATGGGAGTATCCAAGCCAAGGCTATCCAAATCTTACCTTCTCATGAGTTGGTTAATACTAGAATAGCAGAACATCTACGTGATAGCCAGAGCTTAGCCAGAATGCTGGCTGACTATCGGGCCAGAGGAGGGAGGATACTACAGAAAAGCACAGATCCTTTTGCCCAAAATAAGGATGTGTGTAATGTCCCTACTGGAAAAACTGGGAGCAGAATGGAAGAGGAGGAGAAGGGATTGGCTCAGAGTGACTCCTCATGGTCTCATAAGGTAAGATTGAGTTGTGCTGCTCAAAGCTCAAGTTACATCAGTTTCTCATGGTATACAGAAGTTGTAGGATCTCATATTAAACCAGAGGGGATGGTTTTTTTGTCTGTTTCTTTTTGTTTGTTTAAGTTTTTTTTTTGTTTTGTTTTTTTGACTGGGTTGTAACTCCATTTTAGATTGTGGTGCTCTGCATTCACTCAGAAGCGACTGCAGAATTTTTCTGAAAATGAGTCCATGAAGAGGGAGCAAACCTTAAGAGGTTTCTTAAACTGAGCTTTCTTGCTCCTTCTATTTGGTTATTTGTAGAAATGTACTTTCATTTTCAGAGGGCTTTTTGTCATGGAAACAGCAGTAGGCTGTAATTACATTAAAGTACTTGATTGTGAAAGTTTGGATGGTCTGAAGAAAAGAGAATCACATTATGGAGGAAATCTTTTAAATTTCGAAGCAAGGTAATATGTGTTTATAATAAAAATATTTAAAGTTTTGGTAAACTGCCATGAAAGTAACCAAGTTGTATCTGAGGAAAAAGATCTTGTAACTTTCTTGAATTGTTAGCTCTTTAGCAAAAATGTCTGTGAACAAGAGTAGCAGAACTGATCTGTTGAAACAGTCAAACATTTTAGTCCCTGTGCCAATCAACCCTTGTGTTCATGAGCAGAAGTCACTTTTTAATTGGCAGTTAAATGGAGATCTCTGTAGCTTCACAGTCCATAATCTTAGAAACTGTAAGAATAGCCCTCATTGTGGATCAGACTGGTTGATGCTGTTCTAAATTTACTCAGTGATCAAAGAGAAGTATTTGGTTAATATCATAGTTTTGGAGAGCGTGGAAGGGAAACTAGCTCCATTCCAAGAGCAGCATGGTGCATCTCTTCCCAGAGAGTAGGAAGTCTTTCTATGGCCTGAATGAGTAACTGAAATATAATATACTGGCAGAGTTTTGAATCCAAGATGTCCTAGATCATATAGTAATTTAGATACTCTGGATGTTTTTCACGAGGCTTTTGTTGTTTTCTGTTCCTCTTGGCTTCATTTCAACAGAAACACATGCATGTTCGTTGCTTTCGTTATGAGTTATATTGTTCTAAAAATGGCACTTAGCAATTACACAGAGCACAAGTTTACCTGAGGCTGGGAGATAATGCCAAGTTTATCTGTACAAAAGGAGAAAGCAGACATTTGTCTTTGAATAAAATTACTAGAATAGAATTTTGTCAACAGAAGTTGTGCATGAATGGAGGTGTCTGTAACCAATGAATGAGTTGTTTTCTCTCTACTAGGTGGATTGCCTGAGTCCAGTAAACCATCAGAGGCTCTGTGTTCTCTTCAGCAGCTCTTCTGCTCAGTCCAGCAATGCTCCAAGTGCCTGTGTTAGCCCCTGGTATAAAAACTACTCTACAGCTTGGATAGTTGCTATTCTTTCCTTCCCAAAGTCAGAGTCAGTGCCTGCCTCATGGCAGTATTTCTTTGAAGACTCCTTGGTAGGTTGTGCTTATCCTGTAACAGGAAATTTTGCCAAAAGACTTTTGTCTTGCATGGTCAGGTGGATCTACAGCAGGATTGCACAACCTCTGTAATACCCAAGGCATGAATGAGAAAGCCCAGCCTGAGACCAAATGCTTTAGTTGGTGTTTCACTGCAGAGTAATGTCTCTGTGTGGGGAGCACTGCATGCAGTCTTGGGAAGAAGAGCTAGTGTAAATGAATACAGGACAATGTCCAAGCCCAAAAGTGAGCCTTGTGAGAATCTTTGAATACTTGTAGATTGTATTACCCAACAGTGGCATTGGAATATATTGCTATCTTTTTCATACTATAGTCATCAGTATTAAGAGCTTAATTTCCAGCTTAGGGGGCTGTAATTTGCTAATTGTGTGCGACTCATGACACACTTTTATCTAACTAAACAGGACAGGTCTTGGTGTTTAATCATTAGCCTAGGTGATTTTAATCATTTAACTTGGGTGAAAATAGAGACTCTCTTACAGGAAAAGGTCTAAAGTTCCTGTAAAAGCTTAGAAATTAAGATGATGATATGCTCACTAAGCAGCAAAAATGAGAGTATGTAAATTAGTTAAGTTAGGGATATCTGAATTATGACACTTAAACTGATACACAATTTAAATGGCTTCGTCACCTCAGGTTCTGGGGAAACTAAAGTTGCTATTAAATATGCTAGAAGAATAAGGATTTCTTGAGGCTTTTTTCATGTTTTGGATGTACCCTTTTTTGTAGTTGTTTAAACATTAGTGCTTGAAGCTTAAAGATGGTTAGACTTCTGTGCCTAGATACTTTTGAAAATAACCTTCAGAAGTGTAGTTGAATTGTATTGGACTTTTAAATGTCGCATTTAAAGTTGTTCTAGTAGGACTTTGATCTCATTATTAGCTAACCTGACAGCAGGGATCTAGGAAGGGTAGTCAAGTGGAAAAAAAAAAAATCTTTGAAGTTATACAGGGCTGTAAACAAGGCAGCAGTGGGTGTCGATCTGTGCTCCTAAAGGCCATTGCACAGCTAATGGTGATGACATCCAGTCTCTAAAGCTTTTATTTCTCTGCTGTAGGATTGTGACCATGGAGTTCTATGGGAAAAATGACCTAACTCTAGGGATTTTTCTGGAGCGCTACTGTTTCAGGTAAAGAGGAATTTATTCTAATTCCCTCATGCTCACTTGTTACAAGCAAATACACCCATTGCTTTCCTATTTTGGCCTTGTCCTTCTTGCATCCCTTCATGATGAAGTGAAGCAAATTATGAAACAAAGTTTGTAAGTTCATAAAGGCAAATGTGTTCACATAGCCCTTTCTGTAGCAATTAGGGTTTAAGGGCCAAATTAAGAGCCTGAACATGTACTCTGTTTTTTCAAGCAACTGTTCTGGTCACAGTTTTCTGAGGTTTGTCTTTGAAGGTTCATACAAGTGTTGGCTAACACTACTCATTTAGTGTCTCAGAGTAAGGCTTTGTCATATGTGCAAGGTGGCCAATGTGAATAGTCCAGAACACTTTGAGCCCTGGCAGAGTACTGTGCCATTTATTTCTTCTCATAGAGCTGTAAGTTGTTATGTTTCTATAATTACTTGTGCTGTCACAACCCTTCTCAGCAGGCTGGGAAGCTGGATAGATAACCTGCTCAAAAGACAAGCTTACTCTGTTCTCTCCATTGGCCACTTGCAATAGTAAAAGGCTCTCTATGTTCAGCCTTCTGGAGAAATGAGTATTTCTCCTTGTGGTGATCAGTGAGAAGGAGCTTAGCTGCCCACTTTAAATTCCTGCTTCTCTCTGCTCGTTAGTGAGAAGAGACTGCTTCTCAATCTCCATAGTTTCAGTAATTAAAATTCTTTATTTTTTCACATGAGCAAGGAGAATCTGGTATTTTTCAGGGTCTTTCTGATTTTGAAGAATATCTTTTCTGACTTTGGTACCTCAACAATTCAGCTTTTATTTTTCTGGTGTTAGTCTTTCTTCTGTGACTTAAAAAAATCCTATCCAAAGAAAGGTCATGGGTTTTACTGTTCAGAGATGTTCTATGGCAGTGTGTTGCTTACTTGTTCCTTCAGGAGCTGAAACATTGCCATTTTAAGGCTCTTTGTCACATCTTTGTCCTTGGTAATATTTGCTTGGGTGCACTGCCAAAGCAGTCTTTTAATTTGGTGCCAAGGACTTCCACAGATGCTTTGATCCTTACACAGAATAAGTTGATAGAAAGTGATTCATTGTAAAAAGGTGATAGCAACCAGTATCCAGCCACTGCTTTTGGAACCTATATAGCCATTGCTGTCAGTGGAATTTCATTACGTGCTACTTCTAAATTGCTCTTCAGATACAGCCTTCACTACAGGCTTAGAAAACTCTTTTATAGTGAAGATAAATAGTACTGTGATATTAAAAGGCATATTAGATCTGTTGAATCAGTTCTTCAGCAGTGCCTGTCAGGTGATCATTCATAGCTGTTTCTATTTCTCTCTGTAAGGCCTTCTTACCAATGCCCCAGCATGTTCTGTGAAACACCGATGGTGCACCACATCCGTCGCTTTGTTCATGGGCAAGGCTGTGTGCAGATTGTGTTAAAGGAGCTGGACTCCCCCGTCCCTGGGTACCAGCACACCATCCTTACTTACTCCTGGTGCAGACTGTGCAAACAGGTAAGGATGTGGACTTCAGAATTATTGCTCTTCCAATTTAGTATTCTTGTTGTGACTGACTTTGTAGGGAAAGGCACTATTTTTGACAAAGCACTCACGCCTGGAGCTGTGGCTAAACTGGTAGAAAACCTGTTACTGATACATATGTTCTCATGTTACCTACAAAAAGGCTCTGTGTTGGCCTCCTCTTTTAGCACTGGGGTCATTGAGGGTCAAAAATCTTGTGTGAGGTGGTCTTGTTAGAAAGTGTCAAAACTGACTCTGAGAGGGTAGATCTAAACAGAAAAAATGGAGTTGCCCACTTAAAGGTGAAGAGTATGGTCCCTTTCTTGCAGTGAATCTTTATGAGCATATGGGAAAAGGTAGACACCAAGACCTACTAGGTATTGTAATTGGCTAAAGCCACTTATTGTTCTTTGATCTGCTGTGGATTGAACAGCCTACATTGTGTCAATATGCTGTCTGGAATTCCTTCAGTACTCATTAGAAAGTAACATCTTCATTAGAGAAATATTAAATTGCTTTAAAAAGCCCACAAGATAGTAAGATTGTGTATTATCTGGAACTTGGCTGTAATTTAGCTAAGAAAACACTGCTAACTGGATACTCGTGTCTAGCTAAACATGAAGAGCCTTCAAAAAGATGAGAATAAAACATTATGAAAAAAGAGTCATGCAATACCTGAAATGCAAAACATCTGAATTAACCATATGGATGACTCAGGTCATCTACTTGGGCTGCCTTAGACATGGGTGTTGGATGTACAGATACCAGAAGGAGGTTGATGCAGTTGCTGACAGCAAGCCCCGTGTTGCTGTGTATGCAGCTGCTCTGTAACCTTTTATTTTTGTGTGCTTATGTAAACACTTATGTGGTTGAGGTTATTAAGTGTGTGTAAAGTGGTGTCTGCTCTAAGCTTGCAAGCACTTCTGAGGCTGAAATACACTGCAAAGCAGCACCAATGCATTTGTAGCTGCAGAATCACCAGGGAAAAGTATATGATATGGCCACTGCTGCTGGCTGGGTTGCTGGAAATTGACTCTGTACAGAGAAGTAGCATCCCAGAAATAAATTTCCATCAAGGGTATGTTTGGACTCCCCCTTAAAAAAAACAAGCTTAGCAACTTTCATCATCAGCTGGCAGTTATTTTAACAGATTTATTTTAATGATGTGTTTGCCTTAGCTATGCATAAATGTTATCTTTGTTGTTAAGTTTGTTTCAGGGTCATGGGTGCTTCTGGTACTAGAAATACTAGATTGTTGCCTGCATTACCCTCTCCTTAATCTTGTTTGAAGGATGAAATTTAGACACTTACCTTTCAATTTTTCAGGTGACACCAGTTGTTCCCCTTTCCAATGACTCTTGGTCTATGTCTTTTGCAAAATACCTTGAGCTGAGGTTCTATGGGTACCAGTACACTCGAAGAGCCAACGCAGAGCCTTGTGGGCATTCCATTCACCATGACTATCACCAGTATTTTTCCTATAATCAGATGGTGGCATCTTTCAGGTGAGTTTCACTGCTAGAAACTTCCTTCTCTCTCTGCTACTGTATGAAGCATATACCTCTAGTAAGGATTCATCAATTCTGTCCTTCACTGTTGAGTATAGCATGGGATAGCATAACTGTACCATAATCACAAGCACAGGATTCTGTGCTGGCTTGCAGAGGGCTTTGTGGGTGGCACCACTGTCTTAGCTATGGTGGGCAGTATTCCAAGAGTGGATGGCTCCTCTTCATGATATAGAAGGGAAATGCTTTTCCCTACCCAATTCCAAATACTTTCAAAACTTTGGTTTTGCAATATGATTGGTGCTTTAACTTCTTGCCATGGAGAATGAACAGTGTTATTTCTGATAAAAGTAACTAAAGCCCTGGACACATTGGCAGTGCCCTTTTTCATATAAGGGCCTCAAACCTTAGTATGCTGTAGAACTAGTACTGTGTGGTGTGGATCTTGTTACAAGCTGTTGTATTGCCTTCTCAGCTACTCTCCAATCCGGCTGCTGGAAGTGTGTGTCCCACTCCCCAAGATCTACATCAAACGACAGGCTCCATTAAAAGTTACTATTTTGCAGGATCTCAAGGATTTCTCACAAAAGTAAGCTTTGTTTTTAATGTCTTCCTAATCTTATTTGTACTTTGTGCTTTATTAGCAGGACACATAACTATTTTTGCTAGTATGATGAGATTTTGCTAAATATTCATTATTTGATAGAAGAGTAATAGTTTAAAACAGCTATGTGTATATACTTCCAAGGGACAGTGGTATTGAAATCTTTGTTACCTTTGTTTGCTCTGTCTGTACTAATGTCTCAATTCTTTGTCTGGTGGCAAGTCAGGTTAAACATTGCCAGTAGAAACAAAGATTCTTTTATTCTCTTTTCCTGAAAGTTGCAGTGATGTCTGAGTCATATAGCATGTTTCTGAATCATGCTGTCAAGCTACTGAAAGGTTGGCCATCAGCAGGTGTCTGAAATGTTACCTTATGAAATGCCCAGTTAAAGTATTTTCAATTCTTCACTCTAATGCTAAAAATGAGAAGATGGTCCTGGAAGGCAGACCTGGAAAACTGCAGGTTATACTTCGTACTCTTACCCTTTATAGAAGATCTGACTGAGTTTCAATTCATCAGCCCCAAAAAAACTGCAAAACCTTGCTCAAATCTTTTGTCTGAACATAACTGTTGTCATTCTATTGGCCATGTGGTAATGGAGCTCTCTGATGTATAAAAGTCTTTGTCTTTGTTAGCTATTGAATATGGTAACAGCAGGCAGACCCTACCTTATTGTAGTCTAAGGTGAACTGTCATGAGCCTAGACACTTTCTAAATGTAGGAACAAAAAGGTGGAAGCCAGGTGAGATGAGAACTCTGTAAAATCCAGCCAAACTGCTGTTCTCCCTGGTCACAGCATTCCTGTATTGCTGTATGTGTCTGTGACCATCTGCCTTCATAACCTGTGGAGCTTGGTTTAGAGCTGAAATAGAGGTACTCATTTTTTCTGAGCCCGCTGGTAGAGGTGTAGCTTGCATACCTGGTTTCTTCCTAATCACAGACGAAACAATAGTTCCCCTGTGTTAGTAATGTGTTTGAGACATTGTATTGCTCTCTGACAACTTCCACTGCTAAGAAGAAATTGTGGAGACAAAAAAATCAGCATATGTAACTTCTAGATTCCTCCTATTTCTTAAGAAGTTTTCCCAACTTCCTCTTACTGTGCAGGAAGGCGGTCATATATTGTATTGTCTTCTGTATTCTTAATTGCTAACCTTGAACACATTCAGACTATTTTAAAGAATGTTGAAGAAGCTCCAAGTAGTCACAGCTTAACTCTTTGCATTGCTGTTCGCAGGGTGTCACAAGTGTATCTTGCTGTGGATGATCGCCTTGCTTCTCTGAAAACAGATACCTTCAGCAAAACGAGGGAAGAGAAGATGGAAGATCTCTTTGCCCAAAAGGAGGTGATAGACTATTTTTACATCAGTGGTCCATAGGCTAAGTGTGTGGAGGAGCTACTCAGATCTTGTGTCATCTTGGTGAGATAACACATAGTTTTCCTTTTGGCAGATGGAAGAAGGAGAGTTTCAAAACTGGACTGAGAAAATCCAAGCTAGGTTGCTTTCATCATCACTGGACACACCTCAACAACTGCAATCTGTTTTTGAGTCTCTAATAGCTAAAAAGCAAGGACTTTGTGAGATGCTACAAGCCTGGAATAATAGGTAAGAGGACACATGCTGGAATCATAGCAACACTGATACAGTGTTGGTTCTGGAAGGGAAGAGGTTCAGCTGTAGTTTCTTTCACTATAGAGCAGTTGCTGTATAGAGCTTGTGCTGAATGTGTTCTACTGGTTAAGAACACAGAGCTGATCAGTTGGAACAGAAAATAATTTGAAGCCATATGATAAAAGCATTATGTTGTATAGAACAACTTGCATCTGGAGGAGACATTTTCATTTGAGTAATGGTGGAAGAGATGGGAAGAAGGGAGCATGGGACCTGTTGATTGGGTGAAATAGTCTCAGAGCTGAAGAAAACGTGCTGTCTTTGCTGCTAACGCATGACAAAGATGTATCAAATGGCCAATCTTTTTTTGTTATGGATAAACTTCATAACTTGTGTTATTCAGAGATAACACCAGTAACCTACCTTTTGATTCTTTGGTGGCTGTGATTTTGTGTGGGTTGGTTTTGTTTGTTTTATTATTATTATTTTTTGTTGAAGATTGCAGGATCTCTTCCAACAAGAGAAAGGTAGAAAACGTCCATCAGTACCACCCAGCCCTGGGAGACTGAGGCAGGGTGAAGAAAGCAAGGTATGGCTAACAGGCTATAAACCTCTTAAACGTTTGTTTGTTTGTTTTTTTCCCAGGGGCAGCACAATAGTCTTAAGACTGGCTTGAGTTCTCTTTAATTAATTAAACTAGTTTTACTGCATCCTGTAGTTTTCATTTGTAAAAGCTTAAATTGTGTGCTAGTATATGTAGCTTTTCCAAAAAGATGTGAACTAGGAGCCATATTGCAGAGAGGAAGAGTAAGTGTGAATAGGAATTGATGATTTTCTGTGATGTTTGTGTAGTGTTGATGTGAACACTGCTGCAGAGAGCTGCAGTCATTGTCAAGTGTGTGTGTAAATAGGAACTGGGCCATCTCCTTCAACCCTAGGTTGTTGTCCATTAGGTGCACCCGTAAAAAAAAAAAAAAAAAAAAAAAGACAAGTAATATCAAGAGGTAGAGCAAATGACACAGGAAGGACTGATAATGGCTTTTCAGAATGTGATGTTTTGTGATGTATCCTATGGGAACTGACCCTGAAGGGATGGATAAATGATTTTGGACTGATGCCTCGAGAACTCTGTCCAAGGATAAACATGCCAGTATGCTGACCTTCCACCCTTTGGGGAGCTGGAACTGTGGGGAAATGTCTGGGCTGCAAGACAGTACAATATAAGTAAGCGTCATATCAAGAGTCTGAACTCCCAATAGTTCCACATTAGCAAAGTGCACTAAAAACTCCTAGAGACCCTGGATTTGCTCTGCTGCATGCACACATGCCCTTTCCACTTAACACATATTTGTTAGGTGTTAAAGCAAACCTTATCTTGATCTAGCAGGAAGTAGGTTCTTAGGGAGTTTAAAGTAGCATACACAGATAGCAGCCATCATAAGCATCTTGTGAACTTAAGTTGCTGTTGCCTTGTCTTTTTCCTATGCTAACAGATACAGTGACATGCAGAGGCTGAGAAGTGGGTGGGAGTACTCTGTTGTAGTACATCTGCTTTTGTAAGCATTCCACACGGAAGGGAATAGAGCTGTAAAGAGCTTGGCATCAACATTGGTGTTTTGTTATTCTGCCTAGATCAGTAGCATGGATGCTTCCCCACGCAATGCTTCTCCAGCGTTGCAGAATGGAGAGAAAGGTCTGTTACTTATTTTTCATAATATGCCAATAGAAGCATGTTGTAGCCCTTTTCCTGACATGGAAGCTTTTGTCAAATTTGATAAATCAGAGAAATACCAAATCCCCAAATACCAAATTTGTTTTTTCTAGCTGTAAGATGGAAGTTGGCCGTCTGCTTCTAATATGAAGCTGAATTAATAGTGATTAGTAAATTGGCTAACAAGAATTTTCCATTGAACTTTAGTTTAAAAACTTACAGAAGCTTTCTAATTAACAAAATAACTACATGGCATTTGGGAAATGCCTTTTGCCTCTTCTGTGATCTGGTTATGGGTGCTGAGATCTTTTACCTGTTAGGCATACTTGGGAGTTTGTGGGAGCTGAAGGTAGTAGCTGTAAGCATATACATTTTCTGGAGGTTATGTGCTACATTGATGAGCTTCCCCAGTCCTTTGGTCTGTGTGGTTTTACCTGCTTTCTAAGTAAAAACCTTCTGAAAGTAGGTGCTGCTTATAGCTTGGGTTGGGAGCAAACAGTGTCACTTCTGACAGCCATGTAAAATTATCTCTTCTGTCCTTAACTGTCCTTGTACTCTCAGAGGATCGTTTCCTGACGGCTTTATCAAGTCAGAGCTCCACAGGCTCTACCCATCTACAGCTGCCCACCTCTCCAGAGGTTGCATCAGAGCATATGACTGGTGCCAACACACTCTTTGAACAGGACACAACAAGCAGCTCAGAAGGTATAGTTCAGTTGTCTTTCTCTTGCTTTTCTGTGCCAAGTCCACAAGACCCTTTTAGGAAATGACAAATAACTGGTAACTCTGTAGTCATCCTTCTGACTTTACAGCTTAAACTTTGATATTGTGATGCAGACCTGACATATGTCTGTTCCAGATGTGTTTGATGGGCACTCACTGGGATCTACAGACAGCCAAGTGAAGGAGAAGTCTACTATGAAAGCTATTTTGGCTAACTTTTTGCCTGGAAACAACTATAACCCCATTCCCTTTCCCTTGTAAGTACTGCATAATAGATATAAATGTATGAAATCAGCAACCTTGTCAGATTGCAGGCAGAGCCATGCATGCTTCCTTTGCTCAATGTATAATTTAAGCCATTACTTTAGTTTGCCTGAGTAAGATGGAGAACTTTGTCAAGGTAGGAAGTTTTCTGTGTCCATTCTAGGTGATTGTAGGTTAACCACCTTTCTTATGAATGATCTGCCCTTGTGTGAAGCCAGTATCAATTTCTCCTCCTAGCAGGCATGTCTCCTCAGAGCTCTTGTGGGAGATAAAGGGGTGTGGGAAGAGGGGAAGAAAGGTGCCTTCTAACTTCATTGCTGCAGGGAGGGAGTGGAAGTGCCCTTCCTTAGCAAAGACTTAACTAAAGCTACATGCTCGCATCTTGTTTTTGCTTCCAGACCTCTTCCAAGGGTTGGACTCAAATTGGCATTGTCTGGGTGTAGGTCAGGTTCAATGGCCACTGTATATGCCCTCAAGTGTCCCTCTCGTGTCAAGATGGGCAGGCTGGAAAGTCTTTCAGCTACTTGGTCTGTGTGCTTTGTAGTGTTTCTTGTTTAACATGAGCCTAATGTTTGGCAGCCCGAGTTTAACTTGTGAATCCCATCCCCAGTGTTGGAGTGGAGGCCTTGGGCTGATGAGGTAAAAGCTAAATGATTGGACCCTACAGATGAGTGAAAAAAAATGATACAAGAATCCAGGAGGCTTTGGGAAATTTTCTGTGATAAACTGCCTGTTTAGAAAAGAGTCCAAGTTTGTCCCCTAAGTTCACTCTACAGGCTATGCTGCTAGATAGTCAAACCAGGCTCAGGCAGGTTTTGGTGCCATTAGAAACAGTGGCTGCTAAACAGAACTAGACTCTTACTCTAACCTAAAGCTGTTTTTCTGACCCAAGCATCATGCTTAAAATGCTGATTTCCCTAACACCCTACCATTTAGAATTAACCACATAGTTATGAATGTGTCTGTTGGGAGAAGCTGATCTGGGGAGCTTTGGTTCCATGCTGAGACTTGCAGCTTGTGCCTGGGAGTGCAGTGATGAGATCTAGGTTTTGCCCAAAACTTCTTTTCTTTACACAAATTTTTATGATCTACTAACAATCTGTTGTTTTCATTTAGTGACCCAGATAAGCACTACTTAATGTATGAACATGAACGTGTACCTATTGCAGTCTGTGAGAAAGAACCAAGCTCCATCATAGCCTTTGCTCTCAGGTACTGCTGTGATTTGGCTTTTCATCTGACATACTTTTCAGTTTTGCAGCTTTTGTGTTTGAGGAATATTTAAATTTTGATGATAGGGAACAAGCATGACAGAGTTTCTATATTAAGGTATGTTAGAGTTTCTGACAGAGATGGGACTCTTTCGTCTTACTACTGAGATAATGAAAGTGCAACTGAATTTTGGACTTTAGTGGAACTCTAGTATGCAAAAATGACTTAGTTGTGTGGTGTTTCTTTTAATGAGATATCACTAGAGAAAGAAGGGAAACTGAGGTTTGCTCAGCCTCTCCAGCTGGAGGAAGTGCAACTGAATTGGGAAACAGTTATTAGTATTGATATTGCAGTCTGTTTCTTGCCTACCTTTGATCATAGCGGCTCTTATTACTGCTAAGCTCTTCTCACCAGGTGCTTCAGTAAACCTTTGGGTTTGCATGTCACAAGACAGCAGATTTTTGAAGCTATACGTTCTTAAATTGTGGGAGGGGGAAAAATAAGGGGATATTTTTCCTGCAGTATTGTCTAGAGCAGCTTCTGTTCTACATAAACAAAGTTCTAATAATAAGAAAAAATAAAGCAGAAGTTTTTCTGCTGTGGTGTTTTGTTTCCTGTGGTTGTCTCTGAACTGAATCTTTGGGCTGGTATTGCAGAGTTTCCAAGAGAACACTTAATTATTTTGGGTCTTTACCTTTCCATTTCTTTTCTTCTTTCCCTATCAGTTGCAAGGAATACAGAAATGCCCTGGATGAGTTGTCCAAAGCATCTCTGAAGAGCAATTCTGAAGAAGGACTACAACCAAACAGGTTACATGCAGGAACTACAGTACATAGAGTGAAGATATAGTGCTGGTAGTGAATAAGCCAAAACTAGGATGGGAAAGAACTCTCAAAACATGCCCCTGTTAGGAGCTCTACTTTCCAATGGAATCTGACTCACTCCATGTAACCAACACATACTTCAGTATGTGAGTTTCCATGTCGCATTACGGACCATGATGGCTCCATCACCTGATCTCTTGAGTGCATGCATGGTACTGGGCCTGCTTACCTTTGCTGTGGTCAGGGATGGATGCTATGGGCCCTGAGAAATACTTTTTAGGAAGATAGAGGAGGACAACTTTGGAGAGTCCCACACTGTTGCACCTTTAAGTGGTGTCTTTTTCCTTTAGTGTTTAGGCAAAGGAGAGAAATAAATGTCCCGGCATAAAGCAGTAGTGTCTTGGGTGGCAGCATTTGTTGGTTCATCACTTGTTTGTTCTTTCTCCTTTCAGCATGTCAGACAGCAAGCCCAAGAGCAGCAGCCCTGTTCGCCTGCCAGAGGCTAACATGTGTCCCCTTCGCAGTGCAGAGCCAGAGCAGCGTAAGGCCATTTTACCAAAACCATCCATGGTGCTAATCTCAGCTCAGAATTGAGTCCACTTAACCTGGATTCTAGATCATGTGGGGAAGAAAAAGCAGCATTCTGAGTTAAAATTGTGACTAGTCTTAATGTTGACTTAATGTAACACATGAGAGGGATGGGCGTGTATGGGTTTTTTTTTGTTTTATGAAGTTTGTGGCTTTCTCTGATTCTTATGAGATCTATGAGATCAAGGTGTCATCGCCTGACTTCATGTTATTTAGTGAACCTAGGGTTGTTCTTGAATCTGGCCTGTTCAGTGGGATATGATGCCCTTCTTTTGGCATTGCCTTCTTTAAAGAGATGCAGTTAAACTACTTTGCAATGGAGACATGAAGTTCTTACGGTATTAAAGACACTAATTCTTGGTCTGTGTTTTCAAATGTCTCTGCACTCTAGGATGCTACTCAGAACACTAGATCGTCCACCCTCATGGACCTTAGTTGCCTGAAGAATAGCACAAGAGTTATAGTTGAATGACATCATTGATCCATATAGAACAATGAATGGGGAATGTTCATAGGAGTCATGCTGCTATTAAACTGCCTGTGGAAATGCCGACACCCTCTTTTCTATTTCTTTTCACTGTAGCAAAGAAACCATCTGGTGTTTTGTCTTTCTTCCGTGGCACGGGAGGGAAGAGCCCAGACTTGTCTTCCCAGAAGAAAGAGACCTTACGTGGTGCTGACAGTGCTTACTACCAGGTTGGACAGATGGGCAAAGAGGGAGCAGAAAACCAAGGAGCAGAGGCCCAAGGTACAAAACTGCAGAATTCATCTGCTCTCTTGGTTTGTTACTTCTCCCAAACCTCATTCAACTATGTAAGGCCCCAAATGCACTTCTGCTTGTACTTTTTCAACAACATGTTGAAAGTTTACTCAGCACACATTGAAAATGAATAATTTGAACATCAAGTATGTTTTTTTCCCTAAACACATTGCTTGTCTTTATGATAAGGGAAACAGGATCTTTCAAACCCAAACTATAGGGATGTGGAGTGGTCTGGTCTTGAATGCCTTTGGATTGAGTTGACTCTAGTTAAGCAGCCTTGTCTCTCTTCCTCACTTGCTGTTTAGATCTCATTGTTTTGGCTCATAGAAAATGAATGAAGAGAGACTGGAAATTAGATATACATATGCCCTTCTAGCATATGTATTATATTATACAATTATAGCTGTATTTCTAATTCCCTGTGTATAGTTCCCTCTGTATTCTTAGGAAAAAAAAAAGAAATATTTTTCTTGTAATGTGAGTTTACAAGTAATACCTAATGTGACTGTCTTGGTAATAATAGTGAACAGCCCTGACCAAATGCCCTTTATGCCTTCAGATGATGGAGATGGAGGAGATGGACAGAAGAAACAGGTGGTGAATCCCCATGTAGAACTCCGTGAGTAGTTGTAAATAACTTAGTCTTAGCTGACCAGCTAATTACTTCATGCATGTGCAGTGGAGTCTTGAAGTTAATAGTTGTTTTTTCTTAGTGTTTTTCTTGGTATTCTTGGTATCATGAAGGAAAAGAAAATCAAGAAAAGAGCAATACAATTTTTACTTACTGCAATCACTTTTGCAAAAATACTCCATAAATTTTTTTAATTGATCTTTTGTCCAAACACTTCCCCATGCCATATACTATGATCTAATCGAGAGGGAGTTAACTTTCCTGTCAATTTTCCATTTAAATGCCCTTGGTTGAAACTTCTGAATTATAATATGCATGAGAGAGATGTTTAGCTCAATAATACTCCTCTAGACATGAGCAAAATCTCATTGTTGTGTTGGGTAGTCAGTGTGCATTGCACACTGTTATTGAGGAAAACCATTTTTTGCAGAATTCTCAGATGCGAATGCCAAGTTCTATTGCCGGATTTATTATGCTGGGGAGTTTCACAGGATGCGTGAAGTGATCCTGGGGAGCAGTGAAGAGGATTTCATCCGATCCCTCTCTCACTCCATGCCCTGGCAGGCACGAGGTGGCAAATCTGGAGCTGCGTTCTATGTGACTGAGGGTAAATGCAGCTTCTTCCCCCTTTGTAACAAGAGGCATTATTTCTGTGTGGTGGTGGTTAGTGTGGCATTTAATCCCTGATAACTTTTTTCCAGAGGGTTGCTGATCATGAAATGGGCACTCAAAAAGGAAAATTAAGTGGATTGTTCTGGGGTCTTCAATATCAAATTATTTGTCTCTTTGTACGTGCAGCAAAACAAAATATAGTTCTGTTTTTCAGCAGTAGCAGCTAGGAAGGCCAGTTGAACAGAAGGGTTGTATCTCGGGCAGGCTTCAGAAAACAAAAACTTGAGTATAATTCAAGCAAAACTTGTTGAAAATGCAGTGTTTCTTATAATCTCAGGTGCTATTGTTAATATAATTTTTTTTTAGAACTGTGGCTGTTTCTAGGCTTCTATGTAAAACAAGTATTGAACAAAATGGTCTGTAGGCTGTTTCTATTGTCTGTATAGGAAGCCTGTATAGTTGAGGTAGATCTAGTGTAGGCAGTCTCATGTCAATGATTTACTGGAAGGTAGAAATTCAGGGAGGCTGAAATTCAGAATATGAAGTAAAAAGAATCTAGAAATGAGCTTCTGAAGGTAAGGATTTAAGAGAATCATAGTGTTTTAATTTTTCAAACCATTTCAGCTATGTGACAGTCCTAAAAACATTGCAAAAGGTACTTCACTTGTATGTAACCCTGTTGCCTCTGTCTGATGTTAAAACAGATGATAGATTCATCTTGAAGCAAATGCCTCGTCTGGAAGTCCAGTCATTCCTTGACTTTGCCCCACACTACTTCACTTACATCACTAATGCAGTTCAGCAGAAGGTATTAAAAAACCATGCCTTTTATTTTGGGCTGTGTTCTGTTTTTAAAGATTAGTAGAAGTTTCTATTAACCCTTTTCACTTAAAAGAAAATTTTGGAGAGTGTGAGTTATATTAATAATGGGTTTTTAAGATGTAAAGTGGAAATTATGCTTGGACTTCTGAGCTGTAATACACAGACAGAACAGTAGTCCTTCTGGTATGGGATTGCTGATTGTCTCTACACAGATCTTAACCCATGTCTTGTCTTCATTAGAAGCCCACAGCACTGGCTAAAATCCTTGGGGTGTATCGAATTGGTTACAAGAACTCACAAAACAACACTGAAAAGAAGCTGGATCTGCTTGTCATGGAAAACCTTTTCTATGGCAGGAAAATGGCTCAGGTAAAAGCAGTGTTCTTTTCAGTGCAGCTGTGACTGGGAGAAAGAGCAGGGTCATTTGTAGCTATCTAGGTGACTTTTAACTTTGTGTGTGCTGTTGAGCTCGCGCACTGCTCAAAGGTGACAGTTTGTGCTTCTTCCTTGTTATGAGATCCTCAGGAGCTTGATGCCTGTATTGGCTGGTTCAGATAGCTGTTGTGCAGGATTCAGTCTTTACAAGTCTTGTTTGTCCCTGTATCTCTGGTGTCTGAGAGAAAGCATTACTAACCTGGTTATGAAAATGTAAAATCTTTTGAGAAAACTTCCAGAGGAACTGACTGGAATTACAGACTAATTTGTTTAGAATGAGAGCCTCACTCAGAGAGAGTTACTCTGTAGTGGGGAGAGTTAATTATTTTTTCAACACACTGTTCTTTCTTGGAACTACTTCAGGTGTAGGACAAGATTTTGAGTTCAAGTCTTGCTGTTAGTCAAGCATAAGTAATCTTTATCAGACAGTAGAATGAAAATCTTAAAATGATTAGGGGGAAATTCTCCTGTAAATAGAGATTTGAAGCTGAAAAGGAAGTTCAAACAAACATTACTTCTAAATCTAGAGAATATCAGTTCTTTCCACTTTACCTCTCAGTGCCTGACCTCAGACAGGGAATGTTTGTGGGAGGAAGTGGATGGAGGGAATTTTAGATGGATATAAAGGGTGTTGTGGGTTTTCTTTTGGATTGTCTGTTTAAATCATGAGGAGGGCTCAGGCACTACAAAAGAGAAACCCAAACAGACTGTGGACTCTATTCAATGGAAATTAGTGAAATCTTGACTGGACATAACTTGAACAGCCTTCTCTTAACAGGCCTGCTTGAAGCAGGACATTGGACTGGAGAACTCCAGAGATATTTCCAGCCTCATGATGGGTCTGTCTTTTGCCTTGCCAGTGTTAGCTGGTGCTTCATGCACCACCCGTCTCCCTCTTCAGTGGCTTTGCTTTTGTCAGCAATTAACTCTGTAGAAACCGTCTGGAAAAAAGAGTTTACATGAACAATATAAAAAGTAGAGGCACCCTTTTCCTCCTCATTTAGACTATATGTTAGTGAAATAGCTTGCCTAAAAATTGTGAATTGAGGTGGCAGAGCTTTCACCCAGGCTTACATGCTATTCTCTACAAAATATTTTTTGTTAATTGCCTTCCTCCTAAAGAGAAGGAAAGAGTTGCCCAGCTGTACTGCCTTATCAAGTGTTAGGTACTGAAGTCTTTAACCCAGAAAAACGAAGCAAAGTAGTGCTGTTCTCCATTTGCAGGTATTTGACCTGAAGGGCTCCCTCCGGAATAGAAATGTTAAAACAGACACAGGCAAGGAAACTTGTGATGTGGTCCTGCTGGATGAAAACCTTCTGAAGATGGTTCGGGACAATCCTTTGTACATCCGTTCCCATTGCAAAGCTGTGCTGAAAGCCTCCATACACAGCGATTCCCAGTTCCTCTCCAGCCATCTCATCATTGACTATTCCCTGCTGGTGGGTCGTGATGATACCAACAATGAGCTGGTCGTTGGGATCATTGGTAGGTTGTCTTTTTTATTTTGTTGCTCTCAGATGATGAAATGCTTTTCTTCTGGTTTAGGTGTTCATAGTGCTCTTAGAACTGTGCCACCACCAGAGGGATGTGTGTCAGGAAATCTTGTCTTCTCCCTGGTAGAATACCACCCTCACCTCTTACAGGTATTCAAGTTGGAGGCAGGAAGTCATCTCTCCAGGTCCTATATTGGCTCAGATTAGCATTTGCATTGCTATCAGTAAATGCAGGAGGCCTCAAAGGTTGTTTAACCTACACTTTGACTCCAGTTGAAGCAGGGCAAGTTATTTGTATGCTTTTATGTGTTTAATCTGTAAACTTTAGTTTAGTCATGTTTACATAGGCTTTTAAATCTCGTGTGGAGGAGCTCTAAGGAAAAACAGTATTGGTAGGGTTGGAAGAAAGAAGTTAAACATCATGGGATCTCATATAATCATATAATCTGACCAATGCAGTAATTACCTTGTTGCATCCTTTGACTTGTGACTGGAAAGTAGAGACAGAAAAAGAGACGGTTTAGACAGACAAACTTCTGTAGTATAAAAGACTTAGAGAGGGAGCAATTTTACAGGATGTGGAATTGTCTTAGGGAAATTAAATGGTCTTGAAACTCAGCTCAGAAATGCTTCCAGATGAGATCTCAGGACAGGACATCTGGATTACACTTATTCTGATAAAGCTCGAAAGCCATTTCAATAACACTTCTAGTTGAGCAAGTCCCAGCTACAAAGAAAGCTCTTGTTTGTTGCAAGTTGTTATTACTTTCTAGATTTGTAGACTCTTGAATATTGGAATAAACAGGATGGGACTACACTGACCATGTGCTTCTCCTGTATGTGTGACTTTTTGTTGCCCTATGTCAAGTCTGATCAGATATATTTTATATGATATTTAAAGCTACCAATTCCTTCAGTGTTTAACACAAATATCTGAAGGAACTTGGTGAACACAAATATTATCAAGAAGAGAGAACATGTCTGCTGTATTAGGCTATCAGAATGTTCTTTAGATTATACCCTGAGAACTTATAAAGTACTCAAGCTAAATTTATGTTGGACTGGAACTAAAAAAATCCTAGTGTGGACTGTGTTTCAATCTGAGGTCAGTATCTCTACCTATTTTAGATCTTTATGTGATACAGGAAACAAGTAAGTTAGGTCTGTGAAAACTGATCTTACTGCAACTTTAGCTTTGCAGGCCCAAATGTTCATGTGCTTGTGTTGACTGAGCATGCCTTCTCTGGAAGGGGCTTGGAAACAATTCAGAAGTTGTCTCCGTGCTGCCCCCTCTGCCAGTCAGCGTCACTGGTGATGTTTCCAGTCCTCCCTGTCATAAAGTGGCAATCTCTTCCATTCTGTTATCAAACCTGCAGGTGGCTGCAGTGATGAGAAATACTGTTTTAAATTGAGAGGTGTCCAAGCCTCAGTGCTTCTAGTGGGGCTTCTGGGATGAGGGTGAGCAAAATGACCCTTGTGAATGAGCCCTTGACACTCTAACATGGATAAAGACAGACATGCTTGGGCAGCCTGTTCTTGTGGAGACTCGAAGAGTTGATTGTGATCTTGCTGGACTTTTGCAAGACTGTATTCACCTTACCCAAACATAATCAATACTACAGAAAAGGAGGCAACTGGTAGGGAAAACACTGAAGCTTTGACTGTAAAGCACTGCTGCTTTCCTGCTTTCTTTGGGGGGAAATAAATACATTTTAAAAAAGGGTTACTTGGATTATAATAAATAAAAACATATTTGTGTGTGGATTTTTTTTTTTATTGTAACAGACTATATTCGTACTTTTACCTGGGACAAAAAGCTTGAAATGGTGGTAAAGTCAACTGGCATCTTGGGAGGACAAGGTAAGTCCAGACTGAAAGCAAAGATTTTGATCATGTTTCCTTGTTACGTGGAAGCTTTCTATAGCACTGCTGATGAAGTCACAACTTGCCCACCATGCAATTTTGTGACAGATTAAGTTGTCAAGAACAGAAGAAGAAATAGTAGAATACCGGGTTGGAAGGGATCTCAAGGATTATCTGGCCCAACCTTTCTTGACAGAAGCACAGTCTAGACAAGATGGCTTAGCACCCTGTGCAGCTGAATCTTAAATCCCCTCTGTTGGGGAATCCATCCCTTCACTGGCAAGACTATTCCAATGGCTGCTTGTTCTTATTCTGAAAAATGTTCCTCTTGTGTCTATCTGGAATCTGCCCAGGAATAACATATCCATTACCCCTCATCTTTAACATCTGGCTCCTTGTAAAATGAGTCTCCATCTACTTTTTAGCCACCCTATAAATACTGGAACGTAGTGATATGATCTCCTCTAAGCAGCCTTTTTTCCCCAAGGCTGAACAAACCCAGTTCTCTCAGTACTCAGTATTTCCTCATATGCAGGCTTCCCAGTCCTTGGGTCATCTCTTGGACCCTTCTCTGGACCTTCTTCAGCCTGCCCACATTTTTTTTTTTTTTTTTTTTTTTTTTTTTTTTCTTTTTTTTAAATCTAACAGGGACCAAAACTGAGTCCAGTATTCCAGATGTAGCCTGGAAATGGCACCTTCCAGGTGAAACATAATGCTGGGATATGGGTGGGATAATGACTTCTGTCCTTCTGGCTCTCTGCTGGTGATGTCCTTTTTGATGCAGCCCAGTGTCCTTCCTGCTGGCTTTCTTTGCTGCAGCAGCACTGTTCACTCCCACTGAGCTGCTTGTCCACCAGGATCCTCAGTCCCTTTCACAGAGCTGTCCCCCAGGGAGATCCCAGCCTGTGCTGTGCTCCTGCATTATGTTTACCAGGTGCAAACCCTTATACTTGTTTGTTGTTAAACTTTAAAAGGTTCTATCTTGTTGCCTTCAAGTTTATGCTGTCTGCTGGTATAATTTCATGTGACATCTGTCTGTACTGCAGTATCTTTAGCCCATTTCTAACAGCTCTTACTCTTACTCATTAGGTAAGATGCCCACTGTGGTCTCTCCAGAACTGTACCGGACCAGGTTTTGTGAAGCTATGGACAAGTATTTCCTGATGGTGCCAGACCATTGGACAGGACTGGGCCTGAATTGCTGAGCTAAAGCCCATATTGGGAAAGCACAAGAGGACAATGACATAGGCCACTCTCTTCCAGCAGTCTGTCCAGCAGCAAGTAAGAGGATTGCAGTTCCATGTCTACACTGACCACGTGCATCCTGTTGCAGAGTGTGAAATCTGCTTGCACTTTAATCTCCTCTTGGAGGGTAATAAGCAAACCTGCCTCAGTAAGGATCTAAACTGTAAGGTTCCACTGAACAACACTGGTAAGTGACATCCCTGCTGTCAGTAGGGAAGGTGATGTTATCTCCTTGTAAGTACTGGACTGAGATTCTATCCAGATCCTCATGGTGAAGAAGTACACAATCTCTGGAAGTCTTGCACTGCCATAATGGTGTTGAATGTGAGCAGCTCATGTTTCTGTAGTGGATACTTGGTACTGAAAATGTGAAATAAACCGCACAAATGTGGATGGGGGAGAGAAGAATGAAGTTAATTCATGAGTTCTGCTATTGTTGCAGTGGTCTGTAAATGATCTATTTAGGATCCATTACTAATTTTTGCTCTTTATGCTCCTTAGTTTTAATTCTTACTGGGTTCTGTAAACAGTATTTTTTCTTAGGCAGCTCCACATCTATAATGCCCTATGACTCCATCTTTTAAGTTACTGCAGTACAGCTCTGGTTTAGCTGTCATAATTGCATTTTAGCTGAATCCCATAAAAATGGGCTGTTAGTCATCAGTATACTGCAAAACTCAAAATATATCCCTTCATTCCTAAACAGTACTGTGATCTGAATGTTGCTCAAATTCCTGGAAACAGGTAACTAACATACCCTTTAATATAACAAGACATGATTAATTATAGTTATGAAGCAGATTAACCCTTTTTTTAGTAAAGGTAGTAAGTTGCTAGACAAAGTGAAGCATACTGCAACTTTCTTCTTAATGCAACTATCATTCCTGGCAGATCACTTCAAATCCATTTCAGTTCCCCTTTACTTTCAAGCAATGCAATTACCTCATGGTGAAATTTTGCCAGAAGAATGTTTTTCTTGTGTTCATGACATGATTTTTTTTTGGTCACAGAGATGAATGTAGTTGTTTTCTGTAAAAAGGAAAACCTGAACTAACAGGTATCTTGTATGATGCATAAGATGTGCAGAGATCTGTGAATCTCTATAGTATTACAATAAGCGTTTCTTTCCATGTTTTAAAAAATTTACTCATTTTTGTAGGTGATGAGTTTACTTTTTAGTTTCATTATAATACAGGCCAGTAAATAAGAGTTTTAATGAGTTTGAAAGGCAAGTAAACTGTCCTTTGACTTCAGTCTCTGATGGACAAACATCAAATGAACATGGAATCTGGGACAGGATAGCTCTTGGTGATCACTTGCACATTCTAACCAGTTGCTTCTTAACACACTCATCACTGTAACTATGGATTGAAATGTGCATTTTGTTCACTTCTCCAGTGTTCAGTATTTTTTCTGCAGCAGATGGTAGTGGCTGTTCAGGAGTGACCAACAGTGGGCATCACTGGGAAAGGAAAAGGCGAGCAGTGAGACCTGAGCTACTTGCTCTAAAACCAACCAGTGCAGCTCTTGTTTGAGCTGCCAGGAGGCAACATTTGTGTTGGAAGGAGCCTTCACCACCCTATTGTAACACTGTACTAGAGGATGAGCAAAGATGCTGGCCTTGAAGCAGCAGAAAAAAAAGTGTACTGATTTCCTCAGTACAATGTGAGAATAGTTTCTGGGGGTGCAGTGTTGGAGGCTGCAGTGATATGTGCTGTGGAAAGATGACACAGTATTCCTTCCTTCAGTCCAACAGTGCATCAGGTACAGCTGATCACCTCTGGGATGCATCTTGCCTCTTTTGTTGAAATATTCTCCCAAGATGCCTGCCTCTGTGTGTGGCCATGTCTAATGAGGGCAACCAGTCCATCAGCTCAGTGCTACTCCCACTTCTGTGGTCTCTACCTACTGTCTTGGTTCATCAGCGTGAAAGAACCTGCCATGCAGCCTATGTTCTAGTCTCAGCTGAAGTTTAATGTGTTCTCCTCCTTCTCAAAGTTTACAGGTTAAAACTTGACTGTCCTGGCCAGCTAAGGTGACCCAGCAGCAGCTAATTATGTTGTCTCCCACCTTTGTCAGTATGTGGATTGGTGGATGCAGCACGAGTGTGGGCATGTGTGTCATGCCACCTGCACTGGGCTAATGTGGCATGCTGGCCTGGTCTGTCACCAGTAACCCTTATCCTTGTCCTGGGATGTGTGGCTGCTCTGTGCTGCTTGTCAGCCAGAGTCCTGAGCTGTAAGCAGCTTCATCATCATCTAACAGTTGCTAATGCTCCTCTGAATGTGACAGTATGAGGCCCTATGAAGCACTGCAGGAGGGAGAGAATCTTCCACTGTTTTGCAGCCTATGAACAGGGCCAGAGACATGTGAATGGTGACCTTCTTGGGCTGAAGTTACAGCAGCTGGAGAGATTTGTAGGAATGATCTTGAGCTGGCATCAACAGATAATTTCTGGCCAGGATTCGGCTGATAGACTAGTCCTGATTAGACTGGAGTATAGAGTAAACTACTGGTCATGTGTATCACAGTAGCTGCAGTATCAGCTGGAGTTGGGTCATCTTGGATGTCCTGCGATAGAAAGCTGTAAGCATTTCTAGTCCAAATCCCAGCAGCTGAATGGGTCTCCTCAAATATTCCATTTTCAGTATATTTGTCCTGACATTTCAATTACTACCAAGCTTACTTTTCTCAGAAGGAGAGCAGTACTTCATGCAGAGCAAATCTTTGAGAGCTGCTTGGGAGGCCATGTTCAGTCTGTGTCCTTGTAGAATTCCTAAGGATGAACCCTCTGGTCAGAGCTTATTTCTCTATGACATGGGTTTAGCATTTAAGTAAGTAAATTCCAGTTGCAAATATGAAGACTGAATTTCTTCAGAGATACACTGACTCTTCTGTTCTTTGATCTGAGGCCTTGAGACGAATGTCTAAATCTTGTCCAAGTCAGAAGCAATGACTTTGAGTCAACATGTGGACAGCAGAATGCCTTCTAGTGGCCCAGGGATGCATTCTGTCCCCAAAAAACACGAGGGACTCTTGCTGGCAGAGCAGTTCTAGTGGGCTCAGGGGAGTTACTTGTGGAGTCTCCCCTGTCAGAATGACCAAAACCAAATGAATCGCTCACTAGCTGGTGGCCAGGCTAGTCATTCTTGAAAGCACTTAATGTACTATAATATATGCATTTATATTCTAACTTGGTTCAGCTGTATTTTATAAAATTGATGTACTAAACTATTTGAGAATAATTGCCTTGACTACTTGGAAAATCAAAATATAATGTACATAGATACAAATAAAGTGACTAAAGTATACTTGAGCTCATTGCACCCCATTTTCTTGATCAGAGGCAAAGCCACTGCTCACTGTGCAGGGATTGCTGTGCTGGAGAGTGCCAGCTTTGTGTGCAGTGTAAGATGCCTGTCCTGTCTCTGTATCTCGCAGCTCATCTCCTCTGATGGAGCAGCACCTGGGGCAGCTCCCCAGGGCAGTGGCAGTAGAATGTGCAGTTTCACAGTGCTATCACACAATTTCACACAGTTCTATCTTCTCTGCAGCTGCTTTTCACCACAGTGCTGTGTGATACAGGGATCCAGTTTTCTCCAGCAGGTGGTGGTGTGCCTTTGCCCAGTTCTGCCACAATGTAGAACACATCCCAAGTATTTCCATAATCTTAAATGAACTGGATCAAGAAAAAAATCCAAGAAGGTCTGAAAATAAATATATTCTCTTGATTATTTTACATTAACCTGGTATATATGAACCTCCTTGCTAAGGCTTAAAATAATTTGTGATTAGTTCTGGGAAGGGGACTTGTTCATTCCCAGAATATAAAACCCTATCTAAAACTTGAGGATTTTACCTCTATTATGTGCAATCACCATTTTTTGCCAGGTGAGTTTGAACTCTTTCATCTGCTGCAGTATGAAACTGTATTAGAATCTGTCCCCCCATTGGGGGTATGAGCAGGGAAGAAATGTGATAGTCAATTCTGGGACAGTGCTGCTTTCTGTGGTTGTAAAGATGAGTGCTGGGATTGAGGAGCTTCTGGCATGAAGGTGAGAAGCACAAATGCAGCCTTAGTTCAAGAAATAACGATCCAGTGACCAAAGGGAAGATAATAAAGTATGTGAACACAATTACCAAAAAGAGTATTGAATTACAGCTGAAGAGACAGGATGGGAATATAAGAACTTTTCTCCATTGCTTACATAGGATATTTTTCTAATATAGCTTCAGCAAACATGAAGCACCCCAGGTATGAAAAAATGAAGTATCCAGGTATGGGCTTCTGTTACTGGCCTAGCTGAGATCTTGTGTCATAAGTACAATAAACTACCTGCCTGGTGAAAGAGTTACCTATCTATGACAGCACAACTAGGGTTGCTTAATGTACACGTATGCACATTTGAACGAGAGAAAGAAAATGTTTTCTTTTACTAATAGGATTATAAATATTATTTTAAAATACATACTATAGGGAGAAAACTATTTTCTGGAAACAGATCAGGGCAGTTATACGAATATCTAGTTGATCTGTAATTAATTCTGACTGAAGTGTATTCTTGTTAATATCTGTTAAGGTAGAAAAAGAATAAGGTAACTACATGACTCCATAGCAGCCTATAACATGCAAAAATTGTATCTTCTTCATATTAATTTGAACTGCTTTATGGATAAACAATATTCTGCTTTTTGTCTATTAAGCCCTAAAAGGCAGAACATCTTCAGGTTGTATTTTCCATGTCACCTCAGTTGTACAGTAAGAATTATCCAGAACTAATGTGTTTTTACAACAACCCAACCCCTACTTAATTCAGCTCTTGAATGTTTTCTTGAAACTCTTGACATTTAAGTAGTAATTTTCTTACATGAAGTGTTGGCTTCTGCAGCATACACACCAAATTTTAACTAATATGTCTCCTGTGGTCTTAGACAAGAAATAGTCTGCAGAATACAGGTGTCATAGATATTAATTTGGGAAACTTTCTTATTTTTTGCTCAACTAAATATAATTAATTTCTGTTGGCAGCTAGAGAAGTCTGTTAGACAAGGAGGAGTCTCTTCAGTGTTACAGATAAGTACTTAGTGTCATGCTGATGATTTACCTTTAGCTGTTCATTATCAAAATTGTGGTGGCTTTACATGTATGGGGATATAAAATTAGTGTTGAATTCTAGCACAGAGAGAAGACTAAGGCTGAAAGTATTCCGGATTTGAATTATCACTGTTTTCAGATGCCAAGTTTCAGTGAGTGGAGTAAGTTTTTGTGAATTCCTGTTGAAAACTTTAAACAATAGAGCATTTTAAGTCTTTTTATAAACTGTTAAAGATATTGAATATCCACAATGAATGAAGTGTGACATATGCCCATGAATGGAAAAAGATCAAACCTGCCAGGTTTGGTCAAAACATCATTTTTCCAACTGCAGACCATATAAACCCAGGATGTTGCTTGAAACTTTTGCTATGTTCTCTCTATTCCATTTCTATGCCTTTTAGCAGCAGTAAAAGCTAAATTAATCAAATGTCTTTTAAGAAATTGGTTGTTTTAGGATAAGGCATTAAACAGCCACAGAAATCCTTGTTTTAATTAAAACAAGGTAGGATTCCAGAGATAAATTTAAAAGCCATTAGAATTCCAGTGACAAATAGCAGAGCATAAGGCTTCTGCTATTTATACTTTATATTTTATACCTTCTCCTTCTTGTGTAACTACACATGCATGTAAGAAGGGTAATACATAATGAAACATAAAAGACATGTATGCTGTACAATATGTGGAGTAGTAGATGTGGAATTCTAATGGCAATGCTGATACCTCCATGGTCCTACAGGAGAAAACTGAGGGACTTCATTATTTCAAGATGTTTTTATTCTAGGATAGTGCTGCTTCACTGGTCTTGAACAACCAGTTTAAACCCTTCATTAGTGAAAATTAGATAATGTAACTCTGAATTTGTCCTTAGGGAAGGCTGGAGAGAGAGCTATTTATAAAAAGTTATATTTATTTATTTGCACCGCTAGAAATAAAGGCAAGATTTTATTACCTGATCTGTTTCCCCCCCAACTTGCTTATTGAAAACTCTCAGAGAGGGCAGCATGCAAAAAGTCCATGGGAACTTGGAAAATCTTAGAAACCTCCATCATCTAGTTTGGAAGATTATTTTCCCCCACCCATACACATCCATTTGGTCTCTCAGAAATTTAAAAATCTGGATACAAAGAATGTCTTAATACAGAATTGTATCTTCAAAATGAACTTTATTGATATTTAAACTAAATCCTATTCTCCACAGCCTAAATATGTTTCAAAACTTTTCCTAGACCTCATTTTCCAAGAGGAGCATAGGTGGGAACTGCAGTTAGAGTGATATGCAAAACCTGACCAAAACAGTTCATTTTAACATTTTAATTTTTGATTGTGATTGAGTTTGAAGTTAAATTTGGATGTAGGAAGGTCTACGTTATTAAAAAATAGATGCAATAGTATCTTTATTCTTAGAATAATATGCTGCAAAAATGAAAAATCAATAGAGGCAACCCTGAGAATAGGAGGAAAAAAACCAGTTGAATGTCTCAGCTACTTGTATCTCTTCACCTCTTGCTGCCTTCTTCATGAAATAAGTTACTTGTCAATGAGAATGTATTTACAAATTTGTAATACTCATAATATACTGACCAGTCATGCTAGGTCTAAATACATAGATAGCAAGGAGGAAATTTCATCTGTCAAATGCTAGGAAGGATATTATTGAAATTGTGAAACAGTTGTTTGCAGACATTTCATCATCTGCTTTAATTTTTCTTGCCTATGGAGAAGCTCTGAAAAATATTACTGTTTAGAGTAGGAATTCTAGTAAGAAGTATGAGGAGACATTGCAATGTACAGTGTTCATTATTAAATTAAAGAAGGCACTTGCTCTTCTGCTTGCCTGAAGGCTTATATAAAAACAAACAAAAAATAAACCACCTAAAAATATGTCTGCAGGGTAAGGGAAAGTGGTAATGCCAAAAGAGGTTAAATATGTCCACAGAATACATTCATATTTAAAAAGAAAATTATAAAAATGATGATCTAATGACTTAACCAGATCCTTCTATTGCATAATTTCAACTTCGAAAGTTAATACCACATTTGAATTATTTTTTCTTTCTTTCTTAAAAAAAAGAATAAACACAATCCCAAAACCAAACCAAGCAACTAAAGAAGCTCTTCAAAGTTCTGTTCATCCAGGCAGCATCACCACTGCCACAATAGAGTAATCCACTTGAGAGCAAGAGCACTTTAATTCAATAAACATATCCTCCTACCAGCTCTTGATTTTATTTCTTAACCATTGACTAGACAGTAATGCAACCCCAAAGCAGAATAATCATCAGGTACAACTGTTTGTCTTTCAAATAGACAATCCGTCATTATGTTCTGCATTGCAGAGTGCTTTGAGTGCATATTCAGCCACAGGCTGAGTGCCACATTCAAAAAGCATTTGAGAAGAGACAGAAAAAAATATAAGGAACTAGTAAATGGGTAGGCAAAACTGATAAGAGTCCACATTTCTGGTCAACTCCAGTGTTTGGCCAGGAAGAAGGTAGCTGGTATATCAGAAGAGGGACATGCAGAAACATTGCCTCCACCAAAACCAAAATGTTTTCATCTCCCCACAGTTTAACAGAACTCATACAGTTGTGTATGCCTGTGAACTCAAACTTGTTTTCATGTGTCTCATCCTGTCACCAATGTCACTATCCTTATATTTTCCATGTGGTGTCTTCTATCTTCACAGCTTCAGAATATTTTGAATTGTATCTATCTTCAGTACCAGTTAGAGTTCATCCTAGTGACAAGAAAAACAACAATGGCATTTCTCTGAAGCTACAAACAAAAATATGTTTTCATATGATTTTAAAGTTTTCAGTAGCACTAATTTTTCAACTGGACAAACATTTTTTAAGTAGCTGTGTGTTAATATCTTAAGTTTACCCAATCTCGCCTCTGTAATTTGCATTTAATACTATGGATAAAGAACCAATACTAACATAATTTAAACAGTTATTATTTACAGCAAGTCTTTTGCAAAGGCTCCACAGTAAGTGTTCTTACCTTACTTCTAGATTTTTTCCTTTTTCCTTTGTTTTCCATTGCTTCTAATTTTTCATTCAAAAGGTCAGCTATACCTTTTGCATCTCTGCTGTCTATGTATTCCCCAAGAACACTTTTCTTAAAAGAAAATAAAAATAGAGCATGTTAGACATATTTTACTGTTCAGACAAAATTCAAAAGGAAAGCAGGGCAGAATACAATGGCCTTGGTAGTTT